CAACCAACAAGGGTCGCCCCAGCATCGATGGCTTAAGCGATTAGTGTTTGCGACGACTTATGGGCAAAAAAGACTCTCGCCCTTCAATACTCCAAGTTTGCAGCAATCAAGTCTTACACCCTCACTCTCCATTTGATCTATCACTTCTATCTGGACTCACAGGCAAAACAGATCAAAGACCTTATCCAGTGGTCCACCACCAACCCTCCCCTCAAGTCAACCAAGCCGCGGCTCCAGCTTCGTCATGTGGAAGTAACATCTTTAATATTATCAATTTTATTGTGTCATCAAATTGACACCTTTATCAAATCCTCCTAATGATTCTCTCTGCTTCAACAACATTACATCACTCTTGCATTTGTCTTTCAGCGGCGGGAAGTTTGGGACTGAGTATGTTTTGGAGTCAAGCCAAAGCTAAGGTACACATACTACGCCCCATTCCTTTGAGAGTTCGTTGTCCACAGTCATGTCATATCTATTAATATACCCAGATGTATACCTGATGTTGGTGTCTTTCTGAATTGAGACGCGGTCAACTATAACAACGTTGACGCCAGCGTGATGCTCTTGGTATCTGTCTCTCAAGAATGTGACTAGCTTGTGGTCCGTCGCCTCAAATTGGAGCAACTCCACTGCTCCATCGTCGTACTTGTCACATTTCTTGACCATCTTTGCTTGGCGATCCTCCAAGAGAGCCAGTAGTGTGTTCCCTTCTTGGTACAGCCACAATCAATATTTATATATAGTCACCAAAGCACACGCTATAGTATCGCGATCTAGTGATCTGGAACGACAAGTTGGAATTTGATATGCCAAAGAAGCCATGTAACCTGCCTTAGAACTGGAGAGGTAACGCTCTGGCATCACAAAGGGTTTACTGAACATCAAGGTAGCACTGCCATGTGGACCTCTTCGGCAAATAATAAACTCTACCTTTATAATTTGTTTAAAGATCAATCACTTTGCCTGGGTTCATAAGATTCTTTGGATCGATGGTTCTCTTTAAAGTCCTCATTAGATCAACAGCATTCTTGCCGAGCTCCTTCTCCAGGTATTTCTTCTTGCCAAGCTTTATGATCCAGAGTATAAGGTTAGTAAAAGTTTTGGACAAGTGTACTTTACTATACAAGTACTTACGGCAACTCCGTGCTCACCAGTGCAGGTTCCGCCCATACCCAGAGCTCTATGTACTAGGTTGTCACAAATCATTTTAGCTTCCTTTGTCTCCTTGTTGTTCAGCGGGTCGAACAAAATGAACAAGTGGAAGTTGCCATCACCTGCGTGGCTCTGATGATAAATCGTAATTGTCAATATATGTGTTTATCTGTGTGAGTGCGAGTACATACGACCAGTGGAGCAAGTATAGAGGTAGACTGAATATCTAACTTTGTCTCTTGTATAATCTCTGATAGCTTTGATATTGGTACACATACATCTATTATGTGGTGGTAAGGAATTTTTAAACATCACTCTTTAAAGAGTAGAGTGATCATGATCATTATTAGTTACCTGTGATTATAACCTCTGAGCCCGGCTTGAGAATGGGTGCACTCCACAGCGCAACCTTCCTGGCGAACCATAACCTCTCGCGATCTTTTGGGTCGATAGCAAACTCGAACCTCTTGCAATTGTTCAGGTGCGCCAGTCGCTCAACCTTGAGTATCTGTTCATCCACTTGAGCGGGGGAGCCAGTAAACTCAAATATGAGTGTTGGCATCTGGTCGTAATTGGAATCATTGCTAATATTGACCGCCTTCATCATTAGGTCATCAAGAAGCTCAGCACGTCCGATTTGGATACCACTCTGCATCGTCTGAATCACTGTCTTGGAGGCTTCTTCAATATTGTCGAAAGTGACCAACGAGACAGCTGTTCGCTCGGGCAGTGGATGAATCTTGAGAGTGGCTTCGGTGACAACTCCCAAAGTACCCTCGGCTCCAATAAACAAATGTGTGAGATCGTATCCTGCCGACGACTTCTTTGCTTTGGTTCTGGTGCACACCACTTTGCCATCAGGCAATACTACTCTCAGTGCGATCACGTTCTCCTTCATTGTTCCATATCGAACGGCATGTGTTCCTGAACAACTGGTACTGACCTGGAATATGACGTTGTTTAGTACAAGTTTGTAAGTTGTTTACAAATCCGTTGGTATAAACTTACCATGCCACCAATTGATGCACCTGGACCTGGGTCCATTGCAAAGAAGTAACCATGTGGAGCCAAGACATCGTTGAGCTCATCATAGGTGATACCAGGTTGAACTGTGACGATGAGATCGTCGAGTTGAAGATTGATCACTTGTTTCATCGCCCTAAAGTCCAGACAGAGTCCGCCTTGGTTTGCCTGGACGTGACCTTCAAGCGATGTCCCAGAGCCATAAGGTACGATTGGTATGTTATAGGTTGAACATATCTTGATAATTGTCACCACTTCGTCCTCTGTCATTGGGAACGCCACGGCATCAGGAATCTCTGGTTCATGATAGCTAAAGTCTTTACCGTGAGCCTCACGATCAGCCAATGTAAAGTCGATTCGTTGACCTAACAGACCGATAAGCAGTACCTCTGCCTCCTTTGGGATACGACTTGGCTTTGTGGTAGTGGTGGTGTCACTAGCGACTGCCATAATCTAATTAAAAGCACATTAGTTTGTTTGTCTTATACTCTATCTGTCATAGTGTATCGGATGCTTTACCGGTAAAGTGGCTAGAATCGACGTAGTGGCGATACGATAGTTGAATGAGTGATATCCTCCTCTATCTCCTCCATTGTAATTATAACTTCCACCATTCTGCTTGTTGTTGTTGTTGTTGTTGTTGTTGTTGTTGTTGTTGTAGTCATATTGCTTATGTTTATGTTTAATGCATCGATTGATGCCTTGAAGAATTAATTTACTCCTATTTATCATTTTCTATTTATAAGATGGTGAACATCAAAAAAAGATAAAAAGACCAAAGTTGGGCTTCATCAACAGTTGTTGTGGAGGCATTCCTGATAATGGACAGAACTTCAGAAGATGGAAACAACAACTCCCTCACCTCAACATTTATAAACAGCTCACTGAAACAAACAAACAAACAAACACACACACACACACACACACACACACACACACACACACACACACACACACACACACTCGCACACATAATACATCCATCAACAAGACCACACCACATGTATACTCAAGCACACCGCATGCTTGATGGACTGTGATGGAAGTGATACAGCAAGTGATACAGCAACATCAATCACATTTAAATCAATCATCACTAAAACACACATCTTTATATCTTATACTAAGTTGTTGGATTGATAGAAGACTATACAATAGAAGTACTTGGATAGACATTGGTACTTGCTAGCAAGGCAACATAACAACAATGAGCAGCCTGTACCTACAACAACAACAACAACAAAATCAACCTGAGCAAAAGCTACAACAACATGGCACAAATAGTGGACGAACAATTATGTCATCCACTGATATATTCGATATGTCAAGGATGAGACTGACATCACTATCGCCCAATTTCTATATGAACAAGGCCGCTTTGCAATGTCTCCTATTGGCCGAGAACCATTTGGAATGCATACCGATCGAGTTGATAGATGCAACGCCTTCATTGGCCATTGCAGACTTTAGTTTCAACAGTCTGGCCAGACTTCCAGAGGCCATCAACAGATGGCGGAAACTCAACGTTCTCAAGTTGGATCGCAACAATCTCAGCATCATCCCTGACACTATCACCGAGTTGGTTGAGCTCGAGTGTCTGAGTCTGGCTGGCAACCTGCTCACTGAGCTACCCAATCTCACCCAATGTCCAGTGCTCAAGTGTCTCTCGCTACTACACAATGTCCATCTGCCGCCATTCTTGACCAAGATATACACGCTCCTATATCCAATGTCAGCCAACCAGATTTACATCTCTGGATATTGCAACGTAGACTCCCAGATGGTAGCAGCTATGAATCCCACCGCCACCACTGGTGCTGATCAGCCACTACCTTCCTCCAAGCTACCATGCCAGCCACTCAAAGTTAGTGGTTCATTGTTGGAGCAAAGTAGTGGCGATGGAAGTGGAGGGGCGTCCTCCTCCTCCTCCAGCAAAAAGAACAACAGACTCAACCTGGAGAGTAGTGGATTCACTTACTTCCCATTCCGTCTTGAAGCTACCCAGCTTCACAAGCTCCGACGTCTGTTGCTTGGATACAACAGCAAGATAGACTATGATCGTTGCCACCACCAATGGACAGCATTTAAGAGTCTGAAGTTACTCTGTCTGGACCATTGTCAGTTGGCAATATTCCCATTGGGTCTTTGTGGCATTGTATCTTTAAGAAGGTATGTAATAACGAGTTGAACATTGATGTCACCAATCAAAGGCAACAACTAACACTCCTTAACTAAACATTAGACTAAGTCTGAAGAAGAACTACATATTGACAATCCCAAAAGAGATTAGGAGCTTGTACAAACTAAAGAGATTGGACTTGTCTCATAATCAAATCGATTTTGTACCGCCAGAGGTCAGCTCGTTGTCATCGTTGAAGACCTTGAAGCTCAACAATAACAATCTCAAGACGACCAAAGCCGTCGAGAACCTGGCTCGCTGTGATGCACTTGAGAAGCTTAACCTCAGTCACAACTTCCTCACCGAGTACCCCCGCTGCTTCCAAGGCATGAAACAGATCCATTGCATACGTCTTGACAATAATCAGATACCATTCATTCCAACAACAGATCACAACGACAAGGCTGTGTCAGTGTCGGTTTTAGCGCAACCCACATCACCATTGCCCGATGTGATAGTACCAACATCACCTCTACCTGATGTAATGTCACCAAGGTCTCCAACATCTCCCAACTCATTCTCCAAGAAGCCAACAAAACCTCTCCCCAAGAGGCCAGTCACATCGCCCAACTCGGGCGGCACTCCAAACCTCTCTCAGTCGAGCTCGAGCTGCATCACCAAGAGCAGTAGCCTCCATGGCACAGAGGACTCAAGCAGCATATCATATTTGAGTTGCACAACTGACGCTCCGCCCAGGATGGAGAGTACAGGACTTATTGGTCGAGTGAGATCATTCACGTATTGCTCCTCCAATGACCTCAAGGCCAAGGATGAGCACAAAGTACTCACACCAACTTCATCAATTGGCAGCTTGTACGACGATGACCCAGCACCGACCGATGTCACCTCCAACTACTTGGACATCAACAACAATCGTCACAGTCAGTTGTCTTCGCCCAGACAGACAAAGGAGAAGAGGTCAATCACCAAGCTGACGACAGACTTTATCAAGGATATGGCACACTTTAGAAAAAAGAGCAACTCGTCACCTAGCAAGATCACCTCTCCCTACCATCCAGATTCGCCAACACTCTCCCCAATGGCATCGCCTCGCTTCGACACTGAACAAAAGAGGACATCATATCCACTACAAACTAGCACCAGCCAGACTCTTTATCCACCACCCATTCGTCACCCCGAACAATCAGTGTCGCTCGTGTCACCTTCGGTACTTGAGCAACACATTGACTCGTCCCCATCAATATTTGATGATCCAAACATCTCCAACAGTGTCAACAACAACAACACAGCCAACAGTAACAACAGCTATCACAGCAGGGAGTATAGCCTCAAGAGCAGGAGCTATTCGTTTGGCAACCTTGACCTCAATTCGAGCTCTTCATTACCAATGAACTCCATTTTGGCCGAGACTACCAAGGAGTATGACAGTCTCAAGTCCACTGGTTCTCCCAATCCAAACCGCAAATCACCTCCCACAGGTGATGTGCAGGCGCTCAGTATCTCATCCAAACCGCCTACAACAGCGACTGCAGCCATCGACGCCCAGATCAAGCAGCTCAAAGTGGAGTTCACCGAAGAGATATTCTTTGATGACAAGTCACTTGGTGCATCCTATGCCAAGAGGAGGCTGGCTGGTCTATTGATACCAACAAAGGTCAACAACATGGTTGGTGGCAGTCTTCTCTCACCTACACTGAGCATTCACCAGAAGAAGACATCATCTGAATCGTCATCTCCTTCGACTTTATCCGTCAGCAAGAAAAAGTCCAAAAAGAAGACATCGTCAGACTTGGACGTTGCCATCAAAGAGTCGCCCAGTCTTACCAACATTGCCGGCTCGGCACAGACGTCTGCCATTCTGGAGGGAGACGACTTTATCCGCGATCTCATGTCCAGCCCTGTGTGGAATCAGGAGATTGAGTTCACCTCTGAAGACGGCGTTCCCAAGATCAAAACGGCCACTGTCAAAATGCTCGTTTGTGTTCTGACACATGAGCGTGGCTTCAGCAAGGAGCTGGAAAACGGATTCTTTGACACGTACACACTGTTCACCACTGTAGAGGTGGTCATTCAGCTTTTGCAAGAGCGATTCTACCAGACTGGCAAAAACAACTCACCGACCATCAAACAGAAGGTGTTGCGCTTCGTTGAGAAATGGGTGGACCGTAACTGGGAGGATTTCTCCATCGCCAACATCAATAACCTATTGGACTTTTGCAAGTCCTGCCAAGAGACTGTGGAACAGGGCATGACGACGACCTACTCACTCAAAAACCAGATCACCACGCTTTATAACATCATCAGGATGAAGCGTGATGGTACCTACATCTCTGTAGACTATCAGGACAGTTGGGAACAGCCTGCCCCCATTCCTGACTTTACATACCAGGAGAACTTCACGTTGTTGGACGTCAAGCCACATGAAATTGCTAGACAACTATCAATGATTGATCATGGACTGTTTGGCAAGATCACCAAGAAGGAGTTGTTGGAGTATGTACAAAGCCAGTCGAATCCGCCAGCATCGATTGTCAGCTTTACCAATCGGTTCAACTATGTCAGTCGCTGGGTGGCCAGTGAGATTACAACCTGTCCATCGTTGGAGAAGAGGATCATGTTAATATTTAAGTTTATTAACATTGCCATTGTATGTATCAGGGTATCATTCGTAAGTGTGTCGTATGTACGTCTACTAACAACACATTCATATATATATTTATATATAAATATATATATATATATATCAACATAATATCTTTAGAACTGTTGGATATTGAAAAACTTTAACAGTGCAACAGCTATCATTGCTGGATTGAAACATGGAGCAGTTAGTCGATTGAAGACCACATGGTTCTACGTTAACAATTCCAAGGCAAGTGTAATACTACAGGAGTTTGAGGAGCTGATATCACCTACAAACCTCACCAAACTCAGGAAGGTAATGGATGCCGTTGAAGCCCCATCCGTACCCTACCTGGGCAGCTACTTTAATCATTTGGTGGGCATCACCGAGGGCAACAAATCAACCAAGTGTGACCAGATCAATCTGCTCAAGTACGAGATGATTGGCAAGATCCTGGCAAAGGTCCACCACTTCCAGTCCAAGGCATACAATCTCACCAGTGTCGGTGTGCTACATGTGTTCCTCAACAACCTGCCCCAACTCACCGAGTCGCAGCTCTACGACTCTGTTGGCAAGATGTCGGACTCGCACCAGCTTGCAATCGACTCGAATGTTGGTGGCACTGGCACAGCCAACTCCACCAAACTCTGGATCAAGAAGAGGAAAGGATCAACATCCACTTCTTCCACCACAACACAATAAATAATAATTTGTGCCACATCACCAAGGTGTCAGTGCACCGATTCTTTGTGGTGTGTTTCGTTCGCTTTTTTCTCACTCATTGAGTGATTTAATCACTTGGAACCAATCAGCTCATTCAACATCACACCTATTGTTAAACCATTCGTTTCATACATACATACATATAAATATATTTGATTAGGTTCATTTTGATAAGCCGAAATGAACACCGAGTCAACTACTTTCAATTGTGACACATCTGATGAGGATGTCACATTGATTCACAACAGCAGTAGCAGTGGTAGCAGCAGCTGTATCACAGGTGTTAGAAGCAGGAGTGGCAGTGGAAGTGGAGCTGGAGATGATCAGCGACTACTACCAAACAACAATAGGGATGCATTGACACTGTCCAATTGCAGTTCTACAGCTGCTTCCACTTCGACCTCGACCACGCCTACACTCTCCCCCGCGTTGCCCTTTGACGAGTTACCCCAACTATCACAGTCCGAGAGCGATGACCTCGTTCGCAGTCAATTTGATATAAGAAACGTAAAGCCACATGCGATTGATCAATATATGATACTATGTAAGGATTCATGTTTGACTATTGAATGTATATATTGAGTACTTGCTAACCAACCAAACACAACAAACAAACAAACAGACACAGATCAGAGCTCAAAACATGTGGAGAAGAAGGATCTGTTCATCAGTAACCTGAGAACAACCATCAATTCCACACAATTCTATTCGCTCATCAAGAAGTATAAGCCAATCAGCTATCAGTTCAGAGTTGATGAGGCCACGGGCAAGTCATGTGGATATGGCTTCGCCTCGTTTAAGACTGAGGAAGAGGCAAAGGTAGCCAAAGTCAGCTTACACATGTCCAGTAAGTCAGTTAAAGGTGACTCCAATGCTTATTGGAGTGGTAACTAATATCCATTACACCTGTCAATAGAACTACTACAGAATGACCTAAGAGTATACTGGGCAATACCAATAAGCACTCTCTACATCACAAACCTCGATCCATCCATCCCCAAGGACCAGATACTAAAGGCCTTCTCCGTCTATGGAGAACTTGAGCCAAAGGAGTGTCTGTTCTTTGACAGATACGCCTTTATTCGCTTCCGGGAGCGGCACTGTGCCGAAGCGGCCTTGGCCAATCTGTCAGCTACCAATCTTGGCTTTAGGAAGATCAAGATCAGCTGGAGCGACTCTTGTGATCAGATGACCAGTGTCCACTTGTCATTCGATCCTCAACAGGCAAGGCCAGGACTACACAAGCAGATATTCACCAAGTGCAAGGAGTTTGGCAAGATCAATCACTATAACATCCCAAGGAATGACAAGGACCAGTACGAGGGCTACGGGTTTGTTCACTTTAAGGACAGCATCAAGGGTGAGCAAGCAAGCGAGCTGGCTATCGACTTCTTCAACAACAATGAGTTTCATGGCATCAGGATCATGTGCACATTCTCAAAAAAGAAGATAGGTATGGCGCCCATTCGTCTTCCACGACACAGGTCACAGGGTGGTGACCACCATTCTTCTCCTGCTTTGTCTGCATCCAGTCCAATACCTACATTGCCAGCACTGGGTGATGTCCAGCCGTCATACACCTTCACCAACACGTCGATATCTACCGCAGGTACCTTGGCGCAAAGACACAACAACAAGCATGGACATCATCATACGCAACCCAAACATCAGCACTATCAAACTGGACAACACCATCATCATCATGGCCAACAAAACCCACGCCAACATTATACTCCACAAGATGGTGCTTCTGGCTTTAAACATCATAACCAGATTCAGTTTCATCAGTATCCATCAACAACAACTTCAGGCCCTCCAGTATTCTTCGATGCATCTCCATTCACTGCTGCGACCGATTCCATTATCTCAAAAGATGATGCAATCTGGCAAATGAAGAATCTATCTGTGACGGCTCCAGAGTATAATTCACAACTTGGGCAACAGCAACAACAACAACATCATCAACCATCTCGACAGCATTCTCTACAACCCAAGCAGCACCAACAGCTTTCAAAGCCAATAGATAACTTTGGCTTCATACAACAACCATCGACCACGTATCGAACACTTAACAACATTACTCCACCACCACCAAAACAGCAACAACAACAACAAATTTACCAACACCAAAGACAGCAGCAGTCGCATAAACAGCCTCAGCCGCAACAACACCATCAACACTCTTTCCAGACAGCCCAACCGCTGTTTGGACAGGAGTATTCACAGATAAATACATCCCCAACCAATGTATTTAGTAATGAGATCACATCAATTCAGCACAGGTCATCCCCAAGGATTGACCTCGGCACCTCCACAACCTCTTCTTCCCCTCGACAGCAACCACCACCACAGCATCAACAAAGATATAGCTATGTTGGAAATGACTATTTACCCGTGCAGCATCATCAACAGAAGAACACCCATAGTGTTGACAACATTGTCATTGATATCAATGAGCTACCTTCCTCATCATTGCAGTACATAACATCATCACGGGAGGCTCAAGGTGATGTGTTCTCGTTGAGTTCATCATGGTACATTCCTTCTAAATCGACCTCTCTTGGTGGAATAGATTCGTGGCTGTCTCACTCCTATGACTCATTCATTTCCAACACCGAGACTACAAACAACAACAACAACAACAACAACAACAACAACAACAACAACAATAATAATAACAACAACAATAACAACGACAACATTCTTCCATTCCTAACGTCAGCTTCGCCATCACCTTCATCCACACCACCATGGCAACCTGCCCAGGACGAGTTTTATCATGAGCAACACCAACAACAACACCAAGGTCGCCCCAAGCAAATGACTCAAATTAGTCACTATGGCCAACAACAACAACAACAAAGAACGTTCTCTCGGACGTCAAATATCACTGTGGGCTCCCCTTCATCACTCCATCAGCATCAACATCAACAGCATGGCACGATTGATATGCCCTCGCATTACTCTATCAAACCTCCATCTCAGTAAATGCTTCACACTGCCAGCAGTCATCCTAGCAGCACTACCCAATCTCCTCTGTATCTATTGCCAATAAAAATGTGAACAATAGTCAAATTGAACGTAATTGCGATGATCTACACAATGAATATATAAATTGGAGAGAAAGTGGTGACCACTTGAATCTGGACAAGCTAAAAGGGCACATACTTAACAATGACATGTGAAATGGGGTGCATGCGATTTAATGGGGTTATCGACCAACCACAATTGGAAATGTATTTATGTTCACCAAAAAGGAAATTTGTCCCAAAATGGATGATTTTGTTTCCAGCTCTTTGGATTCAAAGTACAACAAGTATTTTAGGTAGATAGTTATTTTACAACACACAACTCCAACATTCATTTAATTCAATCCAATTAATTATATATAACTTTAAACAATAGATACCTACAACATAATGGACTTCTTCAAGAGCTCTCACCAAACTAACCTTCACTCTGCTCATTTACACGAAGATTTTCTTGGCGACTTTAGTGACTCGCCAATCATATCTGGACTAGCTGGAAACAATGATAATCTTAAGTCAAACACATTCTCATTGTCAGATAACAAATCTGTTACAATTGAGATAAAGGATCAAAAGAAGGTAATTTAAAAAAGATTAAATCTTGTTGTTGTTAATATCCCATCTCTAATTGTTAAATATGGACCCTTGAAACATCAATCACTTCTACACCTAAAACTCATAATATCAAGGCCTAAAGATTCATGATCCATTGTCAATATTTAACAGATAGAGAATTTTGATAGATATATTGATAAATAATACTCAAACATGTACATACACAAATACAATATTCTAAATAAATATAGAAAAATTAGTACTAATTCCTAGATCTACAGATTTCTAATAACAATAATAATAGGAACACGCTAGTATTCTTTGATTTGCCTCCCAGTAGGAAGATGGATGCCATTTTCCGAGGCAGAAATGATCTCTAGAACAATTAATATATAAATATATATCATAACGACGATGGATGTTTTATTTTCCTCCTGTAGCTGATCTATTGTATACAATCATTCTTGCCTCTTTCTTGAATCTCCTATTGGCAAACTCGGTGCTGGCGTAGAACTTGTCAAAGTTGCTAAGACCCATCTCATGAGCCTTGGTCTCAAAATCTTCAACGGGGATCTCAATACGGTTGGGCACCTTGCCAAGCTTGATCTGATTGAGGCTGCAGGCGTCGCTGACCATGAGCTGGAGTTGGTGGAATAGTAGCTCGTTGATGTCACGTTGATACGTAATGTACTTGGAGAAGTTCTTGCGCAACGACTTGGACAACTGGCTCTTCTGGCCATTGATGAAGCTGTCCAACATCACTCGTATTGCCATGTTGACGTCTTCATCACGGACATAGTCTCGCAGATGCATCTTGGCGTGCGCTTCGGCCATTCTAATCATTGCTTCGACATGACGAACCGTCATTGCAAAGCCACCTCCAGATGATTCGCGACGCATCTCTGCGTACAATTGTGCTATCTTCTCCTTGTCGATGTTGTTGATCTTGGGTCTCACCTTTTGTTTGGCGTACATGATATACTTGCGCAGCATCTCTTGAGGAATTGGCGATAGGGAAGTGGCTTGGTTCTGGTAGTTGTGCTCGCCATTGATGTTGATTGGATGAGAGCGAATGTGAGACTTTACAACAAAACGAGCTAGACGGCCATCTTGCTCAGGGTCAATGGTGTCTCTGACGACGCATGTGATGTCGAAACGAGACAAGATCGGTTCGGTAAGCTCGACATTGTTGATCAAGCTCTGTGAAGGATCATATCGGCCCTTCTTGGGGTTGGCTGCGGCAATGACTGAGCATCTGGCCGTAAGCGTTGTGACAATGCCTGCCTTTGATATAGATATGCTCTGCTGCTCCATGGCCTCGTGGATCGATGTTCTATCCTTGTCATTCATCTTGTCAAACTCGTCTATCATACACACACCCTTGTCGGCGAGTACGAGTGCTCCACCCTCAAGCGTCCACTCACCTGTAAGCGGATCCATTCTTACAGCGGCAGTAAGTCCAACAGCAGAGGCTCCTTGACCAGTGGTGTAAACTGCTCGATGCGCCGTCTTCTCCACGTACTTGAGGAACTGACTCTTGGCTACACCTGGATCACCAATTAGCAGAACGTTAATGTCGCCTCTGATTCTATGCTTGTTGACCTCTTTGGCCATGCCACCAAACAATGCCAATGCAAGCGCTGTCTTGATGTCCTCGTGTCCAAAGATGGAGGGTGCGATCGACTGAATGATCTTGGTGCCAATATTTGGGTCTTTGGCAAGACTCCTAATCTCCTTTTCGTCCTCCTCTGTGAGAATGAACGAGGCCAACAGGTCCTCCTTCTTATTAAGGAAGTTGGCATCGATCACTGTGGCAAACACAGGGAAACCATTCTGATGGTTGAGCTTGGCATCAAAGTTATGTTTGAATACTCCTGTAACCTCCTGTTGTTGGACCGATAATCAGTAAGTTGTGATCTCTAACACAGGGATGTGATGAAAGCGTTTGAAGAGGGATAATACTTACAATCTCTTCACCTGGACGAACAGTGTCAATGAGGTCAGCCAACAGGATGATATCTTTTGTTCGTGGCAGTCTGCCTGGTGGCACAGTTCCAGGACTTTCTTGCAGAGTAATCTTCTGGTAGTCTCTATAGAGTGTGAGGTCGTGATTGACTATGAATGTTCCCTTTGATTGGCAGTTTGGACAGATACCAATCTCGATGTTTTGATGTCCATTCTGATAGAAGGGTCCAATGATCGACTGGCATTTGACGCAATCATACTTGACGTACTTGAGCTGCGGATAGATGCTGGAGCGGCGAGTGACGACACCACCCACCTTGATCAGCTGATTCAGATCGCTCTGACGAATATCGCGTAGGGTGTTGCACACTGGATAGTGAGTGATGCGCACATGAACTGCCTTGGTGATGTTCTTGTAGTTTGGGAACATCTTGAGCACCACCTTGAATGCCACGTCGTCAAAGATCTCAATGAGCTCGGTTGGTGCCTGGATCAGCCAATCATTGAATGGCTCATCCAAGTGTGTGTAGTTGACCTGAAGACTCTCCAGATTACTGGCGCACATTTGTTGGATTCGGTGCTTGTACACCTCTATGCCCTTCTTATCCTTGAATGTCTCAAAGAACTGTGCCAGTCTCGCCTCAACCTCCCTACGAGGTCCCTGATTGGTCAAATACTCTCTCAGAGGACCTTGTGGCTCCTCTAGCTTCAATGTACCTATCTGGTACTGTTGTGGAGTAGAGAGAGAGAGAGTACGAATATTAGTTAGTTTGTTGGTCTGAATACTTCTTAGTTGTAAAGGCAACGTACATTGTCATCATCGTCGTCGTCATCGTCAGAGTTATCACTTGAGTCCTCATCATCTGGATCATTCTTTGTAACTGTGAAGTTATCCTCGTCGTCATCATTGGTCTCTCTTTCCATCTTCTTCTTGCGTGACTGAGCCAGCCTTCTCTTTTTGATAGTTTTCTGAATGCGTTGTTCCTTGTTCATACCTGATCCCTGACCACGACCATCATTGCCATCGTCGTCCTCTTCCTCTTCATCGCTTATATATTCGTCTTGGTCTGCCTTGAGTAGAGAGTATGGTATCCTGAATCCACGACGATTAGATTGGTCACGTTGTTGACGCTCCTTGCGATCACGCTTCTTCAATGTCTTGTCAATCTCGCGTCGTTGATCTATGGGCAACTCTTCATATTCCTTTTCATCGAGACCCTCTTGTTCGTAGCTATCGTCTTCGGCAGCCTCCATTTCATCCTCCTCGAGCAGACCATCGTCCATGAGATCGTCACCTTCACCCTCTGATGATGGCTCTCCATCCTCATCAGCCAATAGGTAACTGATGTCTGCTTCGTCCACTTGATCTGTGGTGCGCGTTGGTAATGCAGACCGATTGTCATCGTCGTCGTCCATGTATTCTGGTGATGACAAGTCTGATGAGGGCAGCTCATCGTCCTCAACAATCTCTTGAGATGAAATGTCTGATTCTATATCACTCATCTCTGTTTATATAAATATATGTATGTATGTATGTATGTTTTTGTACGTATGATCATATGTAAGAATAATCAGATCGTCTTTATCACATATTGAAATCAATTTCAAAAGGGCGCCAAATTTGAATTTATTTAGTGTTTGAGATGGAAAAAATCAAGCAGCTTGTTTAGCTCATACTTTAGGGCAAGTTTCAAGAAGAAAAGACTCTCAACACTCTGTTCCGAACTGGTAGTTATTGATGATTGTCCAGAGAACGACGATGATGAACTCATAATCATCGAAGCATTGCAATGCTCAACAGGTACTTTGAAAGTACTCAATGAAGATAGACACGCTTTAAAATATGTTAGTTTAATAGTAATCACCTTCAATTTATATTATAACATACCAATTATTGTCATTGTATTATTACTAGTTGTAGTTTTAGTTGTAGTAGTAGTAGTAGTTGTCGGCTATTAAATCAATGGAATTCCATTGTTTATATATATTAATACACTTGTCCCGTCCGCTGGATTGATAAGATAAAGAATAATTAATAATAAAGGGTGTGTGTGCATATGGGTGTGTGTGTGTGTGTTGGAGCTTGTGTTTATGGAAAGACAGACACATCAACAACTGATCATTCTATCCAGACAACGGGAACTTTCTTCATCTCTTATACATATTGATTGAAGCTTGGTTATCATCAGTTTAAACTGAACTATCCTTTGAAAGTGACTCAATAATCATGTCCACTGAACGGTACCACAGTCCTCCCAGATGAGGAGTGTAGTTGAATCGTTTAAAAGACGGTGTGAATGGTTCCACCAACAGATGCATGTGCAGATGGGGAACACTGTAAAAGGGAGGAACATGAAAGCCAAGTCTATACTCCTTGCCTGGGAACATTGACTCTGTCAATTGAAGTGCCACCTGTTTCATCTTGAGCACTGTTTGGTTTGATTGATTGAGATAACACAACAGTTAGCCATCGAATGATAGAGCAAGTGGTAAACATTGATATTACCTGTTGGCAAGTCGTCAGGTGTGAGCGTCCTCACAGACTTGATGTGAATCTTTGGTATGACGAGGTAATGAGTTGAGGCCTTTGGATATCTATCGCGAAATACATATATATCGTCATCTTGATAGATGCTGACGTTATTCTCTTTAACTATACTACAGAAAATACAGTCATCTCGCAAGCCATCGGTAGGACACTGCTGCTGCTGCTGTTGCTTGTCATCATCCAGACGCCTTGAGAAGAAGATGCCCATACTCATGAGCAATGAGCCCAGTATTACAAATGGTATCCTCGTTGTGAGACTACTCTTGCCTGACAGCATTACATATATATATATATAAATATATACAAATAGATATTCAGTAATTAGATGATAATGATTCCCAAAACTTGGGGGCAAATGGAATACACTCACAAGTCCAATTGGAGTGTTTCTCCCAGGTATTGAACCACCCAGGATGATTGTTCCCAACCATTATGAAAGGTGGTGGGTGTTGCTAAAACTATAATAGAATCAATGCAACACAGAGATAAATAGAAAAGATAATACAAGAGAATGAAATGGAACGTTAAGCAACCAACAACCTATAGACCGATGGCATGGAAAAGGGGTAATGGTAGAGCAACTCAAATACATATTGAACCAGAATCTATGTCGATACAAGACGCATTCCATTGGCGTATATCAACGGCGCATGTCACTGTCGGGCCATTCTCCACATTCGATGGTTACACTCGTACAATTACCTTGTTAAAGGGTCGTCCCCTTGTACTGTTTCACAAACAACGACCACTAGAGCCTGCAGAGATTGAACATCATGTGCCCTACACCTTCAACGGTGGTTGGGACACCGACGCTATTTACAAGTCAGAACAACGCACAACATTATCCCATTCGACCGAGGCATTCTCAAAGGCAACGCCTCAAACATCAAACCCCTGTGCAGCCGTCGTATCTATCAAGAACCTTAGCAACAGCTCCTCAACTTTGCCCACCTACGACGCCGACAACAGCGATGCCTTCTACTTCAATGTTATATCACAGGACGACGCCGTTCAACATCGTTGCGCAACATACTCATTCTCACAAATTGGCGAGTCTCTCATTCTGTCTGGACGGGGGTCAGACAGCTGTAAGGACAACTTAACATCACCTCGAACATTAGTGATATATTCATATAATGGCGATGTTAATGTGCGACATGACCACCAGGACGGTGGTTATCAATCAGTGAAGCTTATGAGTGGTAGCACACTTATCATTGAGGACATTGACAAACAGACTCCTCAGCAGCAACAGGCCATCTCTCAATCATCCGCATCTCTACCTCCACCTCCACCTCCACCTTTTAAGTTATGTCTCACGTCGTGCACAAACGACACGCGAATTCTAGTTGTTCATCTTGATCCAAGATAGATCACTATTCAAAAGGCATGTCACATTGGCAGTGACACTGTTTCGTGTATTTGGCGGCCAATTGTAAATAAATATTATTAATAATTATAATCAATGATTGATAAATCAGTCACTCCAGTCAATAGGTAAGGTTCTCTCAAAAAAAGATTCAACTAAGATGGATGGTGTCCATGTTGTAAGGTTAACACTCTCCACCACTTCAACCCACGTGTGATTAGTCGACAAGGGAATAGGGGAGTAGGGATAGAGTGTGTTATTGTTAGTGTGTGGTCATTATTTATGTTCTGACGTCAACTAAACTGGAAAGTGATTCACACCTGGTCGGAGATTGATGATTCCGTACTGAATCGGGAGGGCTGTCGATGTGGATTGGTGCATCTGATTATTATAATACAATTTGTAGTGCAATGGCGAGTGTCATGTCACGTGTGAGCGAATCAGAATGTTAATTCCACATACACAACACATATATAATGATCAAATAATGATATTTCCTGCCTGATGTAGCCAACAACATCAGGCAGGTACGGCATTGTTGTTGACCATTGGATTGACACAACGCGAAAGTATATTCAATGGTAATTTCCATTCAACTGGAATCAATCAATCAATCAATCATATTCTTTCTATAATTCTATTACAATAATAGTAGAACAATAAGAGAAGAGTTAGTTACGAAATGATTTCATCTATCAAGAAAGTGCTACTTACTTTGGCCATGTTGATGTTGGTCCTCAATGTTGCTTCTGCCTGGAGCAATCCTGTACCTAGAAGGCGTGAGATGCAAGAATCAATGTTCCGTCTGATCACTTCCGTCGGCTACAGGACTGCACAAGATTCCACCGAGTGGTGTGGAGAGGAACGTACCAAAGGTGGACGCCCCTACGAATGGTCCAAATACCGTGGTATGAGTGTCTATCTACTGGATCTCTACCTTGCACTCCAGTTTGATCCAGCCTGCAATGACAATATAAATGCTCTACGTACCATGTTCATTGATACACCAACACTGCCATCATCATACAACGCCAACTCAACGTGGTGGAAGACTGTCTTCTTTCCCAAGTCACTGGATGCATTCACCTGTGGCTTTACCGGTTCCAAACTAAGTGACTTTGAGTTTGTCTCTGAAGATCTATCTGCCAACTTTGACTCGGACTTCACAAAGCAAAAGTTGTGGTACCTGATAGAGGACTACATGCTGGGTCAGTACAAGCAACGGGAGAATCCCAACCGACGATTGGACTTTGATGCCGGACTCTACATCCCCTTCATCGACCATATTACCGGTGGAATCTATACTACCCAGCACATGCTACGTGTTGGTTTCCCAACGTTTATGGGCAGATCACTCTGGTTCCTGCTCCACTCACTGGCCTACCGTGTCCAGGAGATACCAGCCATTAGCCCAACCAGCATGGAGGACATCAACAATCGTATGACCATCTTTATCACCTACTTTGCCTACAACCATCCATGTCCATTCTGTCGTGAACACTTCATATCGCACGTCTCTGTTAATGACAGATATGCCAGGGACCTCGTTGAGAATGAGGCCATCAGATTCTATCCAATCGATCATTTGTTGATGTCCATAGATGGCACACTCTCTGGCAAGTTGTCAACCATCGTGGCCACTGACAAGACCTCTGCCAGCAAGTTCTTCTGGAAGCTTCATAATGCTGTGACATCAAGCGTTGAGCAAGGCTGCGTCTGCATGACTCAGGAAGGCCTGGACGTAGCACCATTCAATTGTATATTCGACAGCACCAAGACACGCCAGAAGAGCTACCCAATGTTCCAGAGGATCTACCCGACTGCCATGCGTTTCGAATTCATCCTTACCGACGACCACAACAAGACGATGTTCTTTGACAGTCGCAATGCAATGAGAGATATCGAGTTGGCGATCTCCAAGGTGGACTCGTTGGAGCTAAGAAAGGAGTTGTTCAGATACTGGGCTCGCGACATCCCTCTGACCACTGGTACCTTGATGAAGGTTGCCAACCTGACGACTATGATCAATGAGATGAGCAACATATTCATCAAGACACCAATACTGAAGCAACAATACAGTATGGGCACACCAGTGATTGGTGCTGATCTAGAGGCATTCCTTGGCACAAGCAACACGAGGAGTCAGATACCAACACCAATCGGAATGATAACAAAGCTTCCACAGGTCTGTAAAGCAGAGCACGAGAAGAACCTATCAGCTTGTATGAAGGCATACGTACATTAATTGGATTGTCTAGGTGTTGTTGTTGTTGTCTCTGTATCATTAATGGAGATGTTGTACATAAATAAATATCACTTAAGTAGTAGTATTCTTTCACTTCAATTCCAAAGCGAATGGTCCAAGGTGGACATTATGTGAGGACCACCACTATGGAGTTGTGAGGTTGCAACGATTGCACCTGTGTCGGGGTGCGAAAATCAGTTGGTTGAACCAAAGCATTTAGAATCTGCTTCAATGACAGGTCATTCATAATCACCAAGATCAAAGTCACATTGATACATGTATTGTTACAACTTTAACACTATTTGTTAATTTATATAATTTAGTACATATATTAATATACAATGAGGTATGTGGTATTTTCCTCTCTCTCCTCTCTCTCGTTCACTTCACTGACACTTACACACACACCACATCACAAACACTCGAGTGTCATTAGTGATCAGCAACACATTGTTGATGCAAGATACTCTGGAGGAATAGATACAGTACATCAGGATGACTTTACAAATGTAGTTGAGCTCAATCAGTTGGCCTACACATCTTCTACAACGACAACATCATCAAACAGTAGTATCAATAGTTCAAGGTCATTGCTGAACACAAACAAGAAGAAGAAGAAAAAGAATACAATAAGGAATAATGCAATCCTGACGATAAATAATGGTGATGACGACGACGACGATGATGATGATGGAAGCGATGATAGTGGCTCAAACAATGACTCCATGCCTTTGACCTCATCAATTGATGGACTGCGGACAACAATTGCCAACACACTAAGTAGCGGTAATGGAGGTGGCAGAGGCCTTGGAATCAGTACTAGTGGCACCTCCAACGTCAAGTACCAACAACTTAGCAAGATAGATCCAACTCTCAGGAATGACAGTGATGACGATGATAGTCTGGGCCGACGCAGTCCCTTTTACAGACGTAGTTCTGCGGCCACCCGTAGACGTCGTTCGGCTGTCAGCCAATCCATACCCCAGTCGATTGGGAGCTCACTAAAGGCGGCCACGCACTTTGTTCGCTACACTTTGATGGCAGATGTCAATGTAGCTATGCGCTACGTACATAACAGCAGCAAGAAGAACGTCAAGAGCATAGTCATGGGTCTTATCACCGTATTACTCGTGGTCACCTTTATCTCATTCCTACAGAACCTGATTCAGAACTCACCTGTAGTATTCCTCAAGTTGTCAGAGGACCAGGCCGGTGAACTCGACCTGGTACTGACGGGCGACCCAACCTCATTCACTACCACCAACTCCACTCTGCAAGCAACACATGGCCTTACCGCACCAACTCCCTCTCCTCTCGATGCACTGAGCAAATTCAGTCTTTCACCTTTCCTCATCAACTCTACAATGCTCACCCAAAAGCTGAGCAACGCAGATATGGTTCACGGCGTAGCACCTCGCTGGACAACGATCGGTGACATCCAATCACCAGTGACCAACATCACATCTTCTTTGATTATGCTCGTCATCAACTCAACACTAGAGAAACAGCTTGGTTTGGGCCGTGGTTGGAACTTACCTCCACTCATTGGCAACCAGGCACACTTCTCCAGCGCCTTCCTTCGTCGTCTTCAGGTGGAACCAAACAAGAATCAAACAGTCAATATGCATGTCGACTTTGTAGATGTAATGGAACGCATGGGCGCTGTTGACTCGATTCCCACTCTGGCCTACATCGAAGCGATGATCTCAAATATCACTGGTGGACCGATAATGAACCAGATCAACATTGGACCAATCGTCACCATTCTCTCGTTCAGCGATCCAAACATTGTACAGCAACTTAAGGAACTTCTGGGTGATGGTATAAGCAGTGACGGCAAGACCTTGTACCCATACGTAGTCATTCAGAACACCTACGGCATGATCAGACAGCAGCTCATTATTGATAGACAGCTGGTGGTCGTTGATGGCATTGACTCACCAGGTGGAAAGTATCCCTCGTCATTGGGTAATGTTGCCGTGTTGGAGAGTGCCTTTGTGAATGAGGTTCTACGCGATCGATTCATGGAGATCTACCAAAAGACAAGTCAGAACCTCACTTTCATTGAAAGTCTCCTAAAGGTTGTAGTGCCCATTGCCTATCCACAGATCAACGTCACTCAATTGATCAATCAGATCAATGTCATGCAGTCCAATCTAAAAACGTTCGCCACCAATTTCAATCTCAATGTAAGTACACCTCTGCCGTCTCCTTCTAGGACCAAATACACTAACATCACTCTTCAAACAGGAATACTCAATGACACCAGTAGTCATGTTACAGAATCGTGTAAAGATATACACATCCAGTGATGATGATCTAAAGAAATCAATGATCGCCTTCACCAATCAGGTGGCAATGTATATTGGCTACAACTATCAGGCACTTTACACAACGCCCCTGTCCTCTGCATTGTACATGTTCCGTTATACAAGGCTCTCATTAGATCAGATCTTTAATTGTGTGGCCGCAGTACTACTGGTGCTTGGTGCACTCATGATCTACAGTCTGCTGCTGAGCGATGTCGAGGGCAAGACCTTTGAATACGGAATGCTGCGAGCACAGGGCATGCGCCACTACTCTCTCATCATTCTTCTGTTGACCCAGGCTCTCTACTTTAGCATTCCAGGCATCCTCTTTGGGCTCCTCTTTGGCTGGGTGTGTTTTGCAATTGTAGCTCACTTTGTCTACCAATTCGCAATCCTGCCCGTCAACCTTACATACTACACTGTTGCGGTGTTGTCTGGTGCCCTAATGGGCTTCTGTCTGCCAATCCTAGCCAACATTGCCCCAATCCAGCGAGCTCTCAGTCGTACATTGCGTGACGCCCTCGACGTCTATCACCAGGTCAAGAATGAAACTATGGTCAAGATCATGAAGTTGGAAGAGGTCGGCTTTGACCCATTGCAGACTGTGCTGTCCATCCTGTCTGTCGTCGTCGGCTTCACGGTATACTACCTTATCCCATACTCGTTCACATTCATGAACATGTCGCTCTTCTTTGGCATCCTCACAGGTATCCTACTTGGCATGCTTTTTGGACTTGCAATGCTGGCACAAGCACTGCAATCGCTACTTGAACGCTTCATTACCTTCTTGATGATCTGGGGCCCTGATCGACGTAACCTCTATGGAATGGTGCGCAAGAACCTTTCATCCCATTCATCTCGCAACTCAAAGACAACGACCATGTTCACCATCTGTTTGACGTTCATCATTTTCACTGGCTGTGTCTTCAAACTGCAAGGTCACAACATTCAAGAGTTGGTCAAACTGGGCGTTGGATCAGACATTGCCGTTCTCTCTTACAACTCAAAGTTCCCCATACCAGAGGATGACATCCGTGCCTTCTTGGACAATGAGATCGTCAACAATAGCAAGACGACCGCCGTAGATGGATACTCATTCGTCACATTCCCACTGGATAAGGTTATGAACATCAGATCAACCAACCTTAACACCTTGGCACACTACCCATCGGCTCCAGTGCGTATCTATGGCGTGGAAAAGAATCTACTTCAGACTGCATTCATCGACTTTTACAACGTAAAAGAGACCAACAGTCGACTCAGTTTCCCAAAGATTGGTAACAAACCCGATGTCGTACAGAGTCTCTACAGCAATGCTCACCGAGACACCATCCCTGATGATCCCAACGGTGTTATCAGCCCTCCACCATCTGTCATCTCCAACAACAGTCAGTTCTATAACTGGGTGGGCGAGACTGTAATCCCCAACGATTACATCTATGTAAACTACACAGACATGGTCATATCCAATGCATTCAGACTCTATGTTGGTGCCACCACCGACACACCCTTCAACATTGACGTTGAGTACAAGAAGGTTGCCGACGGTAGCTCAGCCACGATCAGTCTTCTAGGCAAGCCCCAATCAATGGTATCCATGTTCCCAGCTTTCTTCTTCTCCAGCTACTCAGCTACTGTCTTCCGCTCGCCTGTTCTCATCAACATGGAACAGTTCAATCAAACACTTCAAATCATAGCCAACTCCACTGTAGACGGCAGCGCCATCGTGCCCAACCAAATTCCCAAGTCTAAATTGCTTGTGCGACTAAAGGCTGGCACTGATCAGTCGGGCCGAGAGTTTGTGGTCAATGGCATTAAGAACTTTATCAAGTCCAACACTGTACAAGTACTAGACACAGCCTTCCTTCTGGAAACGACCGACACTGCCATCACTTTGTTGAATATCTTCTTCTACACCGTTTCAATCACGTCGATCATACTGTGCTTCTTCATGCTCTGGGTATCATTCTCTTCCAACATCCACGAGAACTCTTGGGAGTTTGGAGTGCTTCGTGCCATCGGTCTAACTGCTTTCCAAGTCAAACGCATCTATATCTACGAATCACTGGTGCTTATCTTTTGCTCAGTCATTTTGGGCCTTCTCATCGGTCTGGGCGTAGCGGTCACATTGACTCTGCAGTTCGACCTGTTCACCCAGCTTCCATTCTCCTTCCAGTTCCCATACTTTTGGTTCTTTGGCGTGTTTGGAGCATCAATCATCATGGCAATCGTTGTCTCCCATCAAGCCTCCAAGGAGTACTCTGTGAGACCAATCGCATCCGTACTAAAGGGTAAATAAACTTACAAGTGTATCTAAAAGGAAGTTGATGTAGTAGTTTGATTTATTGGTTTCGACTTGTAATGGTACACTTTTGAGTGAAAAGGACAGAAGGGAAATTTCACTTCTTGGCTGGCGTTGACACTCCTGTTGTAGGCTTCAGGTCTGGTGACACACGTAGTGGCTGGAATGTTCTAAAGTTGGTCTTTTCGAACAAACTACCTGTTGCTGCCACAGTGGACTTTGGTGGCGAAGAAGACACCTTATCCTCAATCCTAGTCGAGAGATTCATGTCAGACTTGGACGTTCGTTGTGTTGTAAATTGTTTCTTTGCGTCGTTGGTGGAGTCGTTGGATCCACTTGTTGTTGATGTGAACTTGATGTATGAGTTTGACTTGGGTGCTGTTGTTGTCAACAAGGAGACAGTTGGACCTTTGGTTTGTGTCCCTGTAGTCACTGGATCAGATGACTTTAAAGGGGTAGTTGAGGTTGTTGATTTGGGTGGTACTACAGTTGTTGTTGCAGAGCTATCGGGTACCTTTAGCTTGGTCTCTCCAGATGAAGATAATGTTGTTGTGGTCCCAAATTGGACCCTCTTTCTAACTGGCTCCACGGTTGGTGGTGCCGAGAGAGATGTCGTCGTCGTCGTTGTGGATGAAGAGGATGCCGGTTGAAGGGGAGGTGAAATTTGTTTGGTCTGTGGAGATGGTGTCGTCTTGTACTTGTAGTCCTGAGGGTTGGGTGGAGGTTTGTTGGGTGGCTTGTCCAATCGATGAGGAGTGCCAATGCCACCACCTGTCGTTGTACTTGTGCCAGAGAGACTGAATGATATAGGAGTGGATGTAGATATTGTGTTTGATCGAGTCAGTTGAGGAGCGAGGTTGGGAGAGTCAAGCAGGTATGTTCTCTTTGGAGGAGGGGGCTTGGTCTTGATCGCACTGCTATCGGACGATGGTGAAGTGGAAAGGGGTGGGGATGCCTTGGTAGTTGTTGTTGAAGGTCCAAACCTATTGGTAGTGTTGGCTATTGATACAGGTGCGCTTTTGGTAGGTGTAGGTGTTGTTGATGTTGTAGTTGTTGTTGTTGTTGTTGTTACATTTGTCTTGATTGGCATTGGATTGATAAGTGTTGGTTTCCTTGTTGGAGGTTTGGGTGGAGGCTTGGGACAATTGGCTGGAGCTACAATCGGTGAATCCAGCACCTCTGGATTGAATATACGTGACATTGGTCTGGTGAGTGTGCTGTTGTTGGTATTATTATTGTTGTTGTACATGTCTGATGAGTCCTGTCGCGGACTTAGTAGGATGGTTCCAGTGCGGCGAGGTGGTGGTCTCGGACGCACGGTCTGCGATCCATTGGCAATGATATGAACCGACTCGCGTTTGTCATCGATAGAGGCTGGGTCCAGATAATCGATGGACGACGTGTCCCTTGGTGGCTGCACCACCATCGACTTCCTGTAGGCGCTCTTCACCTCCATGCTCTTGAAGATGGGGTTGTAAAAGTCGATCATGTACTTGATCACGTAGGACTGTAGCTTCAAGTTGACCAATCCAGCACTGATGTCCTTGAACTCTGGATCACGAATGAGTGTTGGACCAAACACGATGCCCAAGTTATCAGAGTTCATCTTATTCTTATCCTTGTGTGATTCGACCAAAGACAAGAACTCGATCAACTTCTTTAGAATACACAGATGTGAAGGAGGAATACTCAACACCAACTGTCTTAACTTGATAACTATGTTCTGTTCACTCTCATCAGGATTACCTATTTTGGTAGATTGATTGATTGGATGAGTATGAGATCCCAAAATGCTATCCTCGGAAGAGTTAATACATACGAACAATGTCTATGACCTCGTTATACCTGTCGCATGGTATAAGTGGCTGTGGAAGCTCCTTGAAGAATGTAGATATCAATCCACATACACAATATGGATTGTCGACACCTTCAAAGCTCAAGTCGCCATCCTCAATCTTAAACTTTTGCATGCTTATATCCTTATTACTACCATTGACTCTGAATAATCCTTCAGTGTCCAAGTCTATATATATATTTTGGTCGTTGTATGATTGATTAGTCAGACATGTCCATTGTGGTCAACTCAAACTTCAACATCAATATACATACGTGACTTTAGATACTCCATTCCCTTGGTCAATACAAGAGGTATACCATCTGGTTGATCCGGATAGAGGTCTTGCAACTCATCGGGCGACAGACCAAACTGAGGGAACTTTAGACGATGTACGACAGCATTGCCAAAGGAGAACTTTGAGAACGTAAAGTCGAGGTTTCTCAATGTCTCCCATGCCGTCTTATTCTTATCGCTGTTGGAGCCACCGCCCAAAGAATCATCCCTCAACGACAAGTCCTTATTCTTCTTCCCACCACCTCGACTGACACTTTCCTTTCGAGGTGACTTTAGATTCTTCTCCAATTCGAATCTTGATGGCTGAATTCGAGGTGCCACTGAGCTTGGTGCCATCAATATATTCTTCTCTCTCAAGTCATCTGGTGATGGTCTACAGGCAGGTTGTGGTGAGTTGTATGGTCAATGTTAGTTTGTTTGTAGTCGTCGTCGTCGTCAATCAAAGTGACATGTTACACTTGGACATGTATATTAGATGACGTACCTCTTCTTCATAAAGTTACCCAAAAAGTCACCAAACTTCTTCTTTAGTTTCTTTGGTTGTCCATCTTCATCCACAGCACCAGTATCCCAACTATTTGATGAATCACTTAGAGACATTACTATCACTGTCTCTCTCTCTCTCACTATTAACTGTTTTGTTTGTTCTTTCTGTCTGTCTAGTTTGTCTGTTTGTATCAACGTTGGAGTTGGAATCAACTTTAAATTACAAGTTTGGAAAACAAATAGTGTCAAAAGTAAATAGGTTCTTAAGAACACGTGACGTCCTTCCGCCAGCGGTATATGTATGTATTTGTATTATTAAATGTATATGGGTATAATTGTGGTTTGCGGGACTTACCTCTAGAGAGGATGCCATTGTCATCAACCAACAGCAAAACGCGCAAAATAGGTCCTTTTTTGCCTTTTGAAATTTTGTTTTATTTGAAATTATCTGTTGGGAGAGCGACCCCAACAATCTTATCGCAAAGCGAATCAAGATCGGCACATTGGGTTAGCCAACAACCACACCCATTACCTGACCTCTCCTTATCCCATCTCTCACTTTGATTGAGACCTCATCACAATAATCAAAGACAACATCAACAATGAACTTGAACTCACGATTGAATGTGGCCGATGAACCACCTCCTAATAATAATAGTCTGGTCTTGCGATTGACCAGATCAGAACAAGTCGGTTCTCTTTCCGATCAGCATGTTCAACAACCATCAATCGAGCAAATACAGATCAATCTCTCATTCACAGATAATGATAACAACAATATATCACATACAACAACAACAACAACACTACCACTAGCATCACAGTTGTTACTGTCACCGATCATAACACAACGGGATTATACATTACCCTTGGTCAGTGTATGTTTGTGTATGAAGAATGCTGCCACCTTTATCGATGAAACATTGCTCTCGGTACTGGCACAGACCTATCAAGGTCCCATTGAATTGTCAATATACGATGATGTTAGCACTGTATGTAACTTATTTTCAAACTCAATCATCATGTTAGCGCTAACACTCTCTTGTTGAAACAAAGGATGGCTCGTATGATCGTGTAAAGAGATGGTTCAGTATGTTCCGCCATTGCTCTATCATGATCTCTTTGAATGGTGCGAGATCACATCAGCATATATTGGAGACACATGGCATCACAGAGTACAATCTTTTACTGGACAGCCATTATACAAAATGTCCACACTTGATTGATCCTAGGACATATAATCAATCAGATAGTCAACAACAACAACAACAACAACAATTAACAAGTGGTGGATGTGGATACGCTCGTAACAGGTCAATTGAGTACTCACATGGCCAATACCTGTGTATATTGGATGCCGACGATATAATGTTCCGTGAAAGAATTTATCTTCAGCTCAAGGAATGCTTGGACAATGCTGACAAGCATCTGATTGTTGGTGCCAACTTTATACGCATACCAGATGGCTCATCAACACGATACACAAACTGGTGCAATAGTATGGACAATGAACAACTGCATCTGCATCAATATCGCGAGTGTACCATCATCCAACCAACCTGGTTTATGAAGCGTACTGTCTATGATCGTAATGGACCATTTACAGAACCTTCACCAGAGGTCTATTCTAGACTATACAGTGTTGTTGGTCCAGGTACCAGTGAACAGGTACCGACATCTCAACCTCGTAGACCAATCCCTGAGGATCTATTATTCTTCCACAGACACTTGGACCAGGACGGACAGTTGCGAAAGGTCCATCAACCATTAGTGATCTACAGATACCATCCGGATAATCTGAGCAAACAGATACATAGACTGGTGTTGTTCAAGATCAAACTGGAGCATCTGGAGCGTAGGGTACTTAGCAACTGGCAACAGTTCTCGATATGGGGTGCTGGCAGGGATGGCAAGAAGTTCTTCACAATGCTCTCTGATGCCAACAAAGATAAAGTGGCAGCATTCTGCGATGTCGATGTGAACAAGATTGGCAAGAAGTACAATGCAGCCTACACCAATCACATGATACCTATCGTACACTTCTCTCAGGCACCTCCACCATTCATACTATGTGTGGCACTAGATCGAACAAACATGGAGTTGGAGAACAACATAAAGTCATTGAATCTACGAGAGGGTATAGATTATTGGCAGTTCAACTGAACTCTACATGGTGTATGTATATAAACATCAAGATGGTCATGGAGTGATCCATTGTCCATCCATTACTATAACTTTATTTAGGCCTTGAAATGGCATTACATAACCTCTTTTTAGACCTCCTGATGGTCTTGTATATAGTTTGAAATTTGGCAACTGCTCCAGCAGTCTTGGCCTTCTTTACTTCCCTTGGAGACACAGCAGTCGATCCACTTCCAGCACCTCCAGCAGATGATCCATCAGTTGAGTTATAATTACACTTGAATGTCACACCCTCTGGATATCTACACTCTGGTGAGCGTCTGTTCTTGTCCAAGAATGCCTCGATCACCTTTTCAAACACTTCATGCAGGCCTTTCTTTGTCAGTGAACTACACTCACAAAAGTATGCTGCACCCAACTTGGCCGCCAGTGCTTCACCTTGTTCCGTAGATACTGGCGCCAGGTTTAACTTGGCCAGCCTCTCTGTGGTTTGGTCATTCTCGCGAAGGTCCATCTGGGTGCCAACTAGGATGATTGGACTCTCTGGTGAGTGAGTCTTTATCTCGGATATCCACTTATCTACACAGTTCTTGAAGGAGTTTGGATTGACAACACTATAGCATAGCAGGAACACATCTGTGTGTGGATAGCTCAAGTGTCTCAACTTGTCAAAGTCCTCTTGTCCGGCCGTATCCCATAAACCCAAGTTGAATGGTTTATTCTCATACATGACCAATGCCGAATAATTATCGAATATAGTTGGTTGGTACTCTGTTGGTATATAATTGGATGTGTATCTGATCAACATTGATGTCTAAATAGTGATTAGAGTTCAATGTTTAGGTTAATAGAATGGCCAGTATTAGGGTAATTTGATCATTTAATTACCTTTCCAACAGCACCATCACCAACAATAACAGTCTTTATGTAAATCATTTCTTGTGATCTTAGAGACTACTATACTATTATTTATGTTTGTATGTATATATGATTGATATTGATATATTGATTGAGTAAGACGTCGCCAAACTAAACCATGATTGTATAGACAGACTGTGGAGGAGCCTGTCATTTAACAAAGTAAGGATGGATGTCAGTGCCAGTACCTACCAAGTTGGGTATGCTCCATAAAGAGTTGTATTGTGGTGTGTCCGTCCCGTCATTGACATTATATTAAGGTCTATTTATATATCGATCACAGACTGCTCCACTGTCTATATGTCAATCGATATAATATCACTGACAACGACATGTAGAGAGCAAGAAGACATCAGTTTAGTATTAAAGAGATAGAGTGAGTGAGTTGGATGATAATAATAAAGGTGAGTCAGTGACAGAGACATACTGGCTACTCCTGTATTAAGTGGTATTGTTCAATGAACAAGATTTACAACAACTTGTTACTGATTCCAAGTGACATTGGAGACGGTCTATTGTTAGCAAGTGAATTGACATGAGCTCAAATGGATGTATATATATTAATTATAATGTTAGACATCGCATTGATGAATCGTTTACCATCACCACCATCCAATAAGATATACAACATCAGTTGAGTGAGTGTTGGGATGGGGGGAGAGTAAATGGTGGTCATGTGATCTATCCAATACACCTGATTGATTGGTGAGTGATCAGTGTTGTTTGTGTGAGAGAGAGTTTGTGTGTTATTGAACTCTCTGTGTGTCTAGCTGTCTGCAGTAGTAGTTGTCTCATCGCTTGGCGTAGATGCTGAGATGGAGGTGGTATCATAAGTTACATCGGCCACAAACACTTTGTTGTTGGCATTGTCTTGAACCTTTTGGATGAACTCGTTGATGTCCACTACCAGCTTGAGATCAGTCTCTCCTCCTCCCAACCATACGACTTGATTTTTCAGCGATAGGATCGCCTGGGACACGATTATTGGTATGCGATCGATAGTGGCAATTGGACAGACAGCATTGTACTCAAAGCCAGTCATACGATGTGATGCTTCACTCGTTGCCAAGGTAAATCGATAGTTTGCCTTTGACAGTGGCTGGTTGCTCTGACGACTCTGACTGCCCAATGACTTGACAAACTTGAGCACCTTTTGATTCTGTATCTTGGTCGTGTACTGAATGATGACCAGGTAGTAGCGACTATTGAATGGATCAGACATATCACTGTTGACACAGTCAATGTTCTCCATTATAATACTCTTGCAGAGATGATCTGGTGATGGTGCATCCAAGTAGCATGCCCTCTGCTCCAATGTCCATGTATAATAAGGTGATGGTACTCGAACTAATTCATTCCTGAATGAATGAATGTTGTTGTCATTGTGTTGAGTCAGACCAACATGTTGATTGAGAGCATTGATCAATGTTGACTACCTACTTCAAATCGATTGACTTTGCATAATCAGAGACATGTTGTTGTGTCTTTGTAATCTCATCACTTGGTGTCAAGTTGTTTAGACGTTTACTGAGTTGATCAAGTCTTGATAGAATATCATTCTGTTTGGTCAACAGTATTGAAGTCCTTTCAATATCCATTATATGTCTTTGTGTTGTGTTTTGATAGTTATCTGACAGAGTGTACTTCACTTTTCCCAATCCACCCATAACTATTCAGTGTTTGAATCGTTCGTTTTCTGACAAAAATTCCCTAACAATTTGAGACAACATTATATTACTTCTTGTACAACAGGTAGAGATAAATGGAAGAGTTTGGATTCAACACAGATGATCTGATATTTGAGCTCAATGAGCCAAAGCAGAAGAAGGGTATACCAAAGGTTGACAATTACTCTCCAAAGATTGATTCAAGTCTGGTATGTTTATCATATTCAATCATGAGCTCTAGCAAGTCAATCAGTATTAACAAAGTAACAACAACATAGTGGTTCATTGATTGCGACCCTACCTCTATACCTATAGAACATCTAATCGATGATGATAAACCAAAGACAAAGAAGGAGAGAAACAAACATAGAAAGATGAAAGATGACAATAATGAGGACGATGAATCAAAGAATGAGAGAAAGGAAATGAAAAAGATAATGCGTATGCTTACTTATAGGATCGACCATTACTATCTAAACAAGAAGTATGAGCTCTGTCTTTTGGACTCTGTGCAGTTGCTCAAGTTTGTCAAGGCGTTGGCAGGTGACAACTCACAACGAATGGCTGTCATCGAGGTTGAGATTCGCTGTCTATTCAAGCTGGCGCGCTATCAAGACACAGTTCACAAGATGGCCGAGTTTGAACGCTTGGCTACTCAACCATCGCATCCAGTCCCCACGAATATACCCAAGGATGCTGTGCCTGTTGCACCTTCCATCTTTAGAGACTCCTCGATGATCTACATTCTGGCTCAGTGTCATCACCACCTGGCGGCGTACGACGAGGCCATCGTTCAGTACCAACGAGCAATCGGTCTGAATAGTGCTGTCTGGGAATGGTGGCTCAACCTCGCACAATGTTATCTCAATCAGCCATTACTTCAACGTCCAATGTTGGCGAGCACGACAGTCTACCCATCGGTTGGTCAAGATGTCATTGGCCATACACCACAATGGCGTCTACTCTGTGCCAAGCGATCATTATCAATTGCATTATACTATCTACTCAGCTCGATACAGCAGAAGAGATCCTTGCCACCATCAATACTGACAAAGGGCGAGCAACCAAAGGATGCTGGATGGGACTCACCACTCAAGCGAATCCACGAGCGACTCTCAAGCATTCACACCACACTCATAGATCTTGACGCCAATCAGTTGATCGCCCTTGTGGATGGCCACTCATTCAGCGAGTTTGAGACACGATGGTTCGTTGAATACCGCGAGCGAATTGCCGAAGACGAGGAAGCAATCGAAGAAGAGAACCCATATGCTCTGTAATCGTGCAGTTGCCGTTAAACACGCACAACACTATCTCTTGACTGCTTTATTTGATTGCAGGGTTAATCGCAGGTCTCTTGGATCCAGTTGTGATGGATCTGGTATGGATTCCTCTTCTCTATACTTCCTCTTGTTACTATCACTGCTGCTGCTGCCGCTCTTGCTATTCTTGCTCTCATTGATCACATTCCTCAAATCGCCCTCGCTAGGCTTACTACTACTGCTCTTGCTGCTGCTCTTGCTCTCATTGATCACATTCCTCAGGTCGCCACCTTCCCAAACTGACCCACGTGATGATGATGATGAAGATGAGGATGAGGAAGAGGAAGAGCTATCCTTGTCTGGGAGTATTCCCTTGCCAATGGCCCTTGCATTGATTGAGTAGTCTATAAGATAGGTGTGTTAGTTATAGATCTTTCATCTAACATTGTTGTATATAATACTTACATCCATTCTTAACATTCTTGGCATGATCAATGAGTGCTCCCCATGTGGAGTTGCACTTGAGGAGACTTGAGTGGCCCATGATAATGAGGGAGTGTCGCGCACGTGTCAGACCGACGTTCATACGCCTGATGTCCGACAAGAAACCAATTGTTTTGCCAGCGTGTGCTCTGACACATGAGAATATGATGATGTCGTTCTCACAGCCCTGGAAGGCATCCACTGTGTTGACCTGTACATTGGGGAAGTGTGACACACGTGACTGAATCTCTCGCGTCTGCTGCTTGTAGGGTGTGATGACACCGATGCTCTTGTTCTTGGCGCTGGGGAACTGTTCGTAGAGGTTGCTGATGAATACGCTAACGAGCTTGGCCTCCAGTCTGTTCTTGAGTGAGAAGCCTGGACCGCTCTCCTCCAAACTGTCAGTGATGTCGTAAAAGACGAATGGGCCAAAGCGAGGATCGCGATAGTAATCCTCTTTGTAGCTCTGCACATTGCGACCATCCTCCAGTGCATCCATGTAGAAGTGCTTCGAAGGGAACCTGGAGATGGCTGGATGCATACGATACTGCACCGACAGGACGTGCTGCTGAACACCACATTTGACAAGACGCTGGAAGAGACTGGACTCGTATTGGTACTGCGATGCCAGACGAGAGATAACCGTAGGTGGCAACTGGTTTGGATCACCGACCATGATGCACTTGTTGACATTGAACCTGAGTGGTATGAGTGTGGATAGCTCAACGGCTTGGGCCGCCTCGTCAATGATGACCAAGTCAAACTCCTTAATGGCTCGACCTAACCACTCTGTGCCACTGCCCGAGAGTGTTGAGAGAACAATATTGCACTGTCTAAGCAACCCCTTCCTATGCTTCTCTTGAAGCTCAGCCATTGGTAGCTTCGCCTCAGACTTTGATGATTCACCATTGCTGCTACTGCTTCCGTTTGGCTTGTCAACGTCCACCTGCTTCTTGTCATTTCCACTCTTCAGAATCTCCTTGTTTAGCATAAAGTCCAACGATATGGACTCCACCTTGGGATTGATCTGACTTGGATGACCCTGTTACTTGATGTGTTAGAACGTACTACTTTTTGGTGTGGGTGGAGTATGAAGTATAATATACATACGATTCTAATTGCTGATGGAACAAAAGGTAAACCATTGGCATTATATACATTGCTTCCAAGTATTCTCATTGCAATCTCATCGATGGCTGCATTCGATGGTGCACACACAAGGATCTTGTCGAGTCCTGCAGGTTTCTTTGAACCAAAGTCTAGGCTGAGGAACGCAGATAGCAGTGCCATGATTGTCTTTGTCTTGCCTGTACCAGGTGGACCCTGTAGCAGAGTGATGCCTTGAGGATTGGAGATTGATTGCTCGATGGCCTTCAACTGTGAGCTGTTCAAGTCGTTTGAGAGTCGCTCCTTTAACACGAGTGGAATGAAACCAGCGGCAGCAATGTCCTTTGATGTTGCGATCGAGGGTCCAGGTGAGATGATGAACTTGCCCAATGGTACATGTTGAATCATATGCAGTGCAATGTACTCTCTGCTGATAGTATGTAGTGACGACAGTTTCTTTATATTCCACATTGAGCCCTTCTTCATGTGCTTGAACATATTGCTCATCCTCGTGTCCAACTCACAGAACTTGATTGTCAAGAGCTTCAAGTTGTGCTCCTTTCGATCCTTTCTCGTCTTGCTCTCTATCTTTCCAAATGCTTCATACTTGTCCTATTGTTTTTGTGTGTCAGTATGTGATGGTTGATAGCCAACCTGACCGTGAGTCTAGACAATACATACACTGGAGGCATCTTGGGATAGCTGGATGAGGTCGTTCTCGAAAAAGTCATCTTCCTCGCTGTCCATCTGGAAGACGGCGATCTGGAAGTCACCTTGACAAGAGACATCTTCAAGCTTGACAGTGGTGACAGCATCCACCTCCTCAATGCTCTTGAGAAGTTGGCTCTTGAATTCCTCCAGTAGCAAGGGCTCAAATATCTGTATGTAGTCCACGTCGCTGATAAAAGACGTTGGGACAGACTTGAGGTTGGTCTCCTTCTCAACAAGACTGTTTGCGTTCCACTTGAGAATGATCTTGTGCAAAGAGTCTACCTTGGGCAACTTGATCTGTGTCTGTGCCAAACGATTCTGCTCAATCTTCTTCTCGAGACCTGTCTGCGTCGTCTTGATGTCCAGCACCTTGGTCTTCTTCTTTTCGGCAAGCGCGATGGGCTTGGCCAGTGGCTGGTCGAATGGATCGAATGTCTTCTCCAGGAACTGATCGTAGTTCTTACCCTCAATGTTGACTCCTTTGGGACGATTAAGGAACTGTGCCATCGATGAGACATTCAGCTTGGGGTTACCCATCTGTATATTGGCGTTGGAGTGTTGGAAACGCAGTTGATGATCAGGGTTGTTGATCTTGGGACATGATAGGCCCAGCGAGCAATCCAACTTCTTGGCAGTTGGCTTTGTAGACTGTGCCGTGATTGACCCTGATCCGCCAGATGCCACTGTTGTCGTAGTGGTTGAGGATGTGGGTAGCGTTGGTGATGGGCTGGCTGAGGTACTCCTAGGTGGAGTACCAACCGCAACTGTAGGATTGGGTACCTTTGTCTCGGTAGCAACAGAATTGTGGTCCTTGTATTTCATAAGATGACCTCTCTGGCTGTCGTTGAGCACACTCGTAGGCTCTAGTAGCTCTTTGATCTTGCTCCTGAATGATGCATGTATATCTACCTTTGACCTCTGAAGCTCTGTGTTGTGTGTGATTGAGTAAGTATGATACCTTGGTTGGGGATGTGAGAGGCAATACCTTTCAATATGAGGAGGAAGCAATTGAACCATTCAGGTGTAAGCTCTTTGGAATAATAGAGATATTGATCGACCCATCCTTGTTGGAATCCAATGATGCTAATGATTGGAGGCGCAATGCCATTCGACTGTTTGTTTCCAGCTGCGTAATAAAATGAGAGGTCGTCGGCAAGCGACTCAAACACTGGCAGGAATGATGGAGTGGCGCCAGCAGGTAATTGATTCTTGATGTAGGCTGGGTATAGGTCGAGCGAGTCAAACAGCTGCTGTCCACTGTTGATATAGTTGACAATGAACGAGGGTGGCGATGTGATCGTGGTGAATCGCTCGCTTGCAACAATACTGATGGAGTTGGTCATCAGTGTGAATACTGGCTTGAGCTCGCTGGTCTTGAGCGTGCGCGATGAGAACAGCAGCATGATAATTGGCCACAGTGCATCGATGAGCAGTGACACAAAGAATAGATGATCGGGCATGTTGTCCTTCAGCTGGTAGAGTATATGATTACAGTAGTAATACGTCTGTCTGAGTGAGTCCATGTCCACCTTTGTTGAGCCCACCGCCAACAGAATGTCTCGCAACACACCAAGCACGCCTTTAAGTGTTGGTGTTGCATTGTGTTTGATCGATCGCTTCAAGGACGTGGTGATCGTTGGTGGTTGAGCATCCTCACTTGTGAGATGTCTCTTGATCAACAGCTTCTGGAATACCTGTCTCACATTGGACCCCGAAGAAACAACGAATGAGAAGATGCTCTTGCTAAACTCCTCGCCTTCCAGTACATCAGCGTTCTCTGCTGTGCCTCCTGGTAGTCGTTGTGTCTTCAATGGATGTGCCTGAGTATATGCATTTAAATATATTGATATATCTTCGTAGAATCTGTGATTGGTTGATTGTTCAATTTGTTAGGTATAATGTCCAGACTGCTACAGCATCATCACCATCATACATACTTCTTTAAACAGTTGAATATTGGAGGTTGATTCTGTGACGACTTGTCGATGGAGTCGACAGGTAGTAGGCCTAGGATTCGATGTGCCTTGAAGATAGCTTCGTGCAGGGGATGTGTGATTGATTTTGGATTGGTGTTGAGCAGCATCTCCCAAAGATGTCCACACCAGAAGTCTATACTGCCATTCGTGTTGTTGTTGGCAGGTGAACGGTAGTAGTGCTGTTGAAACCTGATGCGTAGCTGAACGGCACTGTCCAGAAGGATGTGAACCAATATCTGAGTGCATGTTTGAATACGACTCTGATCGGGTATCACTGAGAAATACGGTTGTTGTAGTGAGTAGTGGACAAGTCTCTCGCCCAATCCCTTAATGTTTGGTAATGGTTGGTTGGTGTCAATGCTGCATTGTGGAGTTAGTTAGATATGATGCATCACATTGTGGTTGTCAACGAGACACAACATACCACTTGTGTAAGAAGTCCAATACCAATGTGAATGCGCTGGTTTTGATGAGGTCGGAGAAGGCTGCATCGGGTGTAGCGCATCTCTCTAGACAGTACTCGATGACAGCCTCGCGGGCACCATCAAAGGGCTCGTCTTTGCGGTTGATGATGAGATTGGAGAACGACTGAAGTATGCTCTGTTGAGTGTCGATCTGCTTTGACTTCTCAAAGTAGTCGCAGATCAATTGAAACAATGATTGAATTGTCTTGTTGCCCATAAGCTTCTGTGTGGCACCGTCGTAGCCCATTCGATCAAATACAGTCGTCAAGGCCAAGAAGTAACTTGGTGGGATCGACATGTTCGTAGTGGCCATCTTGAGTTCATTGATTAACATGTCGAGCATTGTCTCATATGAAGGTCTGGCCATGACAGTCTATTGTTTGTTGAACTGGTTAGATCACCTGACTGGGCTCTATGTTTAAAGTTGCTCACTTACCTTTAGTAGCTCTGGCTCAAACTGCTGAATGAACAGGTCCAAGCCAGCCCAGTACTCTTGCATATTGGTTGTGATATATGACTCGTAGGGAGACTGCTCCTGATGACAATAGAGTGATTGGAACACTCTTTCAAAGATTGGATCGATGATCAGGAATTCATCCATTGTTGTAAGCTTGCCAATGTGTGACAAGTTCTCTGCGGCCCACTTTCGCAATGTGCCTTGATCAGACATCAATAAGATATATAGTCCAGGCACCTTGTTGCCATTGTTCTGGAATGATATGTCATATTGCTCAATGATGATGCACAACGCCTGTATCAAGTATTCGAAAGTTAGTTGGATCTATAACATACACGAGGTGATTGACTGTCTTTGTTACCTTTGTAAAGAGTGGAAGTATTGACATGTTATCCAATACGTCTGGATAATGAAAGATCTCATGCAATGTGAATAGGATGCTATCTTTGCCTTTGGTTGGATTGTCAATGAACTTCTTTAGTGTGGCACTGACTCGATCCTCATCCTGTCGTCCAATGATCTCGAACAAGTACCAAACACTATCCTTTGTGAACTGTTCCAATAGTTGTTGTCTCATCAACTTCTTCTCTTTGTGATATCTAATAATGCTATATATATATCAATGTTAGTGTATCAATCAAATGTCACAAAGTGACGATTATAATGACACATACCAATCGAAGCATTGTGATAGTTGTGTATCAACCTTGTTCTTGAAGTTAATGATCTCATCATTAGCCTCTGCCAAGTTCTCCATCAAGTTGAAGTAGAATCTGCGCATATGTATCCATTGCTTGCACCAAAGACTTGATTGAACGAATGAGTTAGTTGTGTGATCGATCGATCGAGTGAGTGACAATAATGACTGAACTTACTGATCCTTGTCAAGACAATATACAAAGGATTGCTCTGGAGATACTTCACTCTCTACATCCATCCTTTACAGTATATATATGTTGGTTGTAGTTGTTATTTGTAGAATGAGACTGGACAGATAATACTCGTTGAAGTTGAACAATAAATGACAAAACTTGGAAAACAGGTATTGAAAACCACCAAAAGCCCACTCTTCATCATCTAACAATCAATCAATCAATCATTGTGATAATAGTACAACATTATATATATAATAGAATGAGAAGAACAGTTGTACATAATGGAGAGATAAAACAGATAGATCCAACAGCCAATCAATCAAAACCAATGGATGATGTTGATGTTCAATTTCACTACTTCTCAATCAAGAACACTGTACAGGATGTAATAACCAATCATAAGATTACATTGGTTAAACTATTCATATGGCTAGTGTTTCAATGGCTGGCTCTAAAGATTGAGTTTGGTGCTATCTTCTTTGTAATCAGTATGACTGTAATGATGATGTGTAATCTAGGTAAAAGACAAAAGGTATGTTATTCATTCATTCATTCATTTATTCATTAATGTATGTGCACCTAACTAACAATGAATGATTATTATAATCTATCAGGGTGATGTCAGCGCATATAGTGTATTCAATAAGAATCAAATGTCAATACTTGGTTCAGTCAGCAGTCAACAGTTGGAGAATCAATTTAGATATCAAGGTTGAGTGATCACTAATGAAATGATTATAACAACTCTACGACAACTATTACAGTTATGTAAACTGTCATGTTATTAGCAATGTCAATGTGAATCAGATCATTGGTGTACTCCTCAATGTGTAAATGAATGAACTGGCACTTCAAGATTCCGATGCCATCAATTTGAGGGAATCGACCAAATTGCCTCTTTCGTGAATGTGACTGACCACCTTGCATTGTCTCTGAAGTTGCGAGAATGTCAGAACCATCTCTGACACGACAAGTCAATTAAACTTTACTTACAGTCAGTACTTGTTATTGTTATTATTATTTATATATATATATACATACTAGTAGTAGATTACAGAGATGGTTAGCGGTGTAAAGAGAAAGCATGGAGTTCAACTACTTGGCATGATAGTGCTGATGTTTGTATTCTTTGGTCTGATGTTCTATATGTTTGGAGGTGGAGACAGCTTTAAATTGATACATGTCGAGGGTAACATACATGTCTTTGACAATGGCAATGGCATAAGACAGTTCAAGTTCAGTAAGAATGGTGACAGACAATCAGAGATCAAAGTACGAGTTATTGTTATCAATACACTATGACATGAATACACTCACTAACTCACGATATATAGATTGGAGATGTAGAACATGTACCATTAGCATATATAAGAGCTACGATAGCATCACTTACATTCTTGACAAAGAGACCGACATCTATATTGTTGGTTGGATTGGGCGGCGGCTCAATCGCAACCTACCTACACAAGCATTTCCCATCGGCTCATATCGATATTGTAGAGATGCATCAGAGGATGTTGGACGTGGCCGAGCAGTATTCAAACTTTAGACGTAACGATAACGTTGTGGTTCACATCTCTGATGGCTTGGACTATGTGGAGAGACAAAGCAGAGCTGGCAAGCACTATGACCTGATCTATCAGGATGGCTGCTCATCGGCCCCGTGCAACTTGATGACGGTGGACGGCTTCAAGATCATGTCCAAACTGTTGTCACCGGAGGGTGTCTACCTCCAGAATCTCATTGGTCTGCGAAGGCACTTTGGTGTTATACGCAACATGCAAGAGGCATTCAGAGAGCTGTACTACGTCGAGTCTGGCAGTGTCAATCAAGTGTTCATTGGATACAATTATAATGTATCACTAAGCACTAGTGATCTAGTGACTCGAGGCGAAATGTTCCAGCTACAAGAGAAGCCATACTTCAACGTCGTCAATGAGTTCTCTACACATTTCAAGAGGCTGACAAATGTAATGATCAATGTCGACAACTATATATATCAAGAGTAATCTTATTATTAATGTAATAAATGTAAATGAAAGGTTGACATGTCAACCCAAATATGGGCATAGCTATCCTGGGAATAAATATCTCCGCTAACTATTCTGATCAAAACTGCAACAAACAACATCACTCATTCCGATCAATACTACGTAGTAGTTGTTCATGCTTCAGTCATTGGATAAGACAAAAGATAGAATGGAAACAAAGTTCAATAACAACTATGATAGCAGATCATGTGTGATCGGTGTCAATGGTGTATGTGCCTCAAGTCAAACATTGGCATCACAAGTTGGTGTTGATGTACTAAAGAGAGGCGGCAATGCTGCTGATGCTGCCGTTGCCATGGCTTCAATGCTCAACCTTACACAACCATGGTATATATATCTAATCTCAATCACTCATTCTTTCTTTCACTCAATCCTAACATCAATCAACCAACTCAAGTTCAACTGGAATAGGAGGTGATTGCTTTGTCTTGTTCTGGAATAACACAACCAAACAGATACATGGCATCAATGGAAGGTAAGTCCTATCATCATTCATGCATTCGTGCTACCAACAATCAATATAGGCCCTAACCAAACATTCATATACGATCAATCAATCAATCAAAGTGGCCGAGCACCCAAGAACCTTAACATCGAGATCTTAAGGAAGATCAATATCACGGGTGATTCAATACCTCCAGAGAGTCCAATGGCTATCACTATACCAGGGTAATATATTACCATGACATAAGTGCCCTCCACCAACGATCACTACCTCACACTCTACCAACAAATCAATCTCAGTGCAGCAGCAGCATGGTGTGACACTATTGAGAAGTTTGGAAGTGGCAAACTGACAATGATGGAGATCCTACAACAGACCATAGACTATTGTGAACAAGGTGTACCAATCCAACAAAAGACAGCAGTTTGGTGGGACAAGTCATCACATCAACTAAAGAACTCACCCAATGGCGATGAGATGCTCATCAATGGAAAGCCACCATTGGCAGGGGACATCTTTAGGAATCCAAACCTTGCCAATACATTCAGACTGCTGGCACAACATGGAAAGCAAGGTTACTACAAGGGTGTCGTGGCTGATGCCATTGTCAAGGTGATCAATGACCTTGGTGGAGTGCTCTCACACGACGATCTCGAATCACACAGTTCCACATTCGACACACCAATCTCTGTAAACTATCGTGGATACAATGTCCATGAAATGCCACCCAATGGCCAAGGTATCACTGCCCTTGTAGCACTGAATGTATGTATCTTGTAATCCAGTACACACCAACATACACTAACTGGTACACTTTAGATACTTGAGGGCTTTGACCTGGCCTCACTTGGACCACACTCTGAACAGCACATACATTTGATGATCGAAGCATTGAGACTGAGCTTTGCAGATACAAGGTATTATGTGGCTGATCCAGCTTATTCAAAAGTACCAATAAAGAGTTGTTGTCCAGGAATATGCAGCCACTAGACGTACATTGATTGATACACACAAATCAAACAAATCAATCGAGAAGGGATATCCTGCAAACAGTAGCAGTACTGTATATCTTAGTGTTGTAGACAAGCATGGCAATGGATGTAGCTTCATCAACTCAAACTATATGGTATGTTCCAATCATTCAATTATTCAATCATCCAATCAATCAATCATTCTAACATAAATACACAATTAGTCATTTGGAACGGGAATCATTCCCAAGGGTTGTGGATTCACACTACAGAACAGAGGATCAAACTTTGTATTGGACGAGTCACATCCTAATGCCCTGCAACCGGGCAAGAGACCATACCATACAATCATCCCTGGTATGATCACAAAGGATGGTGAATTGTTTGCAACGTTTGGTGTGATGGGTGGATTCATTCAGCCACAGGCACATGTGCAGACTGTCGTCAACCTGATTGATCATCGCATGGACCCTCAGTCAGCACTGTCTCACCCTCGGTTCTTTATCGATGATGGTACCAAAGATGGTATTGTATTGTTCGAACCTGGTGTCCCACAGCAGATCATCAACAATCTTCAAGCTCGCGGTCACAACGTTCAGGTGGAACATGTCCAAGGTGATGACCGACGTACCTTTGGCAATGGTCAAGTTATCGTGGTGAAGTCACTTAGTGAGGCCAACAACAACAGCAGCAGCAGACGTGTATTGGTAGCTGGCAGTGATAACAGGTGTGATGGTGTAGCAACAGCCTATTAGGTGGCAATCTTCCAACTTCCATCATACGCATAATGTCATAACGCCACAAGCCGATGCCCCCTCTTTCGTTTTCATGTCGAAAGGTCGTTGGGTGGCAAAGACCACCTCGTTTTTTTTTCTAAAGCCCCACATATGGCCTCGCCCCTTTTTTGACGGACTCATCTGCGTTTTTCACCCAAGATATCATTTTCGGTTGTTTGTTTCAAGATGGGCTTCCGTTTGTGGTCCTATGACCGACTGGTGTTGGGGGTGGTCAGGTAGTTCAAAGTCGGGAGTTGTGGGAGTAACTATCTGCAGTCAGTCAGGTTGTCAGAATAGATCAGAATCTATCTATTTCTGTTATGTTTGTGTCCTCTGAAAAGATTCCACTTCGTTAAATCACTTATTTACGAATATAAGTGATATCAGTTTATTCACTAACACTATTATTATTATTACAAATACATATTTTATAACATTACACTTAACATATATATTATTATTATTATAAGGTATGTTTAAATAATTGTTTACTTTAGCAATGACAACAGCACAGATATATGTCAATCATCATTATGTTGACAATGACAAGTTACGAACGACTGTTTCATTCACAGCATACACACACAAACCCATAACCCACAACACACACACACATGTTGTGGTGAGTGATAAACACATTTCCAGACTTGTGGACATGGACATTGATTGAGCCCACTACTCCTGCTCTCCAACTTGTCCTAGATTTATGATAATATTGGATAGATCCAACATATAATGATTACATAGATAATATGGTTGCCCCAGGTGTTTGTTGAGGCACATCAGTGATTGACTGTCACTCACACATCACTTACACACACCTCCACACACCAATACCATTACACTTACCTTTCTAATGTCACGCTTTCGTTCATCCCTCCCTCCATCCATTCATGTGATATATACCATGTTATGACAGACGTTCAGCCGTGCAAGGTGTATGTGGGTGTGTGGTGGACAAGCTAACTAGATATTATAAGTGTTCCATTCACCACTTATTACTTTAATAGCACTCACTTCATAACAAGTTGCTCGCTCGCTTATTTGTGTACATAAAGAAAGAAAATTGGGAGAGTCAGAGAGAGTGTAATACTACTTATTGTAACCATTACTAATTAATTGCCATCACTATCATCATCATCATCAATAATATTACTACTACCAACCACCAACTACAAATTTGGAACTGGAATATCCACAAACAATCAATCAAACAACAAACCAGAAAGTGACATAATATAGGATTTATACTATAAGATGCGCATGGAAATTACAAAGACACAGCTGGCTCTATTACTGTTGGCTACAGTGTTTTTGGCGTCTGCATTCACTCCAGTCGACGCCAATCACAAGGACAAGGAGAAGGATGACGACAATTCCAACACAATGGAGACTCCACCATTAAAGCCAAAGTCACCAACTGAGGCCCAAATGATCAAGCTGGCACTGACGACGGTGCCCTCTCAGATGATGGTGTCATGGTACTCATTGCAGCCAAGTGGAAGTCCACTCGTCAAATTCTCAACCAACAAGGGCAGTCTCCAAGAGACACTGGCCGCTCAGCCAGGCTACAAATCAGCATTCCCAGTGTTCAACATTACTGGTGTCTCCCAGCCATTCCAGACATGGGAGGGTTACTCAAACACCGTGGTATTGGACAACCTCAACCCCATGACCACTTACTACTACGTGGCTGGCAGCACTCAACTCAATGAGTGGTCCACCATCAGCAGCTTCAAGACCAGCAACTTTGCCTCTACATCCAAGGGCAAGGTTGCCACTACCCCAGGTGGTGTTACTCCATTCACATTCGCAGTCTATGGAGGTATGTTTGTAGACACAAACCCAAATGATAACTCAATGACACGCACACTAACACATAGACCAAACAATCAGATATGGGAGTTGGAGGAGGATTCAATGATACTATCTCTGTTCTCCAACAGAACCTTGGTGAATACAACATGGTGTTCCACGTTGGTGACATTAGTTACTGTGACTACGATAACGCAATGCAGGGAAATCAATCTGTGTTCAACTACCTCATGAACTACCTCGAGCCAATCACATCAAGTGTCCCCTACATGACCACCCCAGGCAACCATGACATCTATGACGAGTTCACTGCCTACCAACAGTCATTCAACGTGCCAGGCTCTGCCAAGGAGCCATGGTACTCGTTCGACTTTAATGGAGTTCACTTTATCTCCTTCTCCACCGAGTCTGACATCTCACCATTCACCGCTCAGTACCAGTGGATCAAGCAAGACTTGGCCACCTACCGTCAGAAGAACCCAACTGGTTGGATCGTTGCCTACGCTCATCGTCCTTACTACTGCTCCATCACATACAGTTGGTGCCAGAAGGACTCACTGCGCGCCTTGATCGAGGCCACAGTCGGCTCTCTCTTCCAGCAGTACAACGTTGATATTTACATGACTGGTCACACCCACGCTTACGAGCGTACCTACCCAACCTACGGTGGCATCCCCGTTGGCACCTACGACTACCCAGGAGGTACCGTTCATCTCATCGTTGGCGCTCCAGGAAACCAGGAGAGTTTGGACTATGACTACATCCAGCCACAACCCGAGTGGTCTGCCAGCCGTTTCACCACCCTGGGCTACGCTCAGATGAGCGTCGTCAATGACACTCATATGTTCTGGCAGTACATTGGCGACCAAGGCAACAAGGTGCTCGATGAGCAATGGTTGGTCAAGGGTTTCTTCGACTAATAATCCATTCCAATCAATCTATTTTGTAAATGTTGTGTAACAATACACTTGCTGATTGCCGATCAATCAATCGATCAATCTTTGTGTGCGACTTGAGCCTCATAATCGACGCTCAATAAACATTGCCCTTATTACTGTATTCCACTTTACTTTATTTGTTACTGTTATCTGAATAGTTTGATTGTGATGTTCTTGTAGTCCATAATAACTGGCACAATGGTGAGGAACAAGGTGTAGCCAGCAATGACGTACATGGAATTCTCTTGTGTTGCATAGATGGTGTGCATGCTAAAGTTGACGATGCCAGTGAGGATGTTGGCTAGCAGGAACACAAACAACTGATTCCTGTTGACACCGGCAGCAATGATCGATGGATGTATGTGGCTGGCAGTGACGAGTGACACCATCATATTGAGCGAGAAGTTGAAGATGTTTAGCGCCAAGATAGCCAGGACGTAGGTCAAGTTGGTCATCCTGCGGCTGATAGGTTGGATGGCGGACTCGGCCCATATCAGAACTCCAAACAGGAAGAGTCCGGCCAGCATGAGCTTCATGGCAAACGCGCGCCATTGACCCATCGTCGTGCGTTCCTTGCCAAAGATAGAGGCACCCAACTTTGTTCCAATGAGGTGCAGCGAGAGATAACCAGCCAGACTGCATATTCCCTCCTTGTTGGCAGCAATCAGACTGTCACGTGGATGGTTAAGGATGTAGTCACTGAGGCCAAACTGGGACAATAGAATCTGATAGGCACCAATAACCACGATGCCAACTACAAGGTTGACGTTGGGTGAGAACTTGAGGAATGAGAGCAGGATTGATACGAATCCCAGTGTGAAGAAGAAGTTCCAGTGAATGCCGTACTCTGTGACGTGCTCCTGGTAGTTTGTAGACTTGGTCAACACTAGGCGAATGAAGCCCAATGCCATCAATGGCAGGTTGGATACAAAGGCATGATATGCCAGTGCACTCCTTGACAACTTCTTGTTGGTCTCTGTCGATGTGACCTTATTCTTCAATGCCTCGGATCTAGCATTCCTTGATACCATAGCGCCAGATAATACAACTGATCCAACTCCAATGTCCATCTAATGTATGTGCGTGTTGGTTCGTTAGGTTGATTGGTAGTCATTACATGTCAATCAATCAATAATATACATACCAAAGAGATACCAAAGGTCTCTGTCTTTGCGAAACTTCTTGGGAAGACTGGGAAGTCTACAGCAAGGATACAGATGACGGTAGCAATCATAATGAATGCTCTATACTCCTCAATGAATCCCTTACGTGGGGAGTTCATAAGTCTAAGTAGTTCTTTGTTATCATCAAAGTAGTATTGCTTTGAATTAGGCCTAAGATATGTTGGTTGGTGGTCAGTCAGCTGATTCATCGACACCATCCATTCGTTCATCAAACATACTTTGCAAATAGAGGCATCAATAGAGATGATATTAACATTAATATAAGTAGTGATGGTACCATATCATTGAAGGTGACCGCTGCTAGGAACGGCATGATAATGGTCATGAACTCTAACATAAATCTAATAGGTTTAGGGAAGATTACATTGTTGTCAAAGATTGATGCAAACATAACTCTTTGGAACAGTACTGATATCTTTAAAGATAAACATATATTAGTTCAATCAATCGATCAATCAATCAAACCAACCTACAGGTATAATATTCAATACTAATGATGTTGCTAATATCGTAGAACCAGTTGGGTTCTTAACGAATGCTTCATGCGCTAACTTGTACTTGTCATCCATTCTCTCTCTCTTTTTGTATGTTACTTTCACTTGATCAGTGATTGAATGAATGAATGATTCATGATTAATTAATTGTGCAGTTGACCACACACGCTACGGTGACACTCTGATGGAACGCATTTGATGAAGTTCAATGAAATGATTGATTTATTCCCTTCTTACTTTCTTGTTTGGCTTGTCTGAAGTGGACTGGTCGTGAACAGTTCTCTGCTTGAATGTTCTTACTACCTTGTCGTCGTCAACTACCTTGTTCTTGTTCTTTGACCTGGTGTTGATATGATCGACAGTCTTTGAATGCTCCAACTGATTCAGGAAGGATGAGTTCTCTTTTCTGACACGATCCAACTCCATATGTATACGCTTGTCACGCTCCAACTTCTTCTGCACCAACTTGTCCATCAGATGGTACCACTTGAACTTTGGCAGATACCTAATATTCCACAGACAGTCCCTATGTATATCCTTTTGCTTGCCACCCATTGGTTGATTATTAAGAATGAGTGCAATCCTACGAGCTTCCTTCTTGTCACTAAACTCTATCCATCCTTCTTTGAACATATCATTTCTCTTTGCCTTTCTCTCGACGTTGGCTAATCAATTCGAATGAGTGCGTGAGTAAGGTTATGCGTCTCATGTGACTGTGACCTCTGGTCTTACCTTTGAGTAACTTCATTCTTGTAACTGAACCATGCTTGAGTAGTAGGTTCTTCAGTTTAGCAGCAGTCATCTTTGCTGGTATAGTCGATAGGTATATTACACCCTTCTGTTGATTCTTGGCTTGCAGATCCAATATCTTATCTTGTGACATTGGTTTGATAACATAATTCTTCTTCTTCTTCTTCTTTAATCCTGTACCTTGATCGTCTACTTCATCTCCATCTTCATCCCCATCTTCATCTTCGTCAACTCCATCATCGTCTTCCTCGTCGTCTTCGTTAACATCATCATCTTGTTCTACGTCATCTTCATAAACTTGATCATCTTCAATATCTTCAATATCTTCTTCCTCTTCTTCAATCTCTATCTTCTTTGGAGGAGGTCTTTGCACCTCCTCTTTATTCTTTCTCTTGTTCATCTTATTATTTGTATGATATAAATAACAATGATCAATAATCAAATCAAATCTATTTGTGATTTGTTCCAAAAAACGAACGAAAGTTGTCAACAACCCCTGAGAGTCTAACCATTTTATTGATTTGTCTTGAATGACTTAACAAAGGTGCCATCAAACATTGAAGTAAGTCTGATCACTCCTCCATTCACTAGACCTTTGGATAGGAATAATCCATGTGTATGATCCAACAGACGAACAGTCACAATATCAAAGTTTGGAATTGTAATCTTGATTGACTTTGTGTTGGACTGCAGTTCTTGTAAAAGTGTAGTATGTAAAGGTTCAACAGAATTTAACAATGTCACTTGTAAGAATGTACCTAATAACTTCTGTCGATATGACCATGGTATAGATATATACTCCAGTGTACTAGGCAAGCATGTCAGATGCTGTTGATATGAACTGCTATAGTGACCCAGCTCCAATGTGTTTAGACTCTCTGGCAATACATTCTTCTTGAATGGCTCATTGTAATATTGCCCAAGAGTGAGATGTCTTAGACCAGGTGGCAGTATGAATGGTGCAATTGTGCCTGTATAATGTTGTCCCATGAACAAGTGGGTGAGGGACGCAGGTAGTACATCGGCTTGTATGTCCATAGTGTTGCGTGCACTTAGAATGAGTGTGTTCAGTCCAAGTGGCAAGGCACCAGGTGGAATCCTAATGTTATACTCTAAACCAAATGTGAGTGTCTCGAGAGATAATGGTAGTTGATATGGCTCCAACGGTCTTTTATACAATTCACTTAGGGTCAGATGTTTGAGCCCAATGGGGAGGACATCTAGTGTGAGTGGATGCATATAGGTTGCGCTTAGTATCAGTGTAGTTAGACCCATTGGAAGCACACCAACTTCAAACTGCCAAGAGTATTTGCATCGGCCTTTCTGGAACTCGAGGTATGTCAGCGATTGAGGGAGTACGTTGGGTGCGAGGCGTTGATTAAACTGTGCTCCAAGTATCATACGTTCAAGTGATGTCGGCAAAGTATCGGGTTGAAGTGGTTGGTTAAAGAAGGATGAGAAGATGATCTCGGCTAGGTGGTGAGGTAGTACATCACGTTCAATCATCTGATTGTAGTACTTTCCCAAGGAGAGTAGACAAAGTCGCTCAGGCAGTACACCAGTACCAATTGGTTTGTTGTAGAATCCACCAAAGTACAGTTGTTCAAGTGATTGAGGCAATACCGATGGCTCCAGCAACTGATTGAATGATTCCCCGAACCTTAAAGAGATGAGTGTTGATGGAAGTGCACCATGAACTAGTTGTTGGTTGAATGCATATCCAATCCTCAGATGCTCTACACCATCTGGAATCAATCCATCTGTCAACTGTTGATTGAATGATGTCTGTAGATCCACTACCTTGAAGGCAGGGTTAATGGTGCCCTGCAACAGAGGTAGATTGGTACTGAATGCTGCTTAACATTGGTTAGGTAATGCAAATGATACATGTTCAATGATCGCTGCCCATACAATCTAACTCAACGATCGAGTTGGCAATGCAAATGCGGTATGAGTTGAGTCTAAACTTTTTGTTGGATAAGTAGTGACTACGTGTGTAGGCATAGTTGATACTATTATCCAATCTTAGGTATGAATCACGTGAAAGATACAACCAACGACATGTCAATGATAGGCATAAACGATCCAAGCTATCTTCAATATGTATTACAATGTTGCTCAATAGTAACAACATGTTATTATTAATAAGTATCTCCATGTTATCTGTATTGTTTGTCTTTGAGTTTAGAAATGAACTTATAGTTTGAGATTGGGCTAGGGTAGGGTATGTGAGAGATTGGGTGAGGGCGAGGGTGAGGGTAGGGTAAGTTAGGGTTTGGGTGTGATGATGTATAATACAAGGTGGAACTAAGCCACCACAGTCAGAAAGGTAGGATTTATTGATATATATATATATGGCTACAGGATAACACATTCACAACTTTCACAAAAGGCAGTGTGACTTCTACCGGATTGAGGAGAACTGGGCTTGACAGTGGATGGTTTGGACTTGTGTTGAAGACAAGTTGGAGCGCCATATTCTACAGGGTTTGGACATGAGGCAATCATATATTTAGGTAGATAACCAAGAGCTACCTGTTGTTGACCATTTGGTGGGGGTGGATTCATCTGTTGTGGGTATGGTTGTGGAATAGGTTGTTGGGGATATCCTTGTTGCATTGACATCTGGTGCTGCTGCTGTTGGTGTTGAGGAGGAATCTGATGTGGCTGTGTATATATTGGTTGATTATTTTCCTGCATTCTTGAATAAGAATTTATCTATTTGTAAAGTTAACAATGATTAAAGTTTATGATGTCAACAATAACAGATTGAACAGTGTCAGGCTTTGGGGATTGATTGATTGACATAACCCCTTCTTGATGAGACATAGATAGTTCCCTTGTACTTCCTGTACAATTATATCATCCAACTGGACATGAATAAAAGATATGCATTGTGAGGTCTGAAGACCATTTTTCAACGAACCATGAAATAGGCAAATTAAAGATGTTGACGTCCTGTAACCACATTTGGTGGGATCTGTCCGCCACGCCAGACTGGTATAAGTTACAATCAAGTTCTTACTCCCAGGGAAGGTACTTATTATTCAATTACAATCGATCTTAATCAAAGTCATAGATACAAGTAATTGGTGTGGATACAGTTCATTGATTGATCGTTGTATATTACAATGTGTCGATGTGGTTGTTTGTGGAGGAAGTATGAAGTAGTTCCTCAAAGTCAAAGGAGTCGATGGTCTCGATGACATTGTCGTCAATGCCACTGCTACTACCTGATGATGATGATGATGCAACAAAGAACTGATGTAGACTGTCATGGTACTCCTTGTCCATAAGACGTTGGTGCTCAACCTCAAGTACGTGTCTGGACACATCATGTTGGAGGGACATCTCACTGACGAATGAGTAATCATACTGATTACTTTGGCCACCAACAGTGCATGTCGTTCTACTGTATTCCAACAGTACATCACTGTCTGTCACACAAGATGTAGCGTGAGGTGAGTTGTTGGTTGATGACATGGTCGAAAGTTGCATCTGAACTTGATGTTCATGTAAGAGGTATTGAGCTTGTGCCACGATGCCAGATGTCTCCTCAATGTTGGGTACCATCAAATGAGGTACATGCTGGTTCTGAGTTGATGGCTGGAAGGGGTCATGCTCTAGAAGTGGAGCCAATGCGTTGAGCTCATAGACAACCCTGGAGAATGAAGAGTTGCTCGAGGTTATTGGCTGTTCAGCAGTCGATGCAATTATGTGACCAAATATGTTGGTGCCACTGATGTTGCCAACTGTAGTTCTCTTGGCCGATTGTGACTGACTGGCTGATCCCTTCTTGACTCTGTTTGACCGTCCGCCATGTGCTGACTCATCTACCTTTGCCAGACTCTCTATAAACATTGGTGACTGGCCAGGAAACAGAGTGTCCAGGGTGGGCTCCCTTTTGACCTTGGTCTTCTTGATATCTCTATACTTGAAGGATGTCATAAGCTTGCTCTGCTTGGACACTCCACCTTCGGTCAAAGTCTTGCTGACCAAGTTGTGTTTAAAGTTAAGGCCAACCGGTACTCCAGAGACATTGCAAGTGAAATGATCATTGTCTCCAACAAGCACTCGATGTTGGTTATCCATGTTCAAGTAGTTGATTGATATATTGTATTAATGTTTGTTAGAAAGAGTATAGTGTATAGGAACTAAAGAGGAGGGCAAAGGTGGAGATGGTTGTCTGTATGTTGTTATTGATGAAGACATGGTTGGATGGAGATCAGTGGAAGATCGCTTAAATGTATGTATGTATGTCTGTATGTAAGTGTAGATGTAGGGGGATGTATTTGAGAGTATGGTGAATATGGAGGGACAACCTCCCATACATAGGGGATAGTATCCCCAAGTTAGTCTAGTTTGGGTAGTCGTTGCTACTCTAAAGAGTTTTGAATAACCCCATTGTTGCTGCTGGACACAGACGAGTTGGCACGCAACTTGAGAATGGATGCACAATCCTTTGAACAGTGTGTGATTCTGTTTGTGGTTCGTGTGATGGTCATGACGATGATCAATACCGTCTCCATAATCGAGAGAATGGTTGAATGCCCTGGGAGTGGTGGTGAGGATGGAGGGAGCGGTAAGAGAGCGTACTTCTCTGTTGATGTTATGATGATCGATAGATTGATTTAATACTATTGCTTCCTGTTTGAACAATGACTCAGTCCAATCAATCAACTACTTCATCATCGACATATTGTGCTGTAGTATTTATAATAGATTGTTGTCGTTGTTGTTGATCGTCCATCACTCTCTTTGTCCACATCTGTTTGTAGGCCACCTCTAGGCTCTTGGTAAAGAGCGCACCATCACAGAGATAAGAGTCCAAAAGACGTTGTCTGAGCGTCAGTTTGAGTGACTTTAGCAAGTCTCGATCAAGAGCCAGGGCAACAGCCATGTCGATGTACTGCTGCAGTGATTCGGCAGCCTCCATTTTAAGTTGCTTAACGATTGATCGTCCAACGTTGTGTGCATGTGAGTTGCCGGCCAGAGTTATCACTGGCACTCCCATCCACAGTGATTCGCATGTTGTCGTTGTTCCTGCATAGGGGAATGTATCCAAAGAGATATCCATCCGATTGTACGACAGTAGATGCTCTCTTTGATTGGCAAACAGAGGTGACAGTATGGTGCGATCCTTGTCGATACCAAGATGCGTCATCCTCTCTACAAAGGTGGCGGTTGTTGATGGGCATGCAAATGCCTTGCCCTTCAGATACAACTTGCTGTTGGGTACAAGATGTAGTATCTTTGCCCAGGTCTGCAATACTATGTCGCTATACTTTGAGATGACATTGAATGATCCAAATGTAATGTAGCCATTTGTGTCCAACGGACTTGTGATGTCCAGATTGAATGGTGGCGGGGTGTAGTTTAGGAAGCATCGAGGCAGTCTGTACAGCTCCTCCGTGAACTTTTGTCCTGTGTTCAATGGGTCCGTATACTCATCGGTTAACTTATAATCGATAGTAGGTAGGCCAGTTGTGTTTGGATAGCCCAGATAGGAGATGGCCAATGGAGCTGGTTTGTACGCCAGCACATCCAATCTGTTTGAGCTGGTATGTCCTGCCAAGTCCACAATGATATCAACTTGATCCTCGGCAATCAATTTAGCAACATCCAAATCAGACATCTTTACAATATTCCTCCATGTGTGATTATATGATTGAAGACGTGATGTTGTTTCATCCTCCTTTGTTACGTTTGAATAACTGTAGCATGGTTGTGTCAGTGATGGGTCATATGATGATCATATATCCATGTGTGTGTGTGTACATTACCATATGATGTCATAGTCTTCCTTGTTATGATTCTTTAGTATACCATCAATAAAGAATGAGACAGAGTGAGTGAAGAAGTCAGGTGACATGTATCCAATTGTTATCCTTTTGTTCAATTTCATAATACTGATTGGTCTGTTTGTATTGAGCAATTGAGTTAGTGATTAGATGAGGTCATTTAAGTTAGATGTACACTTACTTGTTGGCTATCATTGGTTTATCTTTGGTCATCAACTTTCCCCATTTCTTATGTGCGATCTGATTGAACTGTCCTAGATGTGTCTGTGGATGAATACCATGGTTATGTTAGCAAAGTCATTCATCAATCACTCAATCACATGTATGCTTACAATTAAGGGCCAGAAGTTTGTTGTGATAAGCATTGACAGAGGTTGGATTGAGATGGATACACTTGTCGTAAGCTTCGATTGAATCATCCACTCGCCCTTCATCACGATAGATCACTCCAAGGTTGTTGTAGGCTTCAGAGTATGTGGGCGCCTCCTCGATGGCCATCTTGATGTATCGCTTGGCCTCTGTCAGCTTCCCTTGCAAGGTGTAGATCACTGCAATATTGTTTAGGCTCTGTACAAAGTATGCGTTGGTACTTAGAGCGGTCTGATAACACTTGATGGCCGCGTCAAAGTTGCACAACTCGCGATGCAGTACGCCAAGGTTGTTGAGTGCCTCTGTGTAGCTGGGTTTGAAATGGATGGCCAGCTCGTAGGCAACCAATGCCTTCTCCTGTTCATTCCTCTCGATGTATACAATGGCCAGGTTGTAGTACGCGTCTGCGTATGAGCTGTTGTAGAACAGTGCTCGCTTGTAAAGCTTGGCCGCCCGGTCCAGGTCGCCGTTGGTCTTGTGCACTGTGCCCAAGTCTGTTAACGCGATCGCCATGTTACCCTTGACGAGCATAAAGTTGGCATCGACACTGAGAGCGCGTTGATAGTATGTGATGGCCAGATCGATGTTGCCAGAGTTCTTGTGAATGACGCCAACATTGCATAGAGCCTCTGTGTAGTCTGGCTTGAGCGTGAGTGTGCGAGCGTACAGTTCCAGTGCCGCCTCTCTATGGCCGAGCTCATAGTACATGACGCCCAGGTGGAAATATGCAGGTGAGAACAACACATTGATTAGCAACGCCAACTGATACAATGCGAGGGCGTCGGCTGTTCGAGGTGGGGACATTGCTCGTAGCTCAGTCCCCGTGTCGACGATGTATGACTCGGGAGCAGTACTGTTGTGTACACATGGTATTTGAATGTAGTCCACTTGTTGCAACAACAACAATGACAATGTACTTAAACCATCTGTGAGGTGTGGCAATGATGCTACACATTCCTTTGCAGTCTTCTCCACTGAATAAGTCGACATTATCACATTTCCTCCGCCTTCTTCAAGGCTCATTGCAACATGCTTTGGCGCGAGGATACGCACTGTGCGCCCCTCTAGCAATATGAATGGTAGATGCATTCAAATGATTGATTAACTGAGATGGTGATGATCCTGATGAATGAATTATTGAATGAAAGAATATGTACGAAATCACTGGAGAATGCGATTGTGAATGAAAAGACGAATAGTTGTGCGCAACTATCTGAACATGGTGTGTGGATAACTCATCGCCGCTGGCGCTCCTTCATTTCATACTTCCAAATTCTGCTCTTTTTTGTTTTATACACTTTCGTAAGCGCTGTAACAGCTTGCACGCCCAAGAGAGTTACCAGGAGTGTACTTCCGAAAGTTCACACACTGTTCACCGTTTGTTCACCAAAAGTTCACCAATTGTTCACCGAGCATTTATTGACTGTAGTCCATGTCATCGCCATCATCTTCGTCTGTTGTTATGGCTTCATCATACGTTTGATCATCGAGCCATTGATAGGGAGCTGAGCCATGTGAGCACGCAGAGGGAGGAGGAAGGTTGGCAACATTGAGAAATGTAGTGATGGACAACCAAAGTGGCTTGGAAAACAAGTTCTCCAGGGCGTTGGTTGAAGGGATGACCAGCTGCACATTTGACGGGGACTTTTTGCCACCGACGACTCTCTCCGGATTCACTTGGACTGCGCAATGCTTTCCTGAGACCATTACGTTGCTCRGAKTGGGGATTTCATCGGGTTGGATCTGGATGTTTGGTGAGACAACAACCGCCACAAATGTCACATCTGGAATGGCAGCTGATGGGCACACTTTTTTGAGCTCGTCCAACAGTTGATTGGTGGTGATAGACAGCTTGACAATGAAAGCCAGTACGACATGGTCGGAGAGCTTGACGTAGAAATCAGAGCTTAGGGACTTCGGACCCGTTCTGTAAAGGATGAAAGGAGAGCAACGCTTGATGACCAGGCCAAAGGAATCAAGCGAGAATTGGATGTCTGGTTCGGTGGATGAGTTGGCATCTATGGTGAGAAAACTATCAAGACCCTGAACGTTGTCCTGAATCTTCGGTCCAGTTCTTCGGACAAAGATGGGAAACCTCTTCGCAGTGGACAGGTCCACAAGTGGGAGTGTCCAAACAATATCCTTTGCTACTGAAGTCTGGGTGTGGGTATAAGTATGAGAGTGATACAGGAATCTCACGATGATTGAGTACTCACCGAGAGGAAACTGAACAGGAAAGATGTGGTTGGGTTGGGGTTGATATCCCTGCAAGCAATGAGCTTGCAGACAATGCTATGCGCAAGGGAGCTCTCAAGTGGGGTCCCGGTGATGTGTTCGCTTCTGGTATAGGCTCTGTACCTATTGACCAGGTCGGCGAGTTGTTGTACTTCTTGGTCCTTGTCTCCTGTCGAAGCAATCTCCTCAATTGTCATTGGGGGAACACGGACATAGACAAAGTGTTGGCTGTCCTCCATTGGCTCAATGTAAACATTCAGTGTTTGGAGTAGGCTTGCCAGAGTGCTGTTGTTTTCTGGCAGTCCCCAATGGGCATGGTTGAACTTGGAAGAATTAAGATTGAGAGGAATCTAGTCATGATGGATGTTAGCTACTACTACTTTCAGAGGACCACAAGTTCGGTATACCAACTTGGAACAATGATGCGAAGCACAAAGAGAAGTATAGCTTCTTTTTGATTGGAGTAAACATGGTTGTTGGGTTGAGCTCACTCTGGAAGTGTTGTTTGACATAGGCATGCATGTCTTTAGAAACAATGCTCATTCCAGGTGGAGTTCCGAGAAGGTAGTCAACTGATGCCTGAACCAGGCGTGGGGCCCCTAGAGTCAACTTTTTATGTGTTAGTAAGGTGATGGCACGAGTGGAGTAGAAATCTACAAACCTCGTAGATGGTTTCCAAAGCGCCAGGACGTTGGCTCACAATGACTTGGCGCTTGTGAAAATACTCCTTAATGTGCTCCAATGTGAACTAATGAAGGAGAATCTGTGTAACGTATGTTCGAGTTGGAGAGATATCATCTGGAAAGAGATGCTGATTGAGAAGCAATAGCACTGACGATCGCCCAGAGATATAGACAGGAGCTCCCATTATAACCAATGGCTGGAGGACATGTTCCCAAAACTTGTAGAGGATGCTGATTGAGTCCTCGTCTGAGTGGCTGTTTGCAATGAGATTGTCTATCTCATCGAAATGGAAGAAGAAATCGTTTGCACGCTCCAGCGAATTGATGATGATGCTCGCTTGGTCAGACGGCAAAGGGCGAGTTGTGTTACCGACCAACCTGTGATATACTCTGAACAACGCGTCGGCAACTGCAAGTGACCATGTTTGTGCAATGTCTTTGGACGAATTTGACTGGACCGTGATGGCTCGGAGGTCGAGAGTGATTGACACCAGTGATGTGAGACGTTTGAGTGCCTCAGCAGGTTTCATAGAATGAGGTTGTGGCCACTGATTGGGGTTCTTGTCAAAGTGGGCAAGGACCATACCACACAAATCGGGTCGGCTCTTCATGGCATGAATAAAGTGCTGGCCGATTGATGTCTTACCTGAACCCCACATCTGTGACGTAGATATGATTGGAAGCTTGATGTTGTTCATCGAACCAAGTGGCACCCCTTGAGTCGATATAACCCTCATGCATTCCGTTGCCATGAAGCAGAGCTCGACTTGTCTGTCTGTGAACGGAGTGTCCTGGAGCTGTTCATCAGTGAGGTGAGTGTCGTACATCTTCGGAGTGAAATGGTACACTACGATGATATATTAGTATAAATCGATCTCATCGCTCTCACTTCTACTTACGCGCTTGGCCACCACCTCCTCCTGCAGCACCGGCTTGAGTGTTATGTTAGTATTTAATGAAGAATTGCGCCGATGTTGTTTGTACTTACGAGCTGGGGGAAGATGCGCACGTACAATTGCCCGAGGGCCCATGGGTGGGATCAGTTCTTTCCAATCGCTGTCACTGAGTCCTTGCAGGGACTTGATTGTGAGACCTTGCTTCTTGATGGCCTCCACAGTGTCCTTGCGGAAATCTTTGGGTATCTCTGACTCATCAGACATTATCCAATTGAAGAGGTCGTCCATTGTCAAAATGGGAAGAGAATATACAGAGCGAGTATAAGTTAATTGAGAGGTAGTTGTAATAGTAGTTGTTGGTGTTGTTGTGAATAATGAATGAGTGAGAATCAAAGTTGTGCCTTGAGCTTTGGGGTGAAGTGCGATCTGTTCGTCCCATTTAGGAAACTCATAAACAAATAAACAAATAAATTAAATTAAACAATTTATCTCTAACAGATATAACATGTCATTATTCAAAGAGTACTATTGGGACGAGAACTCAGAGTTCAGAGAGCGTCACAAAGCATACATCAAACAAAAGGTAAGATGCGAGTTTGTCGTTTGTAAAAATGAATAATGATAAGTGATACTTTGTCGTGGAGTAAAGTTGGAGATGGTGCCTGCTAAGCGATTCAGTGAATTGACATAAAATTTCCGTTTATGGGTGATCAAGCTCATTATTATAATATTAATATTTATAAATGGCCAAGACAACAAAAACACTTGAAGAGATAAAACAGCAAAGAGAGGAGAACTTGGTTAAAGCGAGAGCAGCTAGAAAGAAACAATCAGAGTATATATTGTATGATTCAGATGATGATGTTGATGAAGTGGATGAACAACCACAACAACAACAACCACCTCTAAAACCAAAGCGCAAGACAACAACTGTCTCTGCGTTGGATAAGAAGTTAGATGACTTTGTAAGCAAGTATAGCAATGATCAAAGCAAGATTGAGTCGTTGCTAACATTGATGCAACCAAAGCCATTATCTGCTTTGGCAGATAATGGTCTGGGCAGTGACTCTGGTAGAGTCACGACCAAGGTTGTTGAGGCTCCAACACCACTAGTTGAAATAGAGCCAACAACAACAACAACAACAAAGACCAATCCATTTGCCAGAGGTATGACACCAACAGCTACATTCAACAAACAATCAGACTTGCTCAGACATAAGCTAATGATGAAGTTCTAGATAGGTACAGCGATTATCACTCTATAATAATATTGTGATGGCAAGAAAGCAGACTCACAACGTTGCCCAAGGGCAAGGCCGTGGCTCTTCCAAGAGCCACAACGTACACTTGGAAGTCAAGACAACAGGAAACAAAGTCAAAGTCAGAGTCAAGAAGATCAGACCATCAAGGTTGCGACGTGACACCAAAGGTAGGTACATCAGGAACAAGAAGAAGAAGGTGTACATTCAATCGAGCAAGACAGACAGAGAACTAATCAACAAATTGCTTAGCCAACAGAGAGGTGTGGCCCAACCAATAGCGACTCCAACAGAGATAGCGTACATCAGATCAATACAGGACAGCAACCTCAAGGAGGCACTACTCAAGAATGCACATGACTTGGAGAAGCAGACAAGAGAAAAGATTGACAAGTTGTCACAGGCACAAGCCCAGCCTATTCAGTTACCTCAACCAGTTCCTTTCAATGTACAGGCACTACCTGCACCTATCGAGGAGCAGGAACCAGAGCCTGTACATGTACATGGTATACAAGAGATGAATGTAAGACTCAACGAGAACAACAACTTACTCATAGACAACAATAACAGGATAACAAACTTGAAGGGCGCACTGGATGACAGATTCAAACAACTTATGAACACATACGAGCGAGAGAGTCAGTACAACAATACAAAGTATGACAACCAGAAGAGAGAGATCTTGATCAAGTTGAATGACAGAATGTTGGACATTGATAGGAAGCTGGCTGACCTCAAGGATCAACGAGTTATGCGTCACGGCGATGAACAACATATTGACAAGCAGATCGAACAACTTGAACAACAACAGGGCGATGCAGAGATACAGTACATGACAGATGTGATGAGACTGGATGAGCAGATGGAAATGGATCGGATGACACTTGAGGTGTTGAAGGAAGAAGAGATGAATAGACTTGGAACTGCTAGCAAGCTGATTGACGCTAAGATCGAGCGAGTACTGTCACCAATGAAGGTGACAAGCTATGAGTTTGGACAGAGTGATACTAATCAGTATGTTGATAGACTATTAACGCCTAACACAATAAAGACAATAGGACCAATTGATGAAGTTGATAATATACCCAAGCTTGATTTTGGAACAAGTGCACCAGTTAATACAATGGATACACTGAGTCTTGTTCCAACAACTACCACAACAACAACAACTACAACAAGATCACCATTGGAGACAGCAATAACAAAGATACCCAACCATACCACACGAGTAAAGGTAGAGAAGGAAGTTAAACAATATATTGATGGCAAGCAGACAGAGACAGAGTTGAACAAACAACTGATCAAGGACATGGATGAACCAATGTTTCAGAAACCTATTGTTATGAAGGATATTATTGAAGAGGCCAAGGTTGAGAGAGAACAGAAGCAGGATCAGATGATGATGAGGAGGAGGATTCAAGACTTTAGTGTAATGAAGCTACCTGATACAGTTACTGTCAGAGGTGATATATTGAAGCACATACTGTCATACCAGCAGGGTAAGATTACATCCAAGGCGCTGGAGCGTGAGTTGAACAAGTCAATGAATACTGTTAAGGGCAAGAGGGACAAGATTGAACTGTTGATGGAGGATTCGAGAGCATTGAATAAAGAGATTAAAGGTAGCGGCAATGTTGGAAAAGGACTTTACGATCATGAGATTGACAAGATGATGGAGCCATGGAAGGAGGATGGATATGTTGGTACAGTTCCTGCTGATCGTGTTGATAAGTTGCCGATCAAGGACAAGATGAGCTTTATAATGAACTTGAACAAATCCAATCAACCTGGCAGCCATTGGGTCGCTTGTAACATTGATGCTGATTGTGACAAGAGCGTAGAGTACTACGATTCGTTTGGTGATGATCCAAGTGATGACTTTATGAAGCGAGTCAAGGTGTTGATTGATCGCATTGATCCTGATACATATTTGAAGATGAAGATCAACAAGATAGTTGATCAAGCTGCCAACAGTGATACGTGTGGCTGGTTTTGTATCAAATACTTGATCAATAGATTCAACAATGTACCTTGGAAAGTTGCGAGTGGATACAGTGAGCCCAAAAGTGTGCGCAAAGGAGAGAAGGAAGTGAGGAAACTAAAGGAGTTAGCAATCAAGTACGGATATATTTAATAACATTAATTAATCAAATAATGTTATCAATATGCCTGTGGTCTCTATTGAATCGAAAGTTCTGTTCGACAAGCCTCCTTGTCAAATATGGTGATGTTCTTGTAGAGAGGGCGCTGTTGCTCCTTGGTTGACCAAGTGATGTATATGAAATGGGCTTTGACATCATCTGCGGTAAATTGGAGTTCATGTTCAGTAGTGATGGAGGTTGAACACTTCTTTCCTGTGATTGCCTGCGTGACAGAGGCAATGCTTGTGTAGTTGTTGATGTCGTCGTTGAAAGATGGAAATATTGGACTGTTTGATTCATGTTGTTGGAATGTTGACAATGATACTTGAACGAAGTAGATCGTGTTGGTCGAGGGGTTGAAGAGTATGTAGTCCCAACAGGGAAAGGTTGGGGAAGATGGAATGTAGAGTGTGTTCATACCAAAGTGCTTTGGGATATCGAGCTGACCATCTCGTTGTTCGATATATACTGTTCTGTCGACTACTGGAAATGATATGGCAATCTTCTCGAACTCGAACTTCTCTGACGCCTTTGGTCTTCCTCTTTTTGGTTTGGGACTAGGTAAGCGAAGACAGAATCCGTTGATTTGGTCGGTGCTTGTGCGTCTCTGGAATGCTCTCTCAACCAATCTCTGAAACTGCCCTCCAGTGGCATTGGGACCAAGGGATGACATTGTTGGGAATTGTCGGTATGACCAATAGTGTTCATGAAGTGCCAGGAATGCTCCTCTGCATATTGAACGGTACACATTGTCTCGAAGGTCAAAGTAGATGAGTCCAGTGTCATAGAGAGATGCAGGAGCAAATGCCATGTCCATCTTGTCGATTCGTGAGAAGAATGCGTCCATAAACTGATAGTAGGCACCGATTTGCTTCTCGTTGCTTGTTGACAAGTATTTGTTGACTTCGTTGTTGTACAGCATCTTGCGGTGGTTGAGGAAATCTTCTGCTGTCTTGAACTTGTGTTGCTGATCGTGCATCTCTTGTAACTCTCGAGGCAATCGTCCAGTGATCTCTGCAAGTCTCTCGATTGATTCGTCGTCACAACGCCACTCCTCTTGGATGGAAAGACCGCTCTTCTCATCTTGGATAACCATTTTGAATGTCTCCGCGCTGAAAGGAAGTATCTTGTGAAACCAGGATGACATGCCAGAAGGAAGGTTCATCTCGAATGCAGAGTGTGCAGAACCAGAGACAACCAGAATGGTTCTTGAGCCAGAGCATGGTCCAGATTCAATGGTGAATGAGATGCCAAATGAGGAGCTCTCGACGCCCTGCTTCCAAAGGTGTTGGTGCTCGTCCAAGCAGTACATGACTGGGTGCTCCGTATAGGTTGCGAGTTGTTTCATCAGCTCACGAGAGACAAGAAACGCCTGGGATTTGTCAGTTGTCCCAGCAACAGCGAGATCGAGGAGAGTGGGAGCTTTCCAGTCGTTGGGAGCGCATCGAATGGTAGAAGCCTTGGATGCATTGAACGTGATGAAACGGTTGAGGAAATAGGCCGCCATTTGGTTGTCATCTTTCAGAGAAGACATGTTCTGAGTGAGAGGCTGATCAAACATTTGTTAGAGGATGTCATTATGAAATGAAAAGGATACTTACAATATAGATGAGGATTGAATTGTTCAAATAGGCGATGCAGGTGAGGAGATACGATTCAAAAGTCTTACCAACTCCATTGGGTCCTGAGAGGATGAGGCCACTCTGTGGACTAGAGTTGGTGATGTTGACTTGGCCAAGGTTGATCATTGTGGCGAACCTCACAACCAAGTCATATCTCTCTTGGGTCATGAGGAACGACTTGATCTTGTTCTCGTCGAGCTTCTTTGGTAGAAGCCCGTCCGCGCCACCAAGATTCGGCAACTCTATGAACTGACCAATCTTGTCCTTCAACTTCTTGAGACATGGAACTAGTTGGCCTTTGGCATCATTCACCATCTCTATCTTGAGATCGTGAAGACATGCCCATCTTGGATCATCACGGGCAGGGAGCAGCGGGTCCTGCAACTTGCTGGCATCAAGAGCTGATGGATATCATTAGTATATTGTTAACAATGTATACCAGTTGACTGTTACTTACCCTTCTTGACTGGTACTTTGAGCTTGTCGATTGCGATCATCAGATTGCTTGCAGCACCAAGAGGGAAGTTGAGCTTCAATAGCTCCTCCTTGGTCAGAGTCAACAGTGCTGCACCATTAACTCTATTCTGCTTCAAGGTGGCAATGTCTGATTGCTCGATTGTTGGGATGTCGGCGGCCCACTGACAGACATCATCTACGCTCGACTTGTTGGTGATCAATGTTACAGTAGTTATGTTGGATAGCTTGTTGTGGTTGTCGATGGTTGTTGGTGTGTTCTTTGTGGAAGAACAATAGAACAAGGGGAGAGGGCGTTGTTTTGGTACAAGGAACGACGACTGAGGTAGTGTTGTGCCTCTGAGGGTAGGCGCTACTCGAAGAGGGAGTCTGAGCAATGCTCTTGAGAACAACATGTTGCTGAGGGTATAGTGTTGGTCGTTGAAGATACTATGTATGAGAGAATAATGAATAGAGCAAAGAGATAATAATATAACAATATGTACAAGATGGGAGAGTGATGACACAGATGAGCAGCAATGAGAGTTTTTTAATTAATTTGAAGTTCGGGATTTATGACAATAATTTATTAATTGTTGTTATCTGTTACTCTTCATTCACAAGTCTCTGTGCTGTTGTAGATGAGCTGGTCGTTGTCTTGGTAAACCATGTACCTGTCGCTTGTGTACTCCAATGTATCTACGTGTCAGCTTCTTGCCACATACCTCACACGGGATACGTTCACTGGTGTATGCTAGATGCTGTTCTTTGTTGTCCTGGTACCATTTCTGGATGTCTTGGCTTGTACTTGCATTATATTACAGGGTTGGTATTATGTCCAAAGGACATAACTAGAGGACGTACGAGATTGTAGTTGGTTGGACAGTGAGATAGTTGCCATTGGTGATGATGTCTGTCTGGCCATCGAGTGGTTGTATCGTCAGTGATTGGTTGATGATTGTTATCTTGGACACTTGATAAGGATTGTCACCAATTCTGTATAGACCTGTTGCGTAGACTTCACTGGGCATGTATTGTGATGGGATAAAGTTATAGGTTGACAGCGGTGCTTGTTGTTGTTCTGCATCTGATGGGAAGAATGCCTTGGGTAATGTTACTAGCTTACCTATTACTGTGAGGGTTGCCTCTGCTGTTGATTGTAGTTCACCAAATGTGTAGATCACAGTCTACATTGAGTGTGACTTGATCGTTGAGGCCAAATGTTATTTGATTTATATTTGTTTCTAGATTAAGTTGACCATTTATGATGAGACTGCCAAATGATTGTTGTGTTTGTTCCTAATCGTTGAAGAGATCAATGTATGAGGTCATCTATGATTAATTAATATATTTTTTATTAATAAGTCTAACTCCAGAGTTATCGTTTAGGAGGTTCGGATACCCCTTTTAACCATACCAAACTACAAGCGTTGACCCGTTGGCGGGTCAACCATACATATTCACACAACTAGTTGTGTGAAGTCGTGAGTTCAGACCCGCTGGCGGGTCAAACATAGTCATTCTTCTGAACTTCAATAATATATCTGAATTAATTAATTATTATTACCTAATTCATTTAAACTCTCCAATTGGTTTGGCCATGTTCTTAACTGTTGCCTTACAATATCCTTCATATCTCAGGTCACCACACTCTTGTCCAAGTGATGGATAGTCAAGAGACTTCTTACCTTGCTTCTCAGTCCATTCCTTGGTTGTGACGAATCCATCAGTGTGCACGAACTTGATGTTGTCAATATCATCCTTTATTATTGTAGCGATCATCTTGCGGCCGCTGGATATAATGAATGGCATTATCCTAGCGAATGGTGTGTCGAACTGGTCGATGTTGTTTGCTGCTTTGATCATGACGCCATTGGCTGTAGGTGTGATTCGCTCTGTTGTAAAGTCGTCATCCAGTTGGTATTCGATAGTTCTTTGAGTGTTGTTGTTGTCGACTTTGATCAGCTGTTTGATCTTGTTGCGCTTGCTGAGTGCACCCCAGAGTCGTTGATAGAGTTCCTTTGCTCTTGGTACACCTTGAGTTATCCATTCGAGCACTTGGTCGATGTATGGTTTGAATAGGATAGAGCCATTCATTCTAGATGTCTCGTAGATGAGGGCATTGTGCTTGTCGTCATCCTTGAGGGTGTATTTGAGATTGAGCTCTCTGGCTAAGGTGAGATCAAAGTGAGTGTAGTATCCTAACTTCTAACCAATAAATATATATTAATATATTCTTAGAGTTTCTTAAGAATATAATAAATCAGAGCGAAGCTTGCGAAGCAAGCGAAAGCGGACCTTTTAGCGTAGCGTTTGAGTCAGCCACACACCCTTCACCTTGTTCTATTGTATGATGATAAAGATTGTCGACATTATCCTACCGAACCTCATCCACCAAGTGATGTCAAAGAGATGGCGGTAGTAATAAGTTGCACGCAAAATCATTGAATAAAATCAATCGATCAGTTCTCGTGCTCCAACGCTTAATAATTAATCATTTATCTATTTACCCAACCAACACAACAGGAAGTAATTTTAAAGGAAAGAGTGGGGCACAACTCTGAACAGTCTTTGATCAAACAGTGTTGTTATTGACATCCATACCACCATTACCTACTCATTCTCATTCCTACCTGTCTATCTGTTTAATTCTCACTACCCACCAATGGTTATTTTAGTGTGTGTGTGTGAGTGTGTTATTTATATGTATGTGTATGTCAATCAATCAATCAATCAATCAATCAATGAGTGTGTGATTAAAGTAATATTAGTGGAACGTGTGAGGCACAACTCTGAACAGTCATTGATCAAACAGTGTTGTTGTGGTTGTTATTGACATCTATACCACTATACCCTACTGCTTCCAATACCACTACCACGCTATAAGTTATTTTAAAGTATATTGTCTGTATATATGTGTTAGTGTGATTGTGTGTGTGTCAATCAATCAGGGTGTGCGTGTGTGAGTGTGTTAGTGTGGTATGAGGCAATGTGTAATGCAAAGAGTGATTGATCGATGAGGGTCTCCATCCAATACTTGTTGTTTATATATTATAACGTCAATCCATTGTATTATTTAGTTTAGCTTGTAATTAGTATCTGTATGATAATAAGTAAAATAATAATAATTTATCCAACTTTTATAAATCATTTATCTATTTAATAATATAACAGGAAGAAGAAGTATTAAAGAATGGGAGCAGTTGGAAAAGCAAGGTATGTTAATACTATTATTATAATTTATAATAATCCCCATCTGACAATCAACCAACAACAAATGAATCATATAGAGTATTTTTGTGGACATTCACTATATTGATTATGGTGGCAGGTAGTTTAGGATCGATTATATACAACAAACCATTGGGTCTAAAAGGTTTTGGTAACAAGACTATACTGGGAACTGTATATTGGAATGCCGTCATTGCCCTGAATGCCATATACTTAGTTGGTACTGGTCTGGAGATCATCAGTAGAGCTTACCTTGTTATGGTCGGTTCAACATGTAGTGAACAACGTAGACAGTTCCTCTGTTGTTTCCTTTACTCAATGGTATGTATTTATTGTTTGATTGATTGATGGTGATGATCATATTAACTTACTAATCATTTAACAGTCCAATTGGTGGAAACTGATGGTTATCATGGGAGCCATTATACTTGTTATTGAAGGAGCATTGACTGGTGTTATGATCTGGTTAGAGACCTTTGCAAAGATTGATATCATTAGACTTGCAATCACCGATGGTATTACATTGCTTCAGTTGTTCTTCTCAATCATCAGTTTGGTTGTATCGAAGCGACTTCAAAAGAAACAGGACGAAGAGGAGGAGCAACTCTACGGTCAGATCAAGGAGGATTACAAACAGAAGGACCTACCACCTGCCACCATCAAGTCTGCAAGTGAGCCAGCTGGTATCGTCAGGTCCTAGTCATGAGTCCATTTTGTAACCTGGAAGGCCCTCATACCATCTATTACTTTGTAATGAAATACAAATATTTATATATATTATTATGATTGATTCATTTCTCTTTCAATGGCCAACTCTCTGCCTGTTGATGACCAAAAAGGCTTACAGTACTTGCGATGATCAGTAACCAAATTCATTCGGTGCTCGCATCATCAACATTGTCGTTTTTTGATCTAACAAACTTGTATTATTATCAAACACCCCCACACAAAACACCCCCACACAAAACACCCATCATTCGGCCTCTCAGATACAAATCTGGAAACGATTTTTGATAGTTTTTTATTCCTCGTCTGGCGAAGAGGTGGTCCTTCACAGGGGATATACCCTTTCGCGGTTCTGTGGTTGTTTGAATGATCGCCCTTTCTGCACTCTATCCCGGATACCCAATCCTCACCTTGAATTGAAGTCATTGTAACCTTTGAAGAATATCACATGACGGTATGTAGAGTCACTCTGCATTGTTCGATTGATACTCTTATTCTCTCTGTTTATTTATACATATATAATAGTATTACTTCACTTTTAATGTACTATTCAATAATCTGCCATTGTTTGGTAGCATTATTTCTTTATCTTAGTGTTGGTGGGCCTCATTGTACGGTACATTCAATTACATATTCCTTCAATTATTCAGGACACAATTACTTTGCCAATGATGGCGGTATCTATAATTGGTCTGATGGTTTGACCAGAACTGGTTATGATCCTCAAGCAGGATCTGGGTATGTATCAATCAAGCAGTCATTCAATCATTCAATCAATCACTCATTCACGCACTGACACCATCCACAACACTATCCTCACATTAAAGATATTACTTAACAATCGATGATAAGGATGAGTTGGATATTGTGATTACAACTATGAAGGCAAATTTGGCAGTGCCTCCCAACCAGGGTATATGGCTTGGTTTGGCACCAACAAACAATGATTGGACAGAATGGGGCTGGATCAACGGATCTAGTAGTGGCCAATCTGTGTTCCAAACATTCCCTCAGCGTTGTCTACAGTATTGCGCCAACTTTGCAGGCAATACCAATCAGGCTACACCATACATCTACACCACGATGGATGACCCCTATAACTGGCGTGTGGCCACCGCATCAATGACAATGCTAGTCATCCTCGAGACTGAGTACAGCACCTTCATACCAAAGATATCAATGACTGACCCATACCTAAACACACCTGTCCTCACTGTCTCGGGTCTACCGTTTTCCAGTACCAGTGTTACCTCTTCTCAGCTACTTACGCCGACGATGACCAGCTACCCATGCAACAGAGTCAGTCTTCCAAACAACTCGGGTTTCACATGTGCCTTGCCAACAATCACAATAACTGACTATCTTAAGCCGTTCACATTCGAGTTGGTTGCCTCCTCGGTATACTACAACACAACTTATCGATTCAACTCACCTTGGGCGATGGCCATTAAGTCGGCCAGTCCCAACCTGACCATCTATGGAAAGAACTTCCCCAACACGCCCAGCCCATGTCCCTTCACCGTCGGTTCAGTGCAGTGTAGTGACTATACCTTCTTACCATCGATCGCTGGCTATCAGAGTATGGAGATCTACTTCCCTTCCACTGCACCCACACTATTGAGTCCCATTGCCTTCAATGCCTACCAACAAAAGAGACCCGCAATCTTACTGGGCGAGCTCTTCTTCTCATTCTATGATCAGCCAATCACTATCGATCAGGTACGCAGCCACTCATCATCCAACAACTTGTTGTTGGACACTGGACTCGTGGCAAACATCGAATCTCCCCTAGTTATGTCATTCATATCACAACAGTTCTTTGGAGGTCTACCATACACTGTTTGGGCTGACATCAATGTTACATCACCAACTTCATTCAAGTACAATGGGAATCTATTCACACCTCTCAACAGCACTATCGGTGGCAACACTACATCTAGAGTGTACCAGTTCGATTCGGCCTCCAAGTCATTCATGGGTGCCAATCCAGGTGCGACTGCACCCCTGGTCACAGTATTTGGCATTGCTAAGCCTGTTGAGGATCTGTCAATACCAAAGATAAGAATACCAGTCACAGGCCTGACCAACTATGATATACCAATGATATCAAACTATGCCTCATTCAATCCATCCATTAGCACCAATTCACTTGTAGCCAGCCTTGTGTCCCTGTCTCCCAAGAAGCTAGTTGTAAACATTCCATCTGGTGGCGGCAGTAATTATCCTCATAGTGTCACACTCTCAGACCTTGATACCAACCATGTAAGGACCTTCATCACCTCAGTCAACTACCTTGGTAAGTGATCATGACAAATTGACATCATACTCAACACTAACTTCAAGATACGCACAGAACCCATAATAACAAGTGCAGAGTTTGTGTTTCCAGTTGTATCCATTCATGGTACAAACTTCGCCGACCCCATTTATATTCTCCTGATTGGTGGCCTGGACTACTGTATCAACATAAGAGGTACCGATACACTTTTGACATGCGACTTTAAAGATGCGCCTGGCACCATCACTGGACAGGTCATGACGCAAGATCAAATATCCAACAATGTCACATTCACAACCAGCGACTATACATGGGTGAATAGCATATCACCGGCATACTTGTCACTAGCAGGTGGAACATTGACAATCAATGGCGTGTTCTTGGGAACATCAGCAGATATGCCTGAAGTCAACTTGATCAATACCAACTTTTCCGTCATTCAATGTCCTAATGTTCGCGTAGTGACACCAAATTCTGTGATCACTTGTGATGTGCCACCAATGACAACAGGTACTACATTTTACTTGAGCGTCAAGCATGGATCATTCCCCTTCATTGACCACGACCCCAATTACAATATACGTGTACAACTTGGAATTATGGGTAAGGAACTGGATAGTTTATTCAAACTCACCATAACAAAATATTTAACAAAATCTATCAATCAACATCATTCAATCAATCATCAGAACCCTATGTAGCAATGATTGATCAAGTTGGAATGAAGGCCATTATTAAGGGTCACTCATTTGGTTATTATTATGAGACATGGTCAGTGACATTGGACAGAGTACCAGTGTTGAACCTGTCATATGTCAATGATACATATTTTACATTCGACCTGTCCCCAACAAACAAGGCAAAAGGAGTATTTGGGATCACTTGGAATGGTTTGCAACTTGTCAATAGTTCAGTTAGTTGGGCACCATGTATCACATCAACTTCATACACTGCCACCTTCAAGGGTGGTGCACAAGTGTTGTTCATTGAGGATGCCACCAACACAGACCTAAAGGCAACCATGAATGGTTACAATGTGACTGTGACCAAGACTGCTGCAAACACAATCTCATTCGACCTGCCGCCATTGTGTGGATATCAGATTTTGACACTGGATAACATTAATATCCCTTACACTGGTAGGAAGAGGGGACAGGGCCAGCAGTTCAAGTATCCCCCACCTCAAATAGCATCTCTGTCGCCTACGACAAATCAGACAATGGTACAAGCAGATGGATCATTCTTAACAGGTGTCTTTATAAATGGTACCAAACTGATGCCCAAACTGTACAATCTCACATTGACACCGGTGACATCTCATGACTCGGACCCAACCTATGCCTACTTCCTCATCGACTCGCCCACGTTCCGTTCTGGTTCGGCCTCCATTGAGCTCTGTGGCATCGTCTCTGATCCCATCTCTGTTCTGATAAATCCTATAGTATCAACACCTCCAAGACCACCAACCGCAGGTGGACTGGTGACGATACATGGCAAGTGGCTGGCACCTGTGTCATACAATGGTGAGACGATACTTTCCTACTTCTTCAACAATGATGAGTGTACCAATGCTAGTGTTGGTAACAACTACAACACTGCCTATTGTACATCGCCGCCTGGAACTGGCGCCACAACATTCAAGATCAGCAGCAAAGGCAACCAACTGGTCAATCTGCCATCATTCTATCATGAGCCAATCATCGAGAGCATAACATCGACGTACTTTGGCACACCAGGCTTGGTATCAATCATCGGTACCAACTTTGCCAATGTTGGACTAGCAGTCGCAGTCGGTGGCTCACCCTGTGCCAACCCCAAAGCAGAGGGAGACACATTGATCACCTGCACTTACACTTCAGATGTTAGCACAGCCAACAACACCGATAGTTTGCCAGTCAATGTAACAGTTGACAGTTTGGTGGGCAGTGCACAACGATTCGTATACAGCATTGATAAGTTGGTATGTTCACAGGGATGTGTCAATGGACAATGTGTTCGTGGCAAGTGTCACTGTGATAGTTCATACACTGGTTCCAATTGTACATTGCTTCTGGATAACAAACCTGTTGAGGTGCCAGTAATCCTGCCAGAGACTACTGTCATGGGCTCAAACGTAGATCATGTATCTTTCAACATCAGTGTCAGCACATTACGGGAGGTGGATGCTACGACCACTGGCATCATCAAGTCATACAACTTCAAGACCATCGGATGGATCAACAACAGCACCAATAATAGCCAAGCCAATGATCATGGTACCACGACTTACAGGTTCATAGGCACATTCCCAGATGATGCCAACCTGACGATCACAGTGGACCTGGTTGTGTTTGCCTCGGACCAAGAGTACAACTTTGCCGGCGACCTCATACCTGCCAAGAGCAACTCTGTCAAGTACAGGGTACAGATTGAGGGCTGGAAGTTCGCATCAAAGAACAACATCCTACAGATGTTGTTCCTCACTCAAGCTGGCGAGCAAGTTACACCATGTCGAACACTGTCGTCAGAGTTGGGAGAGAGCACCAGCAACACCAAGAACTCATTGCGATCACTCGAGATATTCCAAGGCACTGGTATACTCAACGCATACTTCTCCGATCGTCTCATCGTGGATGATCGAGTAGCATACAGTTTCGTTGAATTGGTTAAACCAGACGACCCAGCCGCAGCAGCAGCAGCACAGTCAACAACAGAGAATGGCAACAACGACAAAGTGTTGAATGTGTTGGTATCAGTGAACATACCATACTTTGAGAGGTATGGTACCATTGATCCAAACTACGAGACATTGGTCACTGTTGACAAGCTACCAGGTTGTTCAACAAAGAACAAATGGTTGATACCTGTTGTGATTGTAGTGGCGATCGTTGGTCTTGCCATTATAGTACTATCAGCCTATATCATCATCAAAAAGAAGAAGTACACCATTAGACTCAAAGGTATTGAGCTTAAAGAACGTCTATCATCCAAGAACCTAGGTCGTGCGGCATCCTCATCATCCAATTCACCAAAAGCATATCATAGTTAAGTTATTATAATATAATAAATATGCTTTTTCTTTCTTTTTCTATCTACTCCTAACAAATAATAATAATAATGAAGATTTAATTGGGAGACAATGAACATAACAATGTAAATATCTGAATGTTTTTTGTGCCGATAACATGTGACACCCAACAGTTGTGTGTCCTTTACAAAAAAAGAAGCATGGACAAGGGTTCTTTTGTGTTTCGATTACTTTTGTTATTGGACCAACTCAAAGTTTGATGTGTTGGCAGGGTATGATCATTCCCAAGACTATTCTTGAATCAAGAGGTGTTCTACTACATATATTTTTAAGATATATATAGACACACATATAAATATATATTACAAAAATGATAGATACAGGTGAATCAAGTTATATAGATGGGAGGCAAGAACATAGTAGTCTGGCAAAATCAAAGCATGAACATCTAAATTGTATTGTTGTCTATTCAATCAATCAATCTATCGATCGATGGTTCAATAACTTACACAATCAACATTCAAATATGTATAGTGTCATGGGGCAAAGCAATGTCATTCGATGTAGAGATACAAGATTTGAATGTATCTGTGATGGTTCCTGAATGGAAGATACCTTTGCCAGTGATTACACCAATGCGCGAAGTATCGATTCTTAAGGATCTTAGTCATATTAAGATTCCCGCCGGTTCATTCTGTGCTATAATGGGTACTAGTGGATCGGGTAAGACCACCTTGCTAAACACACTCGCTGGAAGATGCGAGGATCTCACCGTGAAAGGTGACATCCTGTTCAATGGCCATGCCGTCACTGCCAAGGAGGCAAAACAATCGGTCGGATACGTCATGCAGTCCGACCATCTATTGCCCTTCCTCACCGTGCGTGAGACCCTACGCTACTCTGGTCTGCTGCGTCTTCCAGGCACGCTGAGCAAGGAGCGAAAGCTACAGATCGTCGAGGATCTCATTGCCGAGCTGGCGTTACGTGACTGTGCCGATCGCATCGTTGGTGGCCACGGCAAGCGTGGAATATCCGGTGGTGAGATGCGTCGTGTGTCCATTGGTGTGCAGATGTTGTCGAACCCCGGTGTACTCTTCTTGGACGAGCCTACAAGTGGTCTGGACAGCTTCACCGCCCACAACCTGGTTCAGACACTGCTGTCTCTGTCACGTCAACAAAAGACAATCATCTGTACGATCCATCAGCCTCGTCCAGACATCTTCCAGATGTTTGACTATGTGCTGCTGTTGTCAAAGGGTCGTGTCGTCTACTTTGGCCCAACCAAGACCATTGTCGAGCACTTTGCCTCACTTGGACACATATGTCCTGACGATGTCAACCCATCAGACTTCTTCCTGGACCTCATCACAATCAACTACCAAGACGATGACGTGCAGAATGAGTCCACATTGCGACTGGAAGCACTCCTACAGGGCTTCCAAGCATCACCCACCTACCGCAGCAACATGGACGACATGGCTTCAAACGGAGAGGATGAGACCCGCACCTTCTCTATCCCCAAGCGTAATACCAATGTGATTCTTCACTCTTGGTTACTGTATCACCGATCGATGCTCAACATGGTTCGCGACAAGACCATCGTAATGTCGCGTCTCATCGAGACTGTGCTCGTTTCGTTGATCATTGGTGGCATGTTCTACCAACTCGGTGAGGACCTCAGTGGTATCAAGAGTCGTGTGTCAGCCTTCTACGTCGTGGTCATCCTTCAACCCTATCTAATCATCATTGCCAACATCCTACAATACTCTGAAGAGCTACTAGTGTATGACCGAGAGTACTATGATGGCACTTATCAGACACTGCCATACTGGCTGGCGACCAAAGCCGCCACTCTTCCATTCGAGGTGGTTACTTCATTCATCTTCTCGTGTATTTTCTACTGGATGGCCAACCTGCGTCCATCATTCGAACACTTCCTCATCTTCTTTGTCTTTATGATGCTGGCACAGTACTGCTCCGCCTCTCTTGGCTTTCTTGCCGCGTGTCTCCTGCGATCCTTTGCCGCATCCTCCCTGATGGCCAATCTGCTGATGACATTCTGGGCCATCACTACCGGCTTCATCATCAACCCAGCCACCTTCCCAATCTACATGACATGGATCGGCTACACATCGCTTTACCAGTACAGCTACGGTGGTCTGGCGGCCAACGAGTTCCGTGGCAATCAGTATCCGTGTCCACTGCCGCCAGGTTCACCCGAGTGTGTTTTGTACAATGGTGATGACATCCTCAAGAGACTAGAGCTCAAGGTCAACGACATCCCGATGAATGGCTTAGCCTTGGTGATCATATCCACAGTTTTCAACGTTGGATCATTGCTTGCACTCAGATTTGTCAATCACAGACCCAAATAGACTTGTGTACCACCGTTCATCAATCGTCTTGATCGATAGATCGATCTCAACAACTACTCAATCCTGTAATGTTACAATGTAAGAGGTTTCACTCATTTATTAATAAATACATCATCCCCATCTCCACGCACCATCGATTGGTTCTTCGTCGACTGGCAGACTTTTGCCAGACGATCAGACAGCGGATAAGGCTAGATCCTATAGATCGTCATTTATAATGTACTTGTTGCCTTCTGATTGAGAGGTCTGGCGATGGAAACCTTCGTGATGGTCCATCGGTCGAATACTAGCTCCCCTGCTATCCCTTGTAGACTCGAGCTGCTCGGAAATTGATCCGTCATCATGTTGTGGAGTCTCTGCTGGTCCTTCATTGTTCAGACGACGATGATTTCCAAATAAGGTATGTGATTGTCGACGGTATGATTCCATTCTCTCTTTGGGTGTGACCTCTAGGAAGTCTAAGAACTTTAAGCTCCTCAGATGGTAGAGTACAAAGTATCTATAGAATTGATATGCTCCAAAGTCCACACCATCCAGGTACAGACTTGGACAAGCAGGGTTCTTCAGCAAGCTAAGATGTGTTAAGTTGGGGAACTTCTCTTTGATTGATTCAATGAACTGTTTTAGATCATCAATCTAAGGAGAGATATGATTAGAATGGTTCATGGATTCCAACAAATGATGATGATACTTACATTATTATTGTTAAGTGATAGTGTCTTTAGAGTTGGAAGATATGGAAAAGAGTTGCAATTGCCAATTTGATTGTTGTCCAGTACCAATATGGTCAGACGTGATAATTGATCAATATCTTCAACTCTCCTAATATTATTATAACTTAGATCCAACTGAGTGATCTGAGTCCTATTCTCATAGAGGTATACTGGCATTGTCTCATAGTCCTGTCCAGACGAAGCAACAATATCATCCATCAACTTCAACCTAAACTTCTTCTTCTTTGGCTTCCTTTGTTGTTGTGTATTTAATTCAATCATTTCTATATCCTCTGATTCCTATTGTTGAGTTTAGTGGTTGTGTGAGTTTGAGTTTGTGGTTGGATGGGTTTGCAAAATACATGTAGTTGTTTGATCATACATATTTAGGTTCATTTAGACTCATTATCTCGATAATGGTGTCGATGGTTAGACTCCTGTCTAATAATAAAAACTCTCCCATTTTGTGATCTGTTATGTGTGATTGTATAAGTATATTATCTCTTTGTTTGACTCTAGTTTGATCTTAATGACTATTACTGTGATGATGGTATGTACTTCTGGCTACACTTAGCTTAAAAGTGATCATACCGGGCAGACGCACTTGTACATCCCATCTTTGCATAATCCAGAAAGAAACCCCAACAAAACATTGTTGCAAATATCTTTGGGGGAAGAGTCGGGGCAACTCGTACCCTTTCATCTTTGCATCTAATTGGCCAAGACGATATTTCCTTTGAAAAGGAATGTAGTTGATGATAAGTAGTGTATGATCATCTGGTTGGTTGTACAATTATAAGACATGGGATCGTCTTTATTCATTCGCACTCTCCACAGACTCGATACACCTTTGAATAAAGATGAGTGTCGGTTTATCACCTGGGTACATTTCGGCACAATTCTGTTCAACAATCCCAATAGTGTGTGATTGGATGGAGATGTTAAGGTTAGGTTAGAGGACATTACTGCAAAGCAAACAGCAAACGAAGGGCCAACCAGTAGAAATGTTGGTCTCCAAGGTCACAACGTTCGTAGGCTTGCAAACAAATTAATAAACAACAACAACATACCTGAAATTGAGAAAGGGCCTCTTCATAGTTCTGTTTCTTGAAGTTCTCAACGCCCATGTTGAATGAGGGCAGGATGTTCATCTTGAGTGCCTTGATCTCATCACGCTCGCCATCAATGATCTCGTAGATGTCCACTGCCTCACTCTTGCCCTTGACCTTGACACTGTCCACCAGACGAATGGTAAACTCATCGATTGATGCTCCAATTGCCTCGACAGTGAACTGAGTCACCAAGATCCTCGATCCATACTCCTTGCACAGTGGCTCAGTTCTCGACGCAAGATTGACAGGGTCTCCGAGTGCAGTTGGCTCCATCCTTGTCTCTGTGCCAACGATTCCAATGATTGTCTTGCCAGTGTTGATTCCGATACCTGTCTCTACACTCTTGAACCTGAAACCAGACTCGGCCATAAAGTCCAACGACTTCATCATGCCAATGGCTGCCTTAACCGCCGATATGGCTTGCTCGCGTATGTCGTTGTGTGGGAAGATGGCCATGATAGCGTCGCCAATGAACTTGTCGATGAAGCCACCCTTGTCTGTGATTGCCGGAATGGCAAATGCCAGGTACGTGTTGAGGAAGTCGATAACATCATCGACGAGCATCTTCTCGGTGGTCGATGTAAAGTCGCGAATATCACTAAAGAATATTGTGATGGTCTTTGAGATGGCGTCGCCAAGATATACGTGCTCCATGCCCGATGGTGCGATGAGCTGTTGGAACTCGATAGGTACGAATCGACTGATTACGTTCTCCAGGTCCTGCACACGCTTGGTCGATTTGAGCACCCCAGTGCTCGCGCTAATGCCCGATGTTGCAATGGCTCTGCTGCTGCCTCCGCCAGGCTGATTGTTGTTATTGTTGCTATTGTTGATATTGATGTTGATGTTGTTGTTGTTACTGTTGCTGTTGTTGATGTTGATGTTGCTGTTGCTACCTGTGGATGATGACGATGAGGTCATGCCAATCTTGGCTGACATTGAGAGTGTGGGCATGTTGGCATCGTCCTTCTTCTCCATGACCGTTGTGAGCGGAGACAGAGTCTTCTGGGTGGGCGACATCCTCTTCTTCTTCTCAAGCTCGGCGAGAAGTGCTGGCAATGCGTTGGGTAAGTGTTCAATCAGACAATAGTCGTCCATGCCCGATTGCTTCAGACGGTCGATCTCCTCCTGAGACAGAGGTCGGTTGGAGATACCAATGATCGTAATGTTGCCTCGTCGCCTATGCATCATCGACAGCTCGGCACTGGATAGTAGTTGGGGATAGGACAGTCGGCGTGCATGTGCCCTGTCACTAATACTACCACTGACGCCGCCAGTGAGAGAGTCATCTTGGATATCCGGTCCAATGTGCTTGGTGGTCGGTGAGGACGTGATTGCCGCCACGATGGCCTCGTTCTTTCTGATGGCCTCTGTCACCTCGAGTCCCGAATTGACTGGCAGCTCAAAGTTGACGAGCAAAAGGTCGTAAAAGTTCTTCTTGGCCATCGATATCAATGTGGCGCCATCTTGAACAATACGTGAGTGGCAGTTGTACGTGTCCAACACATCCTTGATAGACTGTTGCTGGTTGCAATCGGACTCGCCCACCAGCACACGCAGAGTTGGACCGCGAATCGAGTCGAATACCTTTGTGGGGTAGGCCGAGTGGAACTTCTTTTTGTGATGATGTGACTTGATTGAGTGAACGTCCGAGATGCCTCTGATGAGATTGGTTGGTGTCAAAGGTTTGACGATGCACGCGTCGCTGCCCGTCTTCTCGTTATTCATAATCATGTCGGACGGTGAGAGCAGTAGAACGCGCTTCAGCTCACTGAACAGTGGGTTGTCCTTGAGCATCTGCATGGTCTCAAGGCCATCGCAGCCCGGCATGTTATTGTCAACCAGTACCACGCGATATGGGTTGAGCTGTGTGGCCAGCTTCAGCTCTCGCAAGCCCTCCACTGTGCTCGATACAGACTTTGCCAGACATCCCAGACGGCGTAGTATGATCTCAGTGCTGGCGCGAACGTTCGAGTTGTCATCGATGATCAACACGGGCAGGCCATCAAATACCTCTGCCTGGTCGCGACTCAGTGCGAATGGATTCTCAGTGTTTGTCGAGTTAAGGTTGTCCTCTTGGAATGGTATTCGCATTACAAATGCCAAGCCACAGTCGCCATTGTTATGTGCCTGCAGTGTTCCATTCAGGCCCTTGATGATCTTGTAGCATATGAACAATCCCAGTCCAGTGCCTTGTGACGATGAATCACTGTTTGAGGTTGTTGTTGTGGTACCTTGGTCGCCCGTGGATGATCCAATGTTGTTGTTGTTTGAGTGATACTTGTCTTCACTTGTCTCTGTACATGACGATGATGTCTCATCGTCTGGTGGATTGCTCATGGGCGAGAGGATCATCTCATCGACATCATCGCTGCCTGGGTTCTTGAAGTTGGGGAATGGTGCGAATTGATTGCAAATGTCCAGTTGCTCGTTGGTCATGCCAGGGCCACTGTCAAACACAGATATCTCCAACACAACATCAGGATCATCGTCCTGATCATTCATATCCAAATGTTGGTTTGATTGCATCATCATTGAGCTCTTTGATATAATAACACCAACCTCTCCACGCACCATGAACTTGATAGCATTCTTTAGTAACTGTAACAACACCTGTATGATTGCAGCTGGGTCCTATTATAATTGATTGTCTGTGTGAGTTGGTGTGTCTGATTGGGACTATTCCTTTGAGTATGATATATCTTACACTGATCAAGTTTGTTGGAACATCTTCGTTGATTCTAAATACAAGTTCCACATCACTGTTTGTCAGATCCTTTGCCAGAATATCCATTAGTACCTCAATCAATGAGTATATATTGAATGGTGTCTCATCCATTGTTATATCTCCTGTCTCAATCTAATATGTGTATGTGTGAGTATATTGATAAAGGTCATTTGATCAATCAATAACATACAGCCAATATTAACTTGATATCGTCCACAAGGTTTAGAGCCCTGTTGGTACTATTCTGGATCGTATTGATATGTTTGAGTTGTCCCTTATTGACATCCGTTGATGATAATTGTACACATGCCTTTGATACTATTGATTGAATGAGTGAGTGAGTGAGTGACTGTCATTAGGACCAAAGACACTTTGCGACGACACATACCTTCAATCGATGAGTTGGTCACCTTGTCAACAATCTTTTGCATAAAGTCTACCTTCTCCAGAAGTTGTTGGGTGCCATTGGCATAGATTCGATTCATAAAGTCGCTTTGTTGATCGAGTTCAATTGATAGTCGACGATGTAGTATCTCTCCTTCGGCCTTCCACCGAACGTACTTCTCACCGCTGGCCTGAACAATGTCGATGATCAGTCCACTGTAATAGCTGACGTAGCTCACCACATTGAGTATGTAGAAGATGCCTCCTCCATAGGGATCGTTGACATAGTCGCGTCCCTCATCTGGGTTGCCCGACAGCGACGCCTCGAGCAGGTAGAGCGAGATGGCCAGGTGTGGCAGCACTGCGGCCAGCGAGAGGAGTGTATATGTCTTGCGCACCTGGAAGTGATACAGTGTGATCAGACACGTGATAAACAGCGTGGTGATCATGCGGACAATGGCCTCGTTGATGTGAAAGATCTCGTTGGGTGTGTCGTATAGGATGTTGACCAGTGTCTGCCAGACGACGTTGACGACCGACTGGTCGGACTTGTCGATCAGCATGCCGCCAGCCATGATCGACACAAACAGCACAAAGACAATGAGCACGACGCCCATCACCTGCAGGATGTTGGTGTAGAATGAGCTGTCCAGTATGATTGCGCGTAGGTATTCGTGGATGCGATGATAGCTCTGTGTCGAGGGCGCAGTGGCGCCGCCGTGTGCTGAGTAGTGCGTGGTCATGGGTGAGCCGGACGTCGAGCCGTGGCCCTGTCCATGTCGCCCATAGGGCGAGGGTGAGTTGGGTGCCGAAGACCTGTCCCTGTCACTGGCCGCCGACGACGTGTCATGCGCAGAGGCGCTCCTACTGCTGCTGCGAGGCTGGACGGTCGCCAAGAAGATACAGAGATAGATGATGATGGTGAGCACAAAGTTGAACGGTGTGATAAAGTGGGGAATGAGATAGGGTGCTTTGTTGTTCATGACGTTCCAGAAGCCACCCAGTGAGAACACCACCGGCAGCAAGTCCTTTCGCACAGAGAAGTGGAACATCGCGGTCACCAGCGTATAAAGACTGATGATCCATTCCAGTTTGATTACATTGCACCAGCCGCAGCCAGGTCTATTAGATATGTCCAACCATAACAGTGGTCCAACAGATAAACATGAGAACATTAATACAAATATAAAGATTGTGTAGCTTAGGCTGAGGGTCCCTCAGGAGTTAGTATCAATCAATCAATCAAACCAATCAATCATAGTGAGTGGTACCTACAACTTATGTCCAAGCTGAGTGACGTTTGAGAAGGTGAAGAGCTGGATGGATGTATCCTGTGGCTCTTGAATCGGAGCACCAATACCAGTGATGGTGTCTTGGTGCTGGAAGAATGAATCATTGTCGAGTGCGTTGTGTAGGATGTGTTTGCGTGAGGCTGATGTCCGGGGACTGTTTAGGAGTGGCGGTACAACAGCTGAGGATGAGGTGTTTATATAAGGTGATGATCCGCTGCCAGTCAGAGGCGACACGTTTGTCGAGTTGCGTCGTCGCAGTCTCAGATTGCCAAATGATCGGGAGAGGTTTGGATCGTCCTGGCCGAGGTATCGGCTGCTAGTATTGGTTGTAGTGAAGCTTGAATTGTGACTACCATCATTATTACTGTTGCTGCCACTGCTCACATCCTCCTCATCCTCCTCCTCAATGATCATTGGTCTATTTTGGAAGGAAGTTTCCATCAATATAAAGGAATTCCTTTGTTTTTGTTGTTATTGTTGCAGTTGATTGATTTGATTTTGATTGATTGGCTGTATGTTTGAATGAATGAATGATTGATTGTTTGAGATCACTGAACCATGTTAGTTATGTTGATCAATCTCCTTGAGAGTCATGTATTGTCAATGTTATTGATAAATTGATTGTTATAATTTAATTAATAAATATAATATTTATGTATTGTATCTGTATTATAACATATATAAGAGTGAGTGAGTGAGTGAGTGAATGAAGTATACCGTGTTATGGGAAAAGGGACCACCTGTTATTGTTTGTCTGTGTTGTTGCTGATGTTGATGTTGATGTTTGTGTGTGAATGAATGAATGAAGTTGGATAGCGGTCACAACCACAACAACTCAACCATTTTCGTTTGGGGGTGTTGTTCGTTCATTCATTCTTTCAAGTCACTGACTGAGGGTGAGATTACTTTCCTTTCTGATTCATCAATGCTCAACTTCACACACACCATTTGCATTGTTGCTGAAAGGACTAATACTAACTCTAGAGTCCTTGGTGTTGTCCCATGGGTCAAGGTCTACGCACTAACCATTCTACATTTGATCAGATAAATGGTCATTCATAAACATGTTTTATGCCAAAGCAAGAGAGGGTGTCTTTCTCTCATTGGTCAATGACCCGACACTATCCTAAAGTCAAAACTTGAAGTTCTCTAATTTTGTCATCCAATCACTTATTCATTCATTGAAGAGATAGATATATATATATTATAAGGATGAAGACCAAGTCAACAACAACAGCAAAATCAATATCATCTATACATCCAATACCATCAGACTTTGTTGGTCGTATAAAGTCATTCCTCATTGAACAGAAGTACGTGGGATATGTTGCCGCGATTCTATTGTTGCTAGAGGTGGTGATCAATGTGTTGGTCGTCTTGAAGGTGCCTTATACAGAGATAGATTGGTCGACATACATGCAACAGATTGAACTCTATGATAATGGCGAACGCGACTACACCAAGCTAGAGGGCAGCACAGGCCCCGTGGTCTATCCCGCGGGCTTCATCTACGTGTTTGCCTTGCTGCGAAGCGTCACCTCCAACGGCACAGACATCCGCCGTGCACAATGGATCTTTGCTGCGCTCTGCGTCGCATTCACCGCCGTCGTCTTTGCCATTTACAAGCGCACCCGATCAGTCCCAGGCTACGTGTTGCTCTTCCTCATTCTTTCCAAGCGCATCCACTCAATCTTTGGCCTGCGACTGTTCAACGACTGCATATCAATGTTCCTGTTCTATGTGGCGCTCTACCTCTTCACACGTCATCGCTGGTCGATCGGCTGCGTCTTCTTCAGTCTGGCCGTGGGCATCAAGATGAACCTGTTGCTGTTCGCCCCCGCACTCCTATTGCTTCTTCTGCAGACATACGGCGTGGCCAAGACTGTGCCACGTCTGGCCATCTGTGCCATCGTTCAGGTATTGCTTGGAGTGCCCTTCCTGATGCGCAACCCTGTTGGCTATGTAGCACGCGCGTTTGAATTCTCGCGCCAGTTCATGTACAAGTGGACGGTAAACTGGCGCTTCGTGCCCGTCGACGTGTTCCTCTCCAAGCCATGGGCCATCGCACTGCTTGCCTGCCACCTATTCGTGCTTTCACTCTTTGTCTGGAAGTGGTGTCGCGCACAGGGTGGACTGCTGAACTCGATCCGTCTCAGCTCGCCATCATCACAGCCCAAGCGTTACCTATCACCCGACTACATCGTCACATTGATGTTCACGGCCAACATTGTAGGCATGACATTCTCGCGATCACTGCACTATCAGTTCTATCTATGGTACTTCCATTCATTGGCCTTCCTCCTGTGGCATTGTCCAATGCTTCCAGTACCACTTCGCATCACAATACTTGGTGCCATCGAGTACTGTTGGAATGTATATCCATCGACAGACTTTAGTTCAATACTATTATTCATTTGCAATGTACTCATAGTAGCATCAATAATGCTTGCGCCTACACCACCAATGCTCATCAATCCAGCTATCAACCAACAAGCCAAGGACAACAAGAAGAAGCAATAAAGTAAACGAAACAAGTTGGACTCAAATCTTGAAGTGTGTTGTTTCCAAGAATTACACCTTTTGAAGTTTCCAACACTTTGAGTTTGTGGTTCATTCAACCAAGTCAGATGACAAGGTGGATGACAAGACAGGGGCAGGACATGAAGTAGGTGCATTCATACTATTAGTTGTTGTTGAACATGTTGACAATGAAGAGATCATTGCCATTTACGAATGATAAGATTGGTGGTGACAATCAATCATCAGTAACAAAGACACTTAAGATCAATAGTTTACTATCACCTTCATCTTCGCGACTTACATTCCAGCCACAACAACATGTACCAATCACAACATCTGCCAAACCATTACCAATGATAGGTGCATCGACGACAAACAGTAGTAGTGTCTATCAACCTCACCAATCAAAGTCATCATCTTCAACATCTTCATCATCGATCACATCAACTCACAAACAACAACATGGAGGAATGATTAGTAGCAAGTACCTGATACCTCATCAATCGAATATTGGATTAAGGCCACAAAAGGGTATTACTAGTAGTAGTATGTTCAAGGGCTCTAGTTTCACCAACAATACAACATCAATGTCAAAGATTGGGAGTCATTCATCGATCACTACTTCATACCATAAGCCAGTGCCTCAGATACCTCCCAGTACTCATCATCAACAACCAATTGTCAGCATATCGATCAAACCAGAGATGTCTGTTAAGCAACCATCACCTCCAAAAGGACCACCGCAACCTCCGCCGCCAACATCAACAACAACAAACTGGCAGACTCCAGCGCCGCCAAAGACACTCAAGCAAGAGTTCTCAACAACATCACTCCTCCCCAAGCCAACCACAACGACAACATCAACAGTAATCACAACGCCTCCTCCTCCTTCAACAACACCAACATTATCCATTTTWACAAACACCGAACAACAGGACAAGTTTACCAAGCATTAGTACCAACAAAATACCAAAGTTAACATCAGCCCCACTTCCGGTAAAGGTTGTGGAGGATGTCGATGAGGACWCTACTTTCCAGCCAGTCAATTCAGCGAGTTCACACCTCTGAGCAATCAGACCTTCACTCCAGACTTTTCAGAGATACTTGAGAACATCAGAGCGCAGTCTCAGTCACAGATGACACCGCCATCGGTGCCAAAGGCGATGGAGATCAAGTCCAACGACATCCAGGACATTTGCCGACAGTTTGGACTACCAACCGCAGTGGCAGAGGTCTATCGCAAGCGAAAGATCAACTCTCTATACAACTGGCAGAAGCAATGTCTCACCCACCCCAGTCTGCTACAAGGCTCCAACCTCATCTACTCGTTGCCGACATCGGGTGGCAAGACCTTGGTGGCCGAGATCATACTCATCAAGAGTGTTCACAAGGAGAAGAAGAAGACGCTGTTCATCTTTCCATTCGTCAGTATCGTTATGGAGAAGGCCGATGCCCTTGTCGAGTTTGGAAAGGCTTTGGGATTCACGGTCGAGGCATACTACGGCGTGCAGGGTCTGGTGCCCGTGCCCCCTGGCAAAGGAATCATTGTGTGCACCATCGAGAAGGCCAACATGATTATCAATCAATTGATAGAGGACAAGCGATTGGACGAACTAGGCACAGTTGTAGTGGACGAGCTTCACATGGTGGGCGATGGCGAGCGTGGTGTCCTGCTTGAACTGCTGATCTCCAAGCTTTTGTTCGTTTCCAAGGGCAAGGTGCAGGTCGTGGGCATGTCGGCCACCATCCCAAACCTTGTACTCATGCAGCAGTGGTTCAGAGGCGGTCTATTCGAGGACAGCTTCCGACCTGTGGAGCTCAAGGAGTTTCTCACGTACAACAAGGACATCTATGAGCGCAAGGGCAAGGTGGTCGATCAAACCACTACAAGATTGCTCGATACGCCCAAAGTGATAGTGGCTGAGAAGCCTCCATCACCTCCCAACTCAAAGAAACAACCGACTATCATGTTTGACTATGAGAAGCTGGGCAAGACTGATGGGTATCTCGTGTCCCTGGTCAAAGAAGTGATTCCAGATCACTCAGCTCTCATCTTTTGTTCATCAATCAAGTTGACCCAAGACGTAGCCCAGTTCATATCCAGCCAGCTGGCATGCTTTGCCAATCACAAGGTATGTTTAGTGGGCGACTCCCACTCCATTATCACTCAATCACTAACTAACTCCCACCCACGCACAGGAAGAGGAGAAGGGAGGAGTAATACGTAGTTTACAAGCACTTGGACACATGGACAAGATATTAGAGTCAACGATCAAACATGGAGTTGCGTTCCACAATTCGACATTGACAATTGATGAACGTGAGATCATTGAACAGGCATTCAGGGAGAGGACCATCAACGTGCTCTGTGCCACTTCGACACTGAGTGCCGGTGTGAACCTTCCCGCCAAACGCGTAATCATTCGTTCGCCAAAGATGGGGATCAGTGCCATCACCACCAGACTGTACAAACAGATGGCAGGCAGAGCCGGACGTGCTGGAATAGATGACACTGGTGAGTCCTATCTCTACTGTCTCAACAATACCGACTACACCACGTCCAAGAAGATCATGTCATCCGATCTCGACCCTGTAGTATCAGGTCTGGCCGATGCCAAGAACGACAAATACTTTCTCAAAGTTGTATTGGACTGTGTTGCTGCCAAGATAGCCACAACGGTATGTGTGTGGTTGTGGACCACATGTATGGATGGACGTCAACTTACACCCTCGTCATAATCAAACAGATCAAAGAGATATACGAATTTATTACATGTACATTTTACTTCACATGTTTGCCAGCATTGACAAACAAACTCAATTCAAAGTCACCAATTGATTATATTTATAGTGAGCTCAGGAAGGCATTGGTCAAGCTGAGGAAAGAATCATTCATACAAGAGAAGAAGGAGTCCAATGATGTAGACGACTGCAAGGACAAAGTTATTGAAGTCAAAGAAGAGGAGATACCAATCGATATGGTATGGGAATCAACTGGACTTGGAGACGCGACATTCAGATCATCATTGTCCACGGAGGAAGCAATCATTGTGAAGAAAGACCTCGAGAAGACCCAAAGGAATGGTGTCGTCCTGTGGGGTGACCTTCATCTCTGGTATGTTATGCTTCGCCCATCGATCCAATGGCCTCCCCCAACCCACTCACTAACTCGCCAACATGTGTAGCTACATCACAACACCAATGTTTGGATTACCAAAGTTATACAATGAAATGTTATATTGGGAACGATTCAAGAATCTATATAACTCTCTGGATCAGGTGGACAGATCAATTGCCAATAACATTGGAGTTGATCCAGAGTTCATACAGGAGAGGTTGTACAACAACTCTTTTTCAGCAGCACCGGAGGAATCAGTGCTCAACAAATACTTGCGATTCTATTGGTCGCTGGCCATGAGCGATTTGATCAAGGAGATGCCGCTGGGCATGGTGGCCACTAACTACAACATTGGCAAGGGCACCCTGCAGAACCTGCTCAAGACATCTGGATGCTTCGCATGGATGGTCGTATCATTCTGCAACAAATGCCAATGGTCCAGTCTCGAGGTGTTGATCAACTCCTACATCCATCGACTAGACTCTGGCGTCAAGCCCGATATTATCCCGCTGGTCCAGATCAAGGGTGTGGGACAGGCACGTGCTCGCGCCCTATTCAACGCTGGCTTCACCACAGTCAAGTCGATCGCCACCGCCGAGAAGACTCAGATCATGATGCATGTCAAGCAACTTAACAACATGTCCAGGATTGTTGAGAGGATCATAGAGTCGGCGAGAGTATTACTCGAGAAGCAGTCGGAAGAGTTACAACGCAAGGCCAACGAGTTGTTGGTCGGAGTGGAAGTGTCGACCAAACCTGATCCTTCTGGGTCTGGTCTTGGGCCTGCTTGAATTCGCCCATCATCACCGTAATGTAATAAATTCGTGAATTATGGGTGGTGTTTACAAAAACGAAAGTGTGGTTGTTGTGGTGAGTGTGGTGTGCGCGTTCATTCTACATTGATCATCAATCCAACAACAAAGAGATACAGATACACAAAATACTTATATACTTATATTCGTATTACTTATTATTATTCTTTAATATCAATATTAGATTAGATTATGTAGGATGAGTCAACAACAACAACAACAACAACAGACAGCAGATAATAGTACTACAGATATGTTATGCAATGAACATGATAGGATATTAGAGTTCATTTGTACAGATTGCAAACAGATGGTTTGTCCCAAATGCATGATATCCACTCATAAATTACATAATATAGAGGATGTAGATACTTTGTTGTCGACAGAGAGCTACAAGGGCATGTTCACCAGTCGTCTGACAGACCTCTGGACAAAGATCAAACGATTCCAATACGCCATCGATCAGTACGACCTCATTGAGATGCATCTGTGTCAGCTGTTTGGCGAGCTGCAGGCGGTGATCGAAGCGCTCACACTGGATGTGCGCAGCCAACTGGCCAACAGCAAGACGGCCACAAAGAATGCCATTGTGTCTATGCTTAAGGAGACGCGTGACATCAACACGATGATCCTCACGATGGACAGCCACACTGCTGGCGGCGGTAGCAATAACAATGGCAGCAGTGGCAGTGGAAGTGCTGGTGGCAGTGACGACCCCACCTTGAAGCGCAAGTTTGGCGAACTCGACCAGAGTGACGAGCTCGAGAATGACGCTGGTGACTTTGAAATCAACATCGACCGAATGCTCGAGTCGATTCGTCGCTCCGACTCAATGTTTGAGTTCATGGGCGAGAACAACGAGGTGCTGATCACTAACGCCAAGAAAGACAAGCACAAGTCACTCAAGATGATACAGGACCTTCACAAGAACATGTCCATCACGGACAGCAACAACGGTCCTCCAAGCTACACCATCGGCACGGATATCCAGAAGCTAGTATACCTCAAGACGCTCCTTGGTACAATCCAACCATTATGTTTGGTTGAGCATAATGACAATGCCAACATCAACGCCAACCCCATTGTCGCAAGCAACAGCAGCACGAATGGCAATCTGAATGGTAGTGACGGCGCAGGTGGCAATGGAAGTGGCAATGGCAACAGTGGCAATAGTATCGAAGTATTTGAACCAATAGTTGCCTCGGACAAACATAGTACTGTTTCAAGCGAGCCAAGCAGTAGCACTATCGAGCGTACATTACAGATGCACTCATCAATGAACAGCGATGAAGGGCTCTTCACACTCTCACCTCCACTTTCATCAAGTGAGCTCGAGCTCAAATCACCATCACAGTCCGACAACGTCATCACCAGCAGCAATAGCATCAACAACAACAACACAGACACACTAATGTTGGATGATATAAACAGAGATAACACCACCAACAACAACAACGACGACAAAAACAACAACAACAAGAATGGAGACAATGGAACAAATGGTAACAACATAAATTTGCGTCTAAGCGGTAGCAGCACAACCAACGGAGGTACGAGCACAAGCAGCACAAGCAGCACAAACAGCACAAACAACACAAGCAGCACAAGCAGCACAAACAACACAAGCAGTAGTAGCAGGCCTGCAGGATTCAGCTCTGATGAGAAGTACTCAACAAATAGCGACAGAGAATCACCTTCTAAAAAGTTGAAGACAATTGATCTGAAAAGTTCAGGATCATCACGTAACACTCCAGAGATGAAGAGCTCTGGCAGCACAGGAGACCTACGAAAGAGTAGTAGCACAAGCCAGTCGTCATCATCGACCGAGCTAAGGGGCACTGGCAGTGGCGCTACCGACCCCAGGCTCATGAAGGAGCTCTCACTGTCAACCAGCAGTGTGTCCAGCAGTTCGTACACCTACGAGAAGGTGTTCACCGTGGGCAAGGAGGGTGGCTATCTGTTCAACTTCAAGACGCTGAGGTGGTCACAGATTGGCGTCAAGGACAACATCTCCCTGAGGAAGTACTCTATCCACTCGGTCATCTCCACACACAACTACCTGTATGTGTTTGGAGGAAGCACATCATCCGACACGTACTCGCGCTACTACAAGGGCAAGAGAATAGAGCTCGATTGCACGGGCAAGATCTACGGTGGCAAGGGTGGCGAAGCGATCGCCGCCTGCTACGACAACCGAAAGACGATATACCTGGTGGGCGGACAGTACGACGGCTTCACATTGTTGCGCGTCGTCAGCATGAACACCGAGACCAAGGAGTTCAAGTGGGTCTGCGAGTTTGAGTACAGCCGGTCGGGCCAGTACGCCTTCTTCCACAACGGCCTCATCTATGTGGTGGGTGCCAATGCCGAGTCGTCCAAGACGTCGGACGAGCTGGCCATCTGGGCGGTGACGCCTGACTCTGGCAAGCTAACTCTGGTGATGAATGATTGTCGTATCAACACCAAAACTACCAAACAACTGGTGGCCTGTTGCTTCGATGGCAAAGACCTCATCTACATACTGGACGCCGAGAACTACTTCTACACGATATCAATCACAACGCTGCACAAGTCATTGCACAAATCACCAACATATCGTTTCATCACAGGTGATCAGTACACCATGATCCTATTCAACAACAAGACTACACTAATGTTCATTGGAGGTCGAGCACATGGCAATCAAGTGTACTCTATCAAGGACAACTTCTGGACCGTTATCAAGGATAATGACCGTGTGGATCGATGCTCAAATGGTGCTGTACTCTTTGAAGGATACTAACATCATCAAGGATAAGACCGACCGGTCCCTTTTTAACGACCAACAAATGGCAAAACGATAGAATGATTATAGAGCCACCCAAGATAGATAGATAGACAGCTCCTAGTATAGTTCAACCAACCAATCATTGATTGAACAACATAACAGGTGGATATTGGATCGTAGATTGATTGATTGATTGATTGGTATTGATGGATAGATGGATGGATTGAGGGATTGGAACTTTATTAAATAAAGGATGTCTTGATACATCTTTCCAACTCGCAAAAGGACTGAGGTAATACTTTATTTATCACCGCCAGTGGTCATGATCGCACCATCTCTGTTGCGGGCTTGGATATTGAACTTGGCTCTCCGAATTTGACACGCTCCAAACTAAGACCTGAGGCAGTGGACTTGATATTGTCAGCACCGTCTATGTCAATCAAAATGGTGAATTCTTGATATTAGTTCCATTTATCTTGATCTCCAGCACAAGGTCTTGGACGAGGGTAGAAATGAAGGAGTACTGGTAGGTACCATTTGACAAATAGGCCAGGTTGGCAACAATGACTGTTCCAGTAGTACCAGAAATGGTTACAACATAGTTCTCACAACCAAACTTGGTTAATGAATCCATTCTGCAGACCTGGGCCGCTGGCAATCACTTGGGTGGGATCGGAAGTAGTTCTCCTCTTATACTCCAACTCGATTGCTGTCTCGTTGGCTACGTGCTTGCAGAGTCCAGTGCTTGGGAGACAGTAGTCGAAAGTGAACTGGTTTTTATCATCACATTCTACATTGGTATGGACGCAAGTTTGATTTGAAGTGCACATATCGATGGTGCAACGATTGCCATCATCACAGCTGTAATGGCGACGTGTGTGTTGATGGCTCGTGGCGCGCTGCTGCTTTGTCGCTTCGCTCACATTACGTCGCTATCGCGACTTCATTTCCAATTAAATACAGTTTCAATGCTGCTTCAAAACTTATATTTATACTATCTTTATTCTTTCTACAATAGATAGAATAATAATAGATTAATAATAGAGATAAAAACAGATATGGTAAAGATATTGTGGAGAGGAGACTGTCTAGGGAGAGGGGATGACCTTTGGGGGTTGACCATGTCGATGGATAGTGTACGTCTTGAAATCTTCAGAGTAGAGTATAACCCAAAGGTTGCTATCGTTGACCGTAAGAGATTTGTTCTCATATGTCTTGGCACTTCTAAAGTCGATAACTGCCCATCTGTTGATCATCGACAAAAGGCTGCGATATCTGCCCGATGAGGGATCGAACCTCCTGATGTGTTCATCAATGTCGGAACCTTCGCTGACCAATTCGAACCCCCATTTGTAAATGGTGTCAATGTAGAAGTCCAAGAATCCACTTGATCCAAAAGCTCTGCCAACGCTAGGGGCAACTTCAGTTGGACCAATAATGAGAGATGATGCGTAGTAGAACTCCATCTGCCAGACAACCTCCAAAGGTTGTGTAGTTTGATTGCCAAGCTTGACATGTCTGGAGAATCGAGTTGACACTTGTTGGGGCCTGAATAACTTGAGGCATGTTTCAACGAAAAAATCGAACTGGCTCGTTTTAACGATGATGTCACTGAAGGTTGGAGCCTTGAATCGCTGAGAAAAGTAGCACCGGTAGTAGAGTGGGGAGGGGAATATCACATTACTGCCTTGACGTGTGAGGTATCCATGCTTGATGAGAGTGAACAAGGGTACGGTATCAGCATCGGAGGGGACATAGGCTCCGTTGACAACAGAGTCCAAGATGGTTAACTGATCATCAGACATCTTCCTGACAAGGGGTGCTGCTCTCGAGTCACTGATCGTGTCTGAAAGGTCCTTTGACAACAGATGCTTCATGATAGACTCTTCGAGAGTTGGATCGCCTTGTTGTAGTTCGAGCTTTCCAGTTGCGAGTAGGCGAAGCTTCTCTCCGAACTTGCCTTTGAGATCGTCCACTATTCTTCTGGCCAGCCCAACATGTCCATTTGTGTTTGAATAGATCCACTCTGCTGCGGTTGTTGGAATGGGTGCACCATAGATCTTGTCAAAGTTGTTGTTGATCATCTCGTTGAACTCGGCATGTGTAAGGAGAAGGGAGTTGATGTCCAGAGAAGCAAGAGGAGAGCTCTTTAGATCCAATGGTGTGCTGATGATGGAGCTGACCGATGTTTCTCCATAGCCTGCCAACAGTATGATGTGAAGATTTGTTGACTCTGTGGACTTGATCTTTGGCCATACTAGTTTGCCCCACTCGCTCTCTTCCGAGAAGATGGAGTGTGCTTCGTCCATGATAAGATACACAGGGCGAAATTTGGATATCATCAACCATTCATTTAGTGTCTGGCCTGTGTAGAGGCACCAAAGCTGCTCCAATGATGTGGATGGTGCAGTCCATGAGATTCTTCTGACATAGTGGCGTTTCTTCTCTTCGAGCACAATCATCTCTTTGAGGTGCTGCTCCAGCAGTTGGCCAAGGGAGGTCTTGCCAGTGTATGGAGGAGCTCTTAGGAGTGTGACCTTGTTTGATTTGACCACCTCTATGACCTTCTTGATTGTCTTCTCTCTCTTAACAATGCCAGAGTCAGCGAATTGAATTCCATCATATGTGAGGGTTGATTTTGGTGAAGCCTCGCCATCTGCAGAAGAGTTGTTAATTATTATATTTAGTTGTCATAACCAAAGTGCTTACCTATGATATATACGTATGGAGGTTTTGGGACTCCGGGCGCAAAGAACTCACGGGCTGAGGAAAGTAGAATGTTAGAATTAATGCGCATCTCTCTTGTCCGATATTGCGTGTTTGTACTTACGAGGTGATCCTATAATGGCAGCAGGGGCTTGAGTGTGTATGTTAGTATTGAATGAAGACATTGCGTCGATATTGTTTGTACTTACTCTTCAATATGATTTGGAGGGCTCCTTGCTTGCCTAGAGGTACCAGTTGACTCAAAGGAGTCTGAGTTGACAGTACAGGGGAGGCATTTTGATCTGTAGAGTAGGGAACAAGATCAAAAGCATCAACTTGTTTCCCTTGCAAGGGACCGAACTTGGTCAATGCATAGTCTTTGACATCGGACACAAAATCATCATCACCAGCCTTGAACAATACTGGCGACGATGGGTCAGTGAGGTAAATCCAAACAAAGATGGTCATGATTGGAATAGAGTGTGGAGTATGAGTAATAAGAGTTGTTGTTGGAATACAAGGTTGTGAGTATATGTGTAGATGTTGTGAGATAATAATGATGTGATAATGAAGAGATAAGTTGTGATATGTGTGTTGAGTGAGATAATAAGTAAAAACAGATAGGAAGTGAAGAAGTAAATGAAAGAGTTGTGTGTTGAAGACAAGTTAAGTAACACACAAAATTACAAACTCGAACTTCCTTTGGGAATAAATCAAATAAAAATAATTAATAATATAGATATAAGATGGGTTCCTTCAAAGAGTATTATCAATCCAGATCATGGTTTTATAATAATGAGTAGATCAATCACAGAAGTTGGCCGCAGACTGAAGAAGAAAGGTGTGACACTGATCAAGATGAATGGCAACTACACCAGAGCAGACATTGAAAGGATTGCACAGCGCGATAGTAACATTCTCAGGAGTATGGCGCCAATGCCAGGATAGAGGTTGTGCTTGACTATGGCAACCATCAGTATCGGTCTGGCAAGTTTACAAAGGTAGGTGATCCAATAAACATGTTCAAACCTCAAGAGTATGACGGGGCACCAATCGAAGAGCCAGCAACGTTCAAGATATTCTTCATGTGTGTGCACAAGCCAAAGACAAAGGCAGGAGGATGCGACGGTGTGGAACAAATGCTTGTATCACTGCTTGCAAGATGTATACCCAGAACATGATTGAGGACAAGATCAATGTACGTATCAACGTCAAAGGTGATCATTGTTACATCTCCACCAACAGTGCAGCGAGAGAGGTCAACCTGAAACTAACCAATGAACATTACACACCAGACAACAGTGGATCTTTTACAGTCAAGGGTGTTGCCATCAAAACTAAAGACAGACATATGCAACCAGCGGCATTCAAACGTATCAAAGACAGCTGTGTGCGGATATTACCACTTTGAGCTCTTCACCATCATCAAATCATGGAGCGAAGAAAGAGGGTCGCCTCCAAGAAGTTGTCATTGCGCCATCAGTTCCAAAAAGTACAAGGCAGACATGATCATCCAAAGAGGCAATTGGAGTTGCATCATCGAGCTGGTGGCCAACACCTGGGATAGCGACATTGTGAAGCTCTATACAAAGACCGTAGCCTACCAAAAGACATTGAAGACCAAAGAGGCATGGGTGGTGCACTTTACCAGGGGAGAAGAACGACCTGTGCCCGATGCATCCTCTCCTATTGGCGTCATACATGTGTGGCACAACAAAGAGTTAGACCATTGGGACATAACAATCTCCAAACACGCCCAACACATTGATCGTCCCATTGTAACTGACACCGAGATGATAGACGTCGAATAAAGTCCTCTGTTGTTCCTATCAAAATCAATGTATAAACATGTCAATTCATTAACAATGTCATTGCCTGACAACAATTTTGGATTCAATGTTGTAATATCCAGAGCTAGGGCTTATTTGTGTCCTGTTACCAATCTACTGATGCCACTCAATATCTCCTTCATATGGGTGCTGTTACCCATCCCCTGATCCCGACCCCTCCGACCGGATCGGATCGCTTATTTCTGAAACCTATTCGAGGTCACAATATAAAAGTGTACAAGTTACCGGTTCCATATAAAATGTATCCGATCAACGGATAATTACTGATTGATCGGATCGGAGAAATCTGATTGATGAATTTCCCAGTGAATCTATCTTTGGGAAAAAATTCAATGATAGGTCATACCTCATTTGATAATCGACCCATGGATCTCTTTCCCATAAAGAAAAGAATCTATCGAATGTGTAATAATCAGATAGATTACCATTGGTATAACAACATCTCTCCCCAAAAATTCAAGACTCTATTTTCATCTTGGATTTAGAGATACGATCCTCCATAAACATTAGAGTAGAAATTATAATTAAAAAATTGATGGTCAATTAGTTTAAAATTTAAACTAGATATTTGGTTGGCTAAGATAAAGATTATTAATTATATTATCAAACTTAATAATTATATGTAACACTTACGATTTAAACTTGCCCCTCCTACTAGTACTACAGATACTATGATCAAAGTAATAGATAGTAAATAGTGTCTCATAATTATTTGTTATAAATATTAGTAATAATAAAAAATTAATGATTGAATTGTTTGATGTTCATACTCATGGTTAGTTGGTATTAATAAGAATTGTTTAGGTGATTTGTTATCAGGACGTCCCAACCAATCAACTGCCTCATTGAGTTTACAAATCTCTTGACCTTTGAAAATGCGGAACAAATACCGATTTGATGGTGAAGCGACATTGACCTTAACAAAACATAAGGTATTGGGGGTCTTTGCATCGGGTCCCAACGTACGTCGGACGCCCATGCCAAATCAAAGGATTGTAGCTACGCTCTGCAATCATTTATTCAACAAGAATGATTGGAGGAATCTTTTGGGTGTTGTGTGTTGTTGATGTTTGACTATCTAGTTGTGTAAAGGGGGTGGTGGAAGCCTAGAAAAGGAAGTATTTCAAGAGTAGGCCGAGTAAGAGTGCAACAAACATCGCAATGAATCCTACGAGTTTGGAATCGATGCCCGTCGGGGTGGTGGTTGTCGCTGTTGGCTTGTTGCTTGGCTTTGCCTTGGGCTTGGTCAGGGCGCTATTTGATTGGTTTGCCGAGGTGGTATTGGGCGATGTCTTGCCACCACTGCTCTTGTTCCTGTTCGCTGTTGTTGTTGTTGTTGAGGTCTGTGATGTTGTGCTCTTTGTTGGTTGTTGTTTCAATGGTGTATTGTACTCGATTGGTTCCTCCACCTGCAATGTGCGGATCAATGACTTCTCCTCCTTGTGTTGATGATGCTGCTGGTGATGATGAACCACAACCTTCTCCTCCTTGTTTGTTTGTTCCTTTGGTTCCTTGCGCTCCTTCTTTGGCTTCTTCTCCTCGACTGGTGTCCACTCATCCTTGGCTGGTGCAGCTGGTACCTCAACTTTCTTCAACTCTGTCTGTGGCTTGATCTGGATGGTGACTCGGGTCGACTCCTCCTTGGGTGCCTCAGCAACAGTCTCTTGCTGTTGGACGACAACACTAGCCTGCTCTGGCTTGACCTTCTCCTCCTTGGCCTTCTCCTTCTCGACAGTCTCCATCAATCTCAACACATTCTCCTTGGCCCAAATGGATGTGGGCTGTGCAGGTGCATCCACTGGCTTTGGTTGCTTTGTCTGTTTGGTCTCCTTGGTTGGGACAACTGCTGCAGCTGGAGTGACTGTGCTTGGTGAGACAACAGTCGTTGTCGTCTGTGGTACTGCCGACTCCTCCCAGAATGGTGCCTTGCTTTCATTGGATGATGTCAACTTTGTCTGCTTCTGCTTCTGTTGTTTCTTCTCTGTTTTGTCAACTGACGAGGTGGTGTTGGTAGCTGTAGCCGATGTCTTCTCGACCGACTTATCTGGAACTCTCTCCTTCTCATCATCCTTCTTTCCTGTCTTCTTGTGCTGCTCAACGATCTTGTTTGATCCAGACCATCCAGTGGTCGTCACTGGGCTGGTAGTCGATGGTGTGGTACTCTCAGTGGCAGCAGCAGCAACAGAGGTTGGAGCGGCGACAGTCTCATTGCTGGTGGTGGACTGAACAACTGGTGACTTTGGCAATAGCAAGCCAGTGGCCCAGGCATTGACATTGGGTGGAACAACAACAGTTGGGGTCACAACAGGGCTGGTCTCTACATTGCTCGTGGTGGTTGTAGTGGTGGCTGGCACTGTCTCACCTGCTGGCACTGGTGCAGCTGGCTCGACGACTGGCGATGAAGCGGTCTTGGCTGGCTCGACGGGTTGGGCCTTGGCAACATAGGGAGTCTGTAGGGGCACTGGCTCGCTTCCGAGCAGGATACCTGTGGACCAGGCGTTCATTCCTGCTGGGATCTCTGGAACGGGGATCGCTGGTTCGGCAGGTTGTGTGATCTCGGGTGATGTTGGCACAGCTTGCTGCTGCACGGTAGCGAGTGGCTTGGTGTTGTACTTTCTGAGTTGATTGGGTGCAGTTGAGGTCCATGAACCATTGCTGTTGTTGTTATTGTTGTTGCCTCTCGCGAATGTATTGTTCGAGTGATCCGAGTCGTTACTGATCCAACCATCTTGATTCCTTGATTGGAATGCTCCAGTATGAGCATTCAGCTCATTCCACTGGTTGGCATGATGATCAATCTTTTGGAATGTCTTGAAGTTCTTCTTCTTCTTCAACTCATCATTCCTCTTGAATGTCTTGAGTAGTATAGTGTTCTATAATAGTTGTTGTTGGAATGTTAGACCATTGAATGAACGAAGGAGATATTGCTTTACGTACGTTGTGCGAAGAGTACTTGGCGTACTTTGACTTGAGTATATTCTGAAGACCATCCTTGAGTGCTTGGACCTTCTCTTGGTTCTCTGACTCATTGTTCCAAATGTTGATGCTTGCTCCCCAGCTTCTGAATGACAACACAAGTCCATTCTAAATGATCGTGTCATGAATGAACGTGCGAACGAGTGAGTTAGTGAGTGAGAGATCTTGTGGTCACATGACAACACTTGGGACAACATACCGTTTGCTCATACTGCTCCCATTGTGAAGCGAAGACGACAGTGGTGACCAGAGTGAACCAACTATTGATCATCTTGGTGTACTCCTCATTGTCCTTGATTATATAATTTACAGACTAAGAGTGAGAGATGAAGAAGGAGTTAGAGTCAGAGTCAAAGACATAGAGATATCATGTACTTACATATTTACCGCCATCCTTGTTCTTGATATCCTCCCAGGCTGGCTCGATTCCATCCTTGAACATACTGATGTTACTGTTCATTGGTGATTCCAAACTGCTCCACAGTTGCTTCAAGCCCTCTAGGGAGTTGAACGAACCGAGTCTGGAGATGTTCTGCAAGTACTGGCTGTTCTCTGACTTCTCCCTTGGCTCCACCTTGGACTTGGAGTCGTACCACAGTACCCATGACTCGTCAAACGTCTTTGTAAGATCGGCTGAAGACAATGCAGCATCCTGAGAGAAGTCCAATTGCAAGTCGATTGTATATTGAGGTTGTTTGTTTTGATTGAAGTTGTTGTTGTTATTGGCATTGTTGCCAAATGCTGTACTATTGTTATTGTTGGTTGTTGAAGACTCTACAATCTCACCTTCCTCCTCTGTACCCTCCTTTTGCTGCTGTTGTTGATTAGTTGAAGCTTCACCGCTGCCAACCATTACAAAGTCATCCTCATCTTCATTCTGAAGTATGTTGAAGTAGTTCATTGTATGTTGTCTGTTATTGTAGTATTAATTGTAGTTGTAGTAATAGAGACAAACAACGAGATATACAAGACAGTGATGTAGTGTGTTGTTGGATGGATAGTCGTCGACGTGGACAAGTATGGTGATGAGTCAATGAATGTATGAATGTGGGGTGATTGTATCTCTATCTCTCAGACTTTGGAGTGCGTGGGTTGGAAGATATTGACAAGTCAGACTGCCCTATTGTTTTGGATGGGTGGTTGTTGGGGCAATAGTTAATCGTCACCATAAAGGGATGGGAGAAGTTGAAAGAAGTTATTGAAAAAAAATGAAGTGTGACAAAGCAGTCAAAATGAAATCTCCAAAGTCTGAAATTTCAAAAAAAAAAAAACCCCCCCAAAAAGATCGCATAAAACCTTAATTCAGATAATTTCGGACATCAAGGGCTTGTAGCTCAGATGGTAGAGCGCTCGCTTAGCATGCGAGAGGTAAAGGGATCGATACCCTTCTAGTCCAAAAACTTTTTAAGTACTTTGATCACACCAAACTGTAAAATGAGGAACTTCCAGAAACATTGTCCTGGGCGATGCACCAACGTCTGAGCTCCCCTACCCACCGAACCTGAAAGGTACTTGGCGTCAACTTCACCAAGCAGGGCATCTACTCCAAGTCCGAAAGCACCACACTGCGGTCCAAGGTTGCAGCTCTCAAGTCTTACGCCCTCCCCCCTCTGATGTACCACTTCTATCTGGACTCACCGACCAAGTGGCAGATCAAGAAGATCGAAAACCTCACCAAATGGTTCATCTCAGCCCCCAAGACCACCGCCTACGGCTCCAGCTTCATCAATACGATGGCACTGGACCGCGCCGGCTTCCATTGGGATCAAAGTTGCCTCAACCTCTGGGACATTGGACTCAGATCAATTGCCTACAAGGTATGGGTGTTCAATCGTTTCCTCAACACCCCAGCCCATCTCACCCATGGCTACCTGGACTCGTGGAGAACTCAACACCGCAACGCCAGGAAGCGCCTGGGAGGCAAGTTCACTGGCCTCTTCCGCAAGTTCCACACACCTTGGATGGAGTTCCGCTCCGCCCACCTCTCCAGCCATAGCGACAAGGTACCTCTCTTGGATAGCAATGGTGTCACCCTCAGTCTGAAAGACATCTATGCCATCCTCTGGAAGGCAAAGTATTGGCGTCATTTATTTGCAATAATAATAAACTTCCACTCTAGTCAAAAAAAAAAAAAAAAAAAACTTCCAGAGTCGAATGATTTGATTTCCAAAGTGTTTTGATGTCGCTTCGCGCACTCAATCTCTTCATTCGATCATTCATAGAGAGTGGGTCTTGCCTGGCCCTCGACAATAAATGATATTCAAACTCAAACTCAAACGACGGCCTTGCGGAAAGGACCTCCTTTCTGGCATCACCATAAACTTAGTATTATCAGTCAAATTCAAGATACAAGATAATAGATTTTATTAACAAATATGGATTTTATCTTGTATCTATCTATCTATTATCTTATCTATATATAATATATATATAATTATTTGATTGAATACTCAACTTGTTATATCAAGTTTACTCACACAAAGTTATTAATAGAATTTGACCAGCGAGTGGATTCAATATTTTTCAACTGAAACACTTAAGGAACTCATCAAAACGAGTTTGTTAAATACTTTGATATATATAAGTGAGTAATAAAAAGGGGACCATTATTATAATTATTATTACATTCACCTTATTAATAATAATAATTTATTTTCTTACAATACAATGTCAAAAAGGATAATTCTCAATAACAACAGTCAAAATCGTATGATGAATATTTTCTTAGAAACTACATCAAGTCAGAAAGTCCAGACCTCATCGTTACCTTACTTCCTGTCAAAGAGACTAAGTGGACCAAAACTGATGGAGTAGCAACTACCACTTTCATAAAGACCTCCGAGATCCTTGATCCAACGGGAGGATATAAGAATGAGATAGTTCCCATTGTCAAACAGCCATATCTAACAGAGAGCTATGGAGAGTTTATTATCAAACTCTATGACAAAGATGGAAACTTTATTGGTGGGAAGGAAATCTTAATAGAACCTGATGAAGAGGTCTTAATCCCAGAGGTTGTGAGTGTGACTCACAATTCATGCCCGCCAATAAAAGATTGTCAAGTTCTCTTGGTGCAAATCAAAGGTGGGGTCCAGAATGTAGAATTCAAGGGTCAAACAAACCAGAATGGAGAATTCAAACTTCCAAAGGACATCCTGGATGGATCTTACATTTTACGGGCTTATCCTCAGAATCTCAAAGCAATTGAGAAGCAGTTTGTTGTTGCAATGGGCAAAAGAAATTACTTCCTTGCTAATGAATCCACAAATATCCATCAAGCCTATACCCCGTATGCTCATACAACTTCTCATCCTGAAGAAACTTTGGACTAGAATGGAAACTCAGAGTCAAAGGACAGAGGACTTATAAGAGATGGTGGCTTGAGAGGATCATCAATATTAATATTGGACTTATATAATTTACCGGACATACCTCTAACCAACCTCAAACTTGAAATGAAACTGATTGGAGCGGCCCTGGATATATTGAACAAAGATGAACTCAACAAGATCACTACTGGATTCCTTTCTAAATACTGCCAAGTATGGATAATCAGTGACTATTGAGAAAGACTATCAAAGAATCAAATCGATTTGATCGTTGCTCACTTCAACAATGGGAATGGTCTTTTCATATGGGGTGGCAATGAACCGTTTGTAGCGGATGCCAATGTTATTGGAAAGAGATTTGGACTTAGCTTGGAGGGAAATTATCACGGTTGCCAGATTGTTCAACTTACCATGAGATCTCAAGAGCCTGGATTCATGAACCACTCGGTGATGACTGGACTCTCAACTTTGTACGAGGGTAACACTATATCCACAATCAATCAAAGTCAATTCAGAGGAAAAGGATTGGTTGAGGTACTCTATGGTTCAGATAACAAACTTGTTACAGCAGCCATTGAAGACCCAGTTACCAAAGCAAGGTTGATGATGGATGGAGGCTTCACAAGACTTTATGACGAATACTGGGACACATGTGGCACCTCAAGATTCGTCTCAAACTGTGCTGGATGGTTGGCCAATCTCGAGTATCCCAGGGACATCTTGAAAGACATGCCCTCAAACATTTGATTCTACCAATTATTGGAGGATGGATGGACACCGTGCAACAAGAATTATTACCAACAAAGAGTTATTACATTCAAAACTTTATTTCTTTGACATGTTTTGCTCATTGGTGGATGAGACATTGAGCGAGAGCGCTGGGGGGATGACTGGTGCCTTTGGTCGTTGTTGTATCTGGATCGGCTTGGACTCATTGCCAGATTGTTGTTGTTGATGTTGATGATGGCCCACGCTGCTGCTGCTCTTTTGAATGATATCCGCTGGTAACTTGGACGTCAAGAAGGAGACGTCCAACTCATTGAACTTTGGCGAGACATTCAATGCCTTGTAGATCAGATGCAACTCCTCAGTGAGTGTCTCATTCCTAAAGCATACTCTGATGTCTGGAATATTGGTCTTCTTGATGTCGTTCTTTGAAGGGTCCAAGTACTCGGCACCCAGCCAGTGTGACTTGACATTGTGCTCAAAGCCACTTTGCAGGACACTGTTGCGCGCAATTTCACAAATGTCGCAAGGGCTCAAGTGCCACACCTGCGTGGCAATGCTGTACTCCTCCATCAACGGCTCCTTTGTGTAGTGGAACTGCAAAGGATCGTCCGTTGAGATACTGACGTTCAGTCCTCTGGCAAAGAACACTGGGAATGGGTTGCGGTAGTACGTCAGGAACAATGAGTTGTTACTCAAAGGTGACATTGCAATACCAATCTGAGTGAGATAGAACCTGTATGATTGATTGAATAGTTGGGTGAGTGAGTTGATCATCAATCAATCCAAATATCCAAAACATACAAGTACTGAAGTACTGGAGTCTTCCGCAAGTTGATGCCATGGTTAATGCCATGTGACAAGAAGAATGCTGCAGCCATGTGATCAGCCTCGCCAGCCTCTCCAGAGTGAGGTCTCAATGCAAGAGTGTCTGTAAAGTGTTGGTAGTGTTAGTGTGTGCGCAAGGGAGTTGGTTTGATTGATGGTGCCACAACATACTTAGACCACGCTCCTCTCTAAACTGATTGAGAGTGTAAAGGTTGGCATAGAGATAGTAGAGATAGTAGGTGTAGGGTGGATTGTGCTCGCTGGTCCACTCGCCTGGTGCCTGGAATTTCTCGGTGAACTTCTTCTCAAACTTGGACTCGTCGTCGACACAGTCGATGCCGACCACCTGCTGCAGGAACATGTGCAGCTTGGGATGCGCCTGGGGGTTCTTGGTGGCCTCGAACAGAGGCTGGAAGATGTTGGAGATGAACACCTGGAAGCTGAGCAGGTTGTCCGTCTCCTTATAGATGTCATAGAGACGTGGGATCTGGATCAGCCAGCGCACTTTGGGTGAGAAGAGCTCGTTGTCGATGATCCAGCTGGCCAGGTTCTCCCACTCGCTCATCTTGCGTCCATAGATCGACAGTCTGTACTCGGCGTTCTGGTATCTCGACTTCTCGAGGTCCTCAAACAACTCCTTTGTCAACTCGGCAAGGTATCTTCCCTTGATATGATTGTCCGTCTTGAGGAAGATCTCTCTCAGTCTTGATTGTCCACATGGGTTGTACTTCAAGTTGAACCTGTCGAACCTGTGGAACGTGTTGTTGTCGGCCTAAGTATGCGAAACAGTTAGTTGGTTATCCTTTGATTGATTGATTGATTGAATGGGTTGAGTGATGGACATACATGGACGTCTAGAGTGTCTACGCTTAGCTCGTCGACGTTTAGGTTCAAACTCTTGAACACCTCGGAAAGGGAGAGGTACTTGCCGTCACGGTAGATGACAGTCTCGCTGGGGGCATCCTTAAGCTTTCTCTTGATAAACTTGAGCAAGTGCTTCTGGTTCATCGACGATGAGTGATGAACGTGAGTATCAACCTTGCGGACATTGTAGAAGTCTCTATGAGGTGCGCTCTATATGTTGTTTGTTGGGACGCGTCAGTGTCAGGTGTCAGGTGTCATTCACTAACTCACGAGCACATACCTTTTGATGCAATAGCTCAGCACTGTCGTTGAGAAGCATGTGCATGTTGTATTTGGACTCGAGAAGACGGAGACGCTTAAAGGTGAAGGACTTGGCGGGACCATCGGCACAGAATTGCATCATCCTGTTGATGTCCTTGTAGTAGGAGTTCAGGGTGGATTGGATGTGGAACAGTGGCTTCTCAGCCTTCATCTCCTCCTCGTTCTTGTAGACGTAGAACACTCCATTCACTGGTTTGAACGTGTGTTCCGATAGTGTGTCAATTGGCGACTGGAATGGACTGTAAGGAGGCTTCTCACTTGGTGCAGTATCAGCGTGCCAAACCTTTGGCTGGAACAGATAACGATTACGCAAGTTCACCATCTTTAACAACTCCATGCACACATCACTATACTCTTCGATATCCTTCTCATCTGTTTGATTGATTGATTGAGTTATTGAGTGAGGAATGATTCCATGAATGAATGATGATGATGATGAACATACTCTCGTTAGTCAATATGATACGTTGGAATGTATGTTGTTGATCTTGCTTGGCCATGTTGAATGTGAATGAATTGATACTCTTGTCCTATTTGGGTATACATATGATTGTCAGTGATTGAACAATTGATTGATTGAATGAACATGATAGTATAAGTACCTCTTCCATGTAGTTCCTGTAAGTGAATTGATGTTGAGGGTCATCATCATGTTCATGCTCATCATGTTCAAACTCATCGTGATGATGTGAATAGAAGGACACCTTTGGTGATCCTCTCATTGGTGTTGACATCTTGAATGATTGTTATTTGGTCAATTGGTATTACAACTTATTATTATTATTATTATTATGTGATAATAGCGAGAAAAAGTCAAATGATTGACATAATCAACAACACATCATCATAAGTGTTGACCACCAATCTTGAGCTTGGTCCCAATCTTGAACAATTGTTAAAAGACAGTGAGGTCAAGTTTGATTACAAGTGTACTTCATCACCCAATAACGACCTTTGAAAACTTTTTATATATATAGATTTTCAGACCTTAGAAAAAACCAGGCAAACAGTAACCTTTCCATGATAGGTGATGAGGTTGTGCAAATTTGGGGGGGATTTTGATTAGTCAAAAACCGAATGAAAGTTGCAAAACAACACAAAATCATCATTTTTCTCACTCATCACCAACATCCACCATCAATCACGCATTTGTTTGAGTGAGAATAGGGGGTGATAATTACAAACGAGACTCAGATTGCTCCACCAGGTCAGAACTCCACTCCGTCCCCTATTTCACTGACTCAACTCCAACTACATCATTACACTTATTTATATCAATACTATTATTATCTGTATATGTATTATTTATAAATAATAATAGTAATAATAATGGATCAATCACATTTAAAGTCAACACGAGAGTGGCTACATAACAAGTCATCTGGAAACTTGAGTATAAATAATGGTGGTGGCGCAGATAACAGTGACATGGACAGGACACATTATTTCGTTCCAGAGGAGGAGGACGTCGATGATCAGTTTTTGACGAAAGAGGAGTTGACCAACCCAGTTGAGTTGGCCAAGGCTGTTAAGACAAGACTGCCACTATACGTACCAATCATCAAGTGGATCAGATCATATTCAAAGGACGATCTGGTCGGTGACCTTATCTCATCCGTAACCGTTGCCACAATGCTTGTACCCCAAGCCCTAGCCTATTCCGTACTTGCAGGTCTTGATCCAATCTATGGTCTATACTCTGGTTGGTTGCCACTCGTTGTCTATGCCTTTATGGGAGGTTGCAAGTATGTATTCATTCAATCACTCTGGAATCATTCCAATCACTCCATCATTCAAACACTCAATCAATTTGGATCCATTCCAAAACTACACTCAAACCCCTCGAACACTCCAATCACTCAATCTATCACTTCTGGAACTATTCCAATCACCTCAATCAATCTTGAATATTAACATGATTCCAATTCACCAAATTTAGACAACTTGCAGTTGGCCCAGAGGCATTGTTATCGGTATTGCTTGGAACTATATTGTTGGACGAGGATGTTGAACATAGAGCAGAGATTGCGCACTCTTTGGCACTGCTGGTGGGCATTGTCAGCTTCCTGTTTGGAATATTCCGTTTTGGATTCATGGGATCGATCATCTCGCGTTGGGTCCTCTCAGGCTTTATCAACGCCGTGGCACTAATCATTGCCATCTCACAATTGGAGCCACTGCTCGGCATCAAGTTCACTGAACTGCATCCGGGTGCAGGACCCTACGAGCGCTTCTGGTACGCCATCACACATCTCGACAAGGCCGACCACCACACCATCTTCCTCTCGATTGGCTGCATCCTATTCTTGTTTGGCATGCGCTTTGTCAAGGCCATACTCATGAAGAAGGGCTTCAAGAATGCCAAGTACATCCCAGACATCATGCTCATCGTTATCATCTCCATACTAATCGTGTGGTTGGGCAACCTCGAAGCCGCCAATGGAAAGGGTATCAAGGTATTGGGCTTCATTGACGGTGGGTTCCCCGTGCCATCCTTCCCAAGCTTCAGCATCGAGCACTTTAGAACAATGCTGCCAGAGGCCATCCTCATTGTGATCATTGGATTCGTCGAGGCAACTGCCGTCTCCAAGGGCCTAGCCACCAAGCACAACTACTCAATCAGCTCGAACCGTGAGCTGGTCGCCTTTGGCACGGCCAACATCCTGGGCTCCATCTTCAAGGCCTACCCAGTGTACGCTTCAATCCCACGTACCAGCATCCAGGACTCATCCGGCTCGAGGACCTGTCTGTCGGGCTTCCTGACCTCGTGTTTGTTGCTCATCACCTCAATGTTCCTCACGCGTCTGTTCAAGTACCTGCCCTACGCCACGATGGCATCAATCATCTTTGTCGCAGCATTCGGTCTGCTCGAGATCCACGAGGTCATATTCTTGTGGAAGACTCGCTCGTGGTATGACTTTGCGCAGTTCATGGTTGCCCTGTTGGCAACGTTCGTGCTCGAGGTGGAGATGGGCGTGCTCATCTCGCTGGGCATGTGCATCTTCTTGGTGCTGCGCCACTCATCATCGCCGCACGTCTATAGTGTGCTGGGAAGGGTTCCCGGCACCAACCGATTCAAGGACGTGAGCAAGTTCCCCGAGGCCGAGCCCATCGAGGGCATCCTCCTGATCCGTATCGACGAGGTGCTCTACTTTGCCAACATCTCGCAGTTCAAGCAACTGTTGGCCGAGATCGAGAAGATGATGGACAAGTCGGCGATCGAGGCTGGCAATGGCGGCACGCCACTCCAGTCGATCGTGATCAACATTGTCAACATACCCCAAGTCGATGCCAGTGCCTTGCTGACCATCCAGGAGATGGTGGAGGCCTACCACAAGCGTAACATCAAGGTGGCCTTTGTCCAGATGTCCGAGAAGATCAAGGACTCATTCAAGAAGTCCGGTCTATTCGATCTGATCACAGCTCAGATGATCTTTGAGTCCAACTACGAGGCCGTAACCTATCTCGAACATAACGCACCACAAGAGGGCGATGCTGTTGGAATGCATGATCTGAGTCTAGACATCCCATCAACTCGCGAGGCATTTGACAATGACGACGAGGACCTCAGCTACACTCCGCGCTCAGGTCATGGTGCCATCCTCAACAACGACATCAAACTGGAAGATTATTCAGACATCGAAGATTCAGAGGAGTTCATTCATCACAAGAAGTGATCACTTCAATCATTCAAACCAATAATGGCAAGGCCAGGCCAGGCCAGGCCAGGCAACTCATCAACAGGCGACAACCCATTCAAATATTGTATTGTTACCAACCAAACTACCAACTTCACATGCATTACAACAATCATTTGTTGTCAACGAAGGGTGGCGCATACTACCGCCACCTTCCTAGTCAATAAATGGAGTGATGGAATATATACAACAAGCCATTATAACCTTTATATCTAACTAACAATAAGTCATAGTCCATTGCTGCTTTGGGAACATTTGATTACGTCTTGATATCAGTTCATACTTGGGAATGTATCCATTCTGGAATAGACTGAGCATTCTGTTGTACTCCTCTTGGTAGTCCTCAGAGTCGTAGAAGTTGTTGGCCATCTTGATCTCCTCCCACTCGTTCTCCTCCTCCTTGGTGAATGTTCTCTCGCGCTCCTCCTCTTCGTAAGCATCGTCGTCGTCATCATTGAGATAGCCACCGCCATAGTATCCACTGCTGCTTGAGTCATCTGAAAGGTCAGTGTAGCAATCAGACACCTCTGATGGTGCTGATTGCTGTGGGCCCAATTGAAGCTGGTCCAAGTAGCATTGATAATGAAGCAGGGCAATGGCCACATCAGAGTTACTAGCATTTGATGAGCTTAATGATGATGACTGGCTGCTGTCGTTTGATTTCTTTGACTGTCTGGCACCATTATCTTCATCGTCATCGTTATCGATGCGAGGTGCCTCAACCTTGAGATATGATCTCAAAGAGTCCTTGAGGTCGCTGTCATCAATGATGAATCCATGTTTGGCGGTCTTGATCTGTCGACGAAGCTCCTTCTCTGCATTCTCCTGGCGCTGCAACTGGCGTAGCAGTTTGTTGTTTGTGTTGATCTCGGCCAAACGATCAAACTCACGTGGCGAGATGATCTTGGCGTCGTATTCGCCAAAGTCAATAGCCTCGTATTTTGTTCTGCGTGGACCAGAGCTCTCCTCACCGCCATATGTGTCATCAGTCAGACTGCCGGCAGCCTTCTTTGATAATCTTTTACGCTCCAACAGTTTGGCACGACTGTACAGTGTGTTCATGTCCACATCGCGCACCTCCTGATTGCTCCAATATGATGGATATGAAGTGTCGACCTCCTCCTTTCCCTTTTGTTTCGAACAGTTGTGGTTGCCACTGTTGCCACTACTGTTCGAGGTGGAAGCTCTATACTTGATTGCATTCTGTACAGCCTCCTGATGAGCCTTTCTCCTCTCCTCCTTTTTCTGTTTCAACACAGAGTATCCATCAGCATTATATTGTGAAGATGGTACAATGAATCCAATACTGTTGTCTAAACGTTCATAAAGTAAGAATATAATCACATTATTGAATGTAGGTGTACAACATACTGTGCTCATATTTAAAGTATACTCTTGGTGGATTGTCAAAGACTTGGATAACCTTGGCAAGACGGTTGTACTTTACGATGTAGTCACCTTTCTTGAAGTTCTTCTTGAATTGAGTTTGACGGTGATCATATCCAAGCAAGTCGTCTTCCAATGTCATAGCTGATGTGCTGTGTAGTAACCTGTTGTTGTCTAACTTGGCATCAAAAGGTTTGATGATGAATGATTATAAGTTATATATATATATAATTATGTATCTGTATGTGTGTGTCAATCACACATTTAGAGTGATAAAGTGGTTGCATAAACTTAAGATGGATATTTATAACATTGAAGAGAGATAAATTGGTTAACAATTTCAGAAAAATTGTAGAAGAAATGTGGGAGTGTTGACTTTTTGCGAATTCTGAACAAGTTGTGTCTTCCAATCGAGATAGATGCTTGACGAGCCTTTATTATTCCTTAGGCTCTGAGCGAGGAGCATGTCATTCTGTCGATGTAGACTCGTCGCAGTGTCAACACTCCAATCACTGATGTAAGGTTGGTCGTTCACTCTGATTGATTGTATATGTGTGCGACCATCTGTATGATTCGACTCGTACCAATGCAAGAGTTTGGTAATAGTATTATCATTGAACGATAATATCATGCTTGTTGTTAAACTAGATGTCAATCTCATTAGAGTCTACATAAGGTGTCGATGATGCTGTTGTCGAGGTTGTTGTTATCGTTGTTGTCGAGGTGTTTATCATGTTGTTGTTGTTGTTGTTAAGTGTGTTGAGATGCAAAGGTGTAGTGGCAGCTGATGTCTTGAGAGGCAGATCTTTCCATGGGTCTTCAAGAAATGAGTCTTTATAGTATGTTGTCGTGATGAACTCGTATGATTGATTGTGTGTCTGTGTGAATCCACCTCTTCCACCACCTCTTCCTCCACCTCCTCTGTGTCCTCCTCCTCGGCCACCACCTCTGCCTCCACCACGGAAGCCACCACCACCTCTTCCTCTTCCTCCACCTCCACCTCTTCCACCATTGAATCCACCTCTAAAGTTATTCTGTCCTCCTTGATACATTCTTATCTGTATCTGTATCTGTATGAATGACTGAATAATGAGATAATCAGTGAACTTTCAAAGAGATTTAGGGGGAATCTTGAGTGGAGGTCATCGGAAATGAAGTCCATGTTGAGCCACACCAAAGGGTGTTCAAAGTGGGCAACAATGGTAATATTGAATCATAATAAGATTATGATCAGATGATAATATCCAACAAATAAGTTATAAATAATGTTGGATTTGGAGAAGATTATAAAAGACGACTTATTGATTACGAGAGATGAGCATTGTGTTGGATGTAATGATGGTGATGATGATGGAGTGGACCTTGTATCACATCTACCAATGGAGGTCCAAACTATAATCATAAGACAACTGGATGTTGACTCTGTAAACAATCTAATGAATGTCTCACAATGGTACAATAACCTTGCTGGCAACCCTTTGATATGTATGTATCTCAAACATGTTTGAAACTCACTCTAATCTATCAATCAATCAACAAAGGGAAGGAGTTATGTTTCAAACCTAATGTACATAGTGGAATGTCATTGCCTAGAGAACTTCTTGGTGTTGGAACACATAGTTTACCATCTACAATTGATTGGAGATTGATCTATAGAGAGTTGTCCACTCTTCAAACAGAGGATGTAATAAGAGGTGTTGTTTCCTCATCATCATGTGATCGTTCCAGCCAAAGAATAGACAATACATTATTTGAGTGAGTATGACGTCGATTGCCATCCATGGACTCCAACATCTAACTAGACCTTACTCACTCACTTAAGTAATCCTGACTTCTGGAGTTCGACAGGATCGTCCACAACTGACGCCAATGAGTCATTGGTTTACGTGCTTGGACAACCTTATGCCATGTCCTCTACATTCAAAATCAAGGTTTACAAGTCATGGCATCAGTATGAGTAAGTAAGACGCAATGGATATGACTTTGGATCGATCACTTACATGTACACTTCACAAAAACACAGACATCCATGTTATCCTCCACAACGAATCAAGATATCCATTGGACACTTTCCTAGCGTCGACTATCATTATGTATCCAAAGAGTTTGATGTTGTCAGCGGCACTGATGGTATGTATCCATCATGGAGTAGACCAATCAATCAATCAACAAACTAACTCAATGAGTTGTCATTTAGACGAACAAATCTTTGACCTTGGACAACTTGTGTACGGAAGATATCTTAGAGTTGACCTCATTGGAAAGGTCCAAGCACAACTCTCTGACAACCTGTTATACACAGCAATTGAACGTGTCAAGATGGATGGTGTTTCAATTGGCAGATCACAATGTCCAAACCTCTTTGAACTACTCTCCAACTTTCAAGTCAAACTAACAAAGTATGTCAAATAATACAATGCAATGCTTATATTTGATGAGATATCCTTCCACTCTTTGGTCGTGACCTTTGTCCAGCAGGAGGTCTCCTCATATCATCCTCCATTCCATCATCGTCGAATGCTGCTGCGTTGATACTCTGTTGAAGTTTGAATGTGTCAAAGTTGTACTACAGTGATTGAAGGAGGAGGTGTAAGGACGTGGACATTGAATGAATGAAGTGCAAACATACCATTGATGCTCTCTTGGACATCTTTGAAAAGTTGTTCAATCGCTCCAGGTAGACCATCGTGGCCTTTTGATCATTCTCTCGCTCCTGTGCCAGTTGCTTCTTGGGGTCCACGCCTGGCTCGTCATCCTTTGATTTGTCGCGTGAGTTGGAATTGGCCACACCACCGACTGCTGGCTTCTTGGACTTGTCCTTGGCATGTCCATGACCGTGTCCATGTCCACCTCCACTATGATTAGAGCTGCTACACAATGGACACACCGTGTGCTTGCCAAGACATGTTGAGTGGATTGAATGACGACACTCAAAGATGATGATCAAGTCTGTTGGTGAAGCCTGTACACCAGATTGATTGGGGAACTCCTTCAGTGGTCGATTACACATCAAACATCTGGCAGAGTCTGGTGAGTAGGCCTTTGATCGCTTCTGAATGTACTGTGCGGTCGTTGTAAACATATCCCTCTGGATCAGTGCATTTGCTGTGTTTAGTATACTCGTCTCAAAGGTACATGTATCCAACATTCCGGCTACAAAATAGTTGTTAGTTAGTATGTGGACATCAAGTCGCGAGCGAGCGAGTACATACTGATAATTGATTTGAAGTCGCCAAACTCATCGGTACCATGGTCATTGACGATCTTTGTGAGAATGAGTGGCAGTGCTACGTAACCCATCATGCTGTTCAATATGTGATGCACCAACTTGTTCAAGAAGGTCGTGCATTTGGTGTAGACAGCACTCTTTGGTTGTTTGTTGAGATTGCCATTCTCAAGTGAATCACTACTATTCGATGATGATTGTGGTGGTGATGTAGATGTTGTAGATGTCGTTGAAGTCGTTGGTACTGATGAACCACTTAGACTTAGTGATGCCCTTGATGATAGTGCCTCCTTGGAAGTGAGTGATTGTTTCGTTCGCTTGACAAATGTTACAATGGTGTCTAGTAACTTGAACCATATCATCTGATTCTCCGTGCTTTGTAACTTTGCAGAGTTCCTCTGGCACAGCGAGATTGCACTGTTCAGTATATCCATCACCTCCTTCTCTTGTGGCGCTGGCTTGTCTGCTGTGGGGTCAGTGTTAGGACATTGATTGATTAAAGTGAAGGGAGAGAGATGATTCTTACCATTCTTGATATTCTTTACATTGGCAAATACTGTAGAGAAGTGTTTCAAAAGGTCTTCAATCCTTGTCTTGAGTGTGATCAGTATCATCTCAAGTGCCTTATTGACATCGCCAGTTCGTTCCAAGAGATATGTTGCACCCTCAAAGTTATTATATTGTTGACAAATCTATGTTTGATTGATTGATTGAGTTGGTATGAGTGAGTGGACGAGTGATGGTCGACCACTGGGAATCTTACCTTTAGACACGAGTCAAGTGGATAGTCATCATGTGTGGAGAGATACTTGTACACGGTCTGAGGTGAGTACATGCACATCAACTTGATGTACAACTCGTAGGTCTCATTGGATATGTTGATACCAGTCTTTTGTGTAAAGGTACCACGTGATACACTGTCATTGCCAAGTAAGCCAACCAAGTAGGTGTACTGCAGCTTGGGGAATGATCCCAGCTCCTTGAGTATCTTCTCATGGTCCGATGCAAAGTGATCCATAATCAATTGTGCCGTCTGAGTGCTGTCAATGATGATGAGCTGTGCCAACAACGAGATGGTGGTCGACTTGATACTCTGTCTCGCCTCATCGCTCAACTCGGTCATTGACAACAGATCCCTGATGTAATCGAATGATTGTGACTTGGTCTCTGGGTCCTTGATCTGGCACGAGATCATCTTGTTGTAGTTGGCCTGCAGGCCGTACAGATACTGGCTCACGCGATAGAACTCGTGGCCCTCGCACAGCACCAGCAGTCGCTCGTAGTCAAAGTCCTTGGTGTCGGGGAACTCCTGCAGGATGGTGAGGAGCGCCGACTGGCGGTCGACGCTCTCAAACATGGGCGTCTGGGTGACGGGCGCCGCCGCTAGCAGGCCCATCATCCTATTGAGTAGCTGTTGCTCGATCTTGGTGAACAGCTTGCGTTTGATGCATGCCGCAACCAGGTAGTACATCTGGCCCTGTACCTGCAGGCTGAAGGGCCAACGATCATTGTCCTTGGCGTTGTAGGGCTCCTGGGAGCGATCGATAACAATCAACAGTAGCACCGAGAGCATGTTGAAGTGGTTGAGGTTGGAGCGATTGACGTTGAAGGGGATGGGTGGGATCAGCAGGGGTGTGGCGCGATTGTGTGTGGCCAGATACTCGTCGTCAAACGATGACGAGAGGATCTTGAACATCTCGGTCGAGTCAAACTTGAGCAGATGGTACAGGCGAGGATAGAGTGTCGGGTCCTCGGGGAAGATGTTGCGAAGGAATAGATACTCGTACAACTCGAGCTTGAGAGTTGGAACCCGGCTCGCTGGGATCATGCCGCGAGGGAATGATCGACCCGTCAACGAGTACTGTAGATAGAGCAGCAGGCGATAGGCTACCTCTTTGGATCTATCGTCCAGGTCGATGTTTTCCTGATGTGGCTTGATGACGACCTCCATCATATCCTCCAAGGGCGTGATATAGTCGTCCAGGCCTTTGTTGTAGAGATAGATCAGCGCGCTGTACAGGCCGTGCTTGCGACAGAGAATGACGGTTTGGTGAAAGTCCAGACTGGCAATGTCCAGGTGAAGCAGACACTGCTCGGCCCGCGACAGGACCTTGCGCTCCTGGTAGTGTGACATGAGGTACTGCATCACCTCGGGGTTGAGATGGGTGAGTCGGTCGCGCAAGATGTACGGCTCGAGCAGCTCGAGTATCGTACCAACCATGCCCGCTTCGACATAGTAGTTGAATACCTCGCCAAACAAGAAGTCAGTGCGCTTGATGTCCACACAGAACTCAATGGCGATTAATGCCAGCTGCTGGTAGACGTTGAGACGCTGCACGGTGGGATCCATGAACTTGGAGTCGACAAACATCGACTTTGGTATCAGCGTGTGGTCCTTGATCATGTCGGGTTCTGATGAGAACACCAGACTGCAGAGCTGTGAGAGAATCTCGATTGTCTTGTCGCCAGTGATCACCTTTGAGTCGACAGTGTTGGACGATAGACCAGTCGTCGCCTTGGCCTTGCCCTCGTAAAAGTCCAGCGAGAGGCAAAGCGCTTCGAACCATTGATGGTGGCTGACCAGGATGGAGAGACGCTCGAGCCATGTGAGAATGTGCGCACTAAACAGGCCTGCATTGCCCAGCAGGTAGACATGTGCCTTGAATGTACGGATGGTGTTGTGGAAGGAGTAGACGTTCTGGAGCTTGGAATGATGAATGAGTTGCATTGACTTGATGTTGACGCTCTCCACCTCTTCGAGTGCGAACGGATCAAACACTCGCAGCTCGTCCTTGATATTGTGCAAGAGGATGGTCTGCGAGTCGAGCCACTCTAATCCGCAGATGTCATTGTCTGTCTGGTACTCGGCCACGATGATGAACTCGGGATTCAAGAACTTGACATCCATTGGCTGTGTGACGATTTGTAGAAGCTGTATGTTCTTGCCCCAGCCAATGGCGAGGATGGGCTCCAGGGGCTTGGTGTGTCCGAGACTCTTTTGGAAGGCGACCCTTCGCCACGACAGATAGGGCAGCACGCCCGTCGACTTGATGTACTGTGGCTTGGTGATCTTGTTGTTGAGAACACCAATGCCCTCCTGTGACGCCGTGATGATGAGAATCTTGCGCTTGGTGGCCAGAGCCACGATGAATGAGCGATCGGATGGATGTGGATAGTTGCCCGGCAAGAGCAGGGCGATCGAGAGCACCGGTCCCAGATTGCCATTCAGCAGCAGCTGTTGCTCGATGTTGTACGACATGAGTCCACGGGTGACTGTGAGGATGTTGGTGACGCCGTGCGCATCCGACGAGATGAATCGATGACCGTCAGAGAAGAAGCGCAGATGTAGTATGGGATGTTTGTGCATGTTGCTATCGAGCAGTTTGAGTGGCTTGCCGCTGACCACGTCCCAGAGGAACACCTGTCCATTCTGATGTCCACTGACCATCCAATCCTCGTTGACCTTGCAGCTGGGTAGATCGATTGCCGTCACGGAACCGCTGTCCGCACATATCGCACCACCAATGATACTTAGCAGTGCCTGATCAAAGTTGAACACCAACACATATCCATGTGATGTACCTATACATATATACTTTGCAATCTATTTGAATGAATGAATGTCAGTCTCATGAGTTGGGCACGCGTGCATGACCTGGACACATACCGTGAAGCATGTGGGATAACCCATCTCCTTCCTGATGTCGGGCGATGACAGCTGTTCGGATATCTTGGTGTAGTATTGAGGCTCGACGACAATGCCATTGTAGGGCTTGCGTGCGTTCTTGGAGTGCCACAGCATGGGCAGTGGTGTGTCCACTGAGGACAACTGCTTCTCACGCTCCTCGGCAATGGTGAGCGGTGAACCGATTGGCAACTCTGAGCTAAATGCTAGATCGCTGGTGGAAGTGCTACCGACGACCATTCCAGTCTCGGGCACAGCACTGTCAAAGCTTGGGAGTCCCAGATCGCTGTCATCAATATTGTCCGTGTCATTGAGGATGTCCTCCAAGTCCAAATCATTGTCGTCCAAGTCCACATCATCATCGTCCTCATTCAATATCTTCTTGAGTAACTCTTGATCGACAGCTGATGTATTGGGTCGTTCGCTAAGTTCATTGAATGCGCCTCTCTGTAACATACACGTACGTGTTAGTTGGGATCGATAGATTGACTGGTTGATGTAAATGAATGAGAGACCATACGTTCAAACTGGATGTGGATGCAGAACTCTTCATTGGTGAGCTGGGGACGCTGTTGCTATGACTACTACTATTGCTACTGTTACTGCTGTTACTGTTGTTGTGGCCACTGACACTGCCACCACCGCTGTTGTAGTTATTGTTGTGGTTGTAGTTGTGCACGGATGATGAGGGTGTTGATACAAGCTGACTGACATCACTGCCAATGCTACTTGACGAGTGATGCAGTTGAGATCTCTGCAGCTGTTGCAAACCAAACAACTTGTTCTTCTCGAGTTGATGCTTGTGCTGAGGGTCGTACACTCTGACCGTTGGAGGTGGCGGTGCACTCAGTATTGAAACCATATCGATACCTCCACCTCCTCCATTACTAGTGTGACCATTGTGATTGTTGTTGTGACCATTATGTGTTGTTGATGATGTTCTATTTACACTTTTCTTTCCTTTCGTCGTTGTATTAGATGTTGTTGTAGTTGTCGTCGTCGTTGAAGTTGATGATGGTTCATAATCATCATTTCTAGAGTGTTTCATTGTTGTTGTTGTTGTTGTTGCTATTGCATGTGATGATGATTATGTATTGTTATATATAATATAATAAGATATCTTATTCTTTGTTTGATTTGAGGAATGAGTGAGTAGCAGAGAATGAAGAAGTTGCCAAAATGAATGAACAACACACAATTCAACTAGATTCTTGATTTTTGAAGTTCTCGATTCCAAGCACATCACTTGGTCTAGACTTCTTGAAAATTGGTACTGATTGTTTATCATTAATTTAATTGGGGATGGAGGCGTATCCTGGTAACTCGGACATTAGTGCAATACCGAGCGGGTACTTGATCTATTATTGAAGGTGAGCAAGCTCTACAACTTCAATAGTGATCCCTCTACAATAAATACATAATTTCTTAAGTCCACAAATATGTTGGGACAGAAAGATATTAAGCTTTCTAGAACAGATACTACACTTGATCAAAGCAATTATGCTTTGAGAAGTGAAGAAAAATAATCCTATAATTGACCCTTTAAATAATTTTCATATTCCAACTATGTTTGATTGTCAACATTTTCATCAATTAAACTTGAGATTCATTGTCAATGAGTTTGACAAATATTTGTTTGATTGATTATTGAATAATTATACAATATATTCGGGAATTATGTATTTACCATAATATGAATGATTCGGAATAATAAAGATAATGATTGATTGGGTGAGAGAAGAAGGTATACTTACCAATTGTAGGGACAGTAGTGATCATACAGGCTATTGTCTCACACAACTATAAGTTCCAATCTTGCACTTCCCTTTGGAACTTATTGTGGCGACCAGATCATTAGACTGGTCGGACTTTTAATTTGTGACAGTGGTGATGTGTGCGTAAATCGCAACATCACCTCCAAACCTTAATCAAAATAAAGATAAACATAATAATATACAAAGTCAATCAGAGTTTCGTCCTTCTAACTAACGTTATAGATTCTTTGATTGGGTCTTCGTTGGTACCATAGGTCCAAGAGAACAAGGGAAGTTTTAGATCACATTACCCCCCAATTTTGATTGTCCAACCAAACTTACTCACAAGATCAAAACTTTTTGTGTGTGATGCAATGCAAAGAAGACCAACCGACAAGTTAGAAATAAATAAATAACTAAAAACTATTAGATTAACACTTTTTGATCATAATAATGATGACTATGATTACATCATATTGTGGAATGTTTGACCTCCAGATGGAGATTGGCATTCTCAAACAGTCGGGGTCGGTTGATGTCTTTGGAAGCACCTAAGATGGGCGACAATGGTACACACCTTGAGATTGATATTGTGATCCTTATATCAATAGATAGATAATATATTAATTATATGTATTAAATTATATTATATATCATTAAATATTAATTAAAAATGATAACAAATAACGAAAGATCAATACCACATTCATATATATCTATGTCATCTGATGATGCATATTCATCAAGTGATACAACATCATCATCGTCATCATCGACTTCGCGTTCTATTTTGAGTCAGAGCACAGGTCCCGGATGTGGTGTGTACAATGTCAACTCATCTCCCACAGCCAACGCGCCTATTGGTATTGGCATGGTCAGCCCAAGAACCAGCAGCTTCCTACTAAAGTCAAACAATGCAATTGGAGGCATATCATCAGACCTAAGTCGCCTGTCAATGTACACCCGCGAAGCAGATTCGGGCTTTGGCTCTATGCTCTCTTGCGACGACGAGACGGAGCGCGAGATCAACACTGCCGAACAACTATTCAAACAACTGCCCGAACTAAGCTACAGCGTCACCAAGATCAATCAATGGGGCAAGCATCAGAAGCGCGTGCTGCGACTCACCAGTCGCGGTATTGCCAACGTTCGTGGAGAATACACGTCAAGCCTCTACCCTTACGCTGATGTGCGTGCGATATACTTGCGCGACTCTGAGGTGTTTGTGTTGGAGTATAATGGCGCAGCCCACAACTATGTCTACAAGTCAACGATTGGATACCAGATCGTTCAAGAGATCACCAGTCGTCTAAAGCTACGCCGCATCACCGAGAAGAAGAAGACGGGCTTTGACATCGCGATGAACTATCAACACAAGCTGTTGTCTATGCAGCCACCTGGCACCAAGCATGCCGCCACCCCAGCAATATCTCTACCCGTCCCCTACTCTGGCGCCAAGCATCACCAACAACAACAAGAGTACGCCAGTGGTGGAAGTAGTAGCTTCTTCTCAATGTCACCGATGAGTTCAATGTCCAGATCATTCTCATTCGATGATACAGAGTCGTCTTCAATCTCTTCGGCCTCGTTCTCATCATCACCGCCACCAAATGTACATCTAGCCGAGTCTTACGATGATGTTCGCATCCCACCAGGCATGCACCATCATCAACAGAGCAAGCGAGCAATGAAGCTGTCACAGATCTTGGGTACGACCGAAGAGCAGAGAATGCACTCAGAGATCGACCGATTGATTCTTGGTCCTGGCTCTGTGGAGCGTCGCACCATCCAGCACTTTATTAGCAACTTCCCATATATGTTGAAGCAACAGCCTCAAACCGTTGCCATCCAGGTGAGACAGTTCATCGATAACACAAAGATGAACATACTCACTGAGAAGCAAGAGCATCTAAGACGACTGTTGGTGGACTCGGGCGAGGCTACACATGAGGATGACGCAAACTTGTCTGCAATCATCGAGAGGAACTTGGAAAAGACCATTATTTTAAGACTGTACAGGCCTCTGCACCAGGCTATCGCGGCACAAGTGTCCAAGGACGAGACACTGCTGAGGCAACACATTGAGAAGTTGAAAGGCAAGCCTCAAGAGTTCTACGGTATCAAGAAGGAGTTCATCACACAGAGTAATTGGAAGGCTGCCATCCTTGAACTCGGAGGATTAGACCGATGTGTAGACATCCCTCAACACAAGCTAGACACGATCCTAGCATCGGCACGTGCCATCTACAACTGTGTCAACTACGAGCAACGAATCAAGAACAAGACATCCGATGATATATTCCTTAGCGCTGATGACTTCCTTCCCGTAAGCTATCGTTATGCCATCCACCATTCAATCAATCAATCAATCATTCATCATACTAACTGATCGATCAAACATAGATATATATATATGTAGTTGTTAACTCTGGAGTTAATGAGTTGGAGTTTATCAATCAGTACTTGTGGCAATTGTGCGATCCGGACAAGATGGGAGGCGAGGGCGGATACTACTTGACAGTGTTCAGCTCCACTCTCAGTCTGTTGAGATCACTCAAGATGGATAACTTTGAAACGGCAACGATAATAGATGATCTTATTCAATTCAGATCAAGTCCATCGAGCAAGTCTACAACAAATCCAGAGATGATCACTTCTGATGACGAGATGGATGGTCCTCCAACTTCACCATTATTATTGCCAACATCATTATCATCATCGCCACCCAACAGTTCCTTGGCTTGGAGTAGTGCAGCGGTGCCAAGACATCCACATGCCCTATCAGCCAGAGGTAGGGAGAGGTCAATAAGTTTGAGTCTCAATCGTATTGGTCTACCTCAAACTACTACATCAATGCTTGAATCACTCAATGAGCTGTACGAATAAGATGCAGTGCTGTTCATTGTTCCCAATACATTGTGATCACGATGACCACCATCCCTTTACCAATAAACTTGTTGTACTTTAACACTTATGAGGAGGATTGAGATTACATTTGGACAAGACCATGATAAAATTTCCTTTTAAGGTAAACACATGGATCTGGACATCGAATAATTATCAACTTTGTTTTGTGTAACAACCACGCACTCAAACAGATAATAACACACACACTTATTTATACTAACACACTCACCCTATGATCATTGGAGGTATGAATGAGTAGATGTGGGTGGGAGATGTCTTTAGAACAATGATGTGTCTGCCGAATCACCTTAGACCACACAATCTTAACATAATACGATCATCTGTGTGTTTAGTCATAGGTCAACACCTCTAAGTTATCATTCACTCAAACTACTTATTACTCATTATCCCAATCAATAATAATAATAAGTTAGACTAATAAATAATATTAATAATAATGGTAGGAATTAAGACTACGTTTAGAAATATATTACAACCTAAACAATTAAAGACAAAGAATGGTGGTGGAAGAGAGAAATCATCATTATTAAATACAAGTGAACATTGGTTTAAAGATATTATGTTCCATGGACAAAGATGTCTAGTTCGTTTACAACCAGAGGCTTTAGAGATTTATGATGATAGAACAAAGAACTTGATCAAAGAGTTTAGACTTGGAAATATAAAGACTTTTGGATGTAGAGAGAATGACACTGTTTGGGAGATGCAAGTACGAGAGGTTAACTCCCAAGGAATGCAAACATTCCAAAACTACCGACTATTCAATGACAACACCTACGAACTTAATAAGGTCGTAAGGAGGTATCTACTCAGTCTTCATAATGTATGTTAAGATAAGTTATGTCCTTTAATGGTAAAAGGATAAAAATTGTTAACTAATCATTATCCCTCGAAATAGGAAAAGATGGAGGAGCAAGCAATCCAAGATCAATTATATAACTCACCATCAATATGATTGAGCAAAAAATATTAATGATTGATTGTAATTATATAAAATTTATATTTTAATTTATATATTAAAAAAATGAAGGATCAACAGAACAAGTACTTCTTCTTCTTGATGACTTCAGTATTGTCATGCTCATCGGATGCAGTCTGCTCCAGAGCGAACTTAAGGAACACCTTTTCCAAAGATGTTTGTGACACGGAGAAGTCCAACACACCCAATGCTTGCTTGTTCGACTCGAACTCCCTAAAGAGACGAGCCAAAGACAGCTTCTCAGTTGGTATATCATAAGTGATGACTCCACCCAACTTCTCTACTAGTACTGCGTCTGGGAATTTGGTGCGGACAAAGCTGGAAGGAGAATGAGTCAGTCAATTTGTTATGTATGATTGATCATTCCTTGTGTATACATACTTTTGAATCTCAGTCTTGTTGGATGATAGGTCGACTGGCTGGATGTCCAGGGAGTAGCCAGAGCCATACTTGTGCTTAAGGTGCATTGGTGTGCCGAGGCATTTGAGCTTACCATCGCTCATGATGGCAATGCGGTCGCAAAGGAAGTCGGCTTCGTCCATTGAGTGTGTGGTGAGGATGATGGCCTTGCCCGTCTTGAGCTCGTTGATCAGACCCCAGAGATGTCTACGACTGGCTGGATCCAATCCTGAGGAGGCCTCGTCCATGAATACAACTCTAGGCGATCCAATCAAACTGCATGCCACGCTCAGCTTACGCTTCGTGCCTCCACTCAGCTCCTTTGACTTCTTGTGGCGATGCTCCTCAATCTCGAACTTTTGGATAAAGTAGTCGATCTGAGACTGGATGTCGGCCTTGGGCAGACACTTGATCCAACTGAAGAACTTCAGGTGCTCAGAGATGGTCAAGTTGTCAAATAGGATGTCAAACTGTGGACATGAGCCCACAGACTGGAAGGCCAGCTCCTTGGCAGTGTTGACGTTGTGTCCATCGATCGATCCACTGCCTGCATCTGGGTTGAGCACTCCAGTCATAATGTTGAGTAGGGTGGTCTTACCGGCACCGTTGTGACCGAGCAGACCGAAGCACTCTCCATTCTCCACGCCAAACCATACTCCGTCAACGGCGTACTTGATGCGGCGCTTGTGAACGCCACTCTTGTCGTCCGGCATCTCCTCAAAGAACTGCTTGAATATGCCGTCCACTGTGATAATACGGTTGTGATCGCCAGAAGTGATCAAGTTCCTCTCAGCAACGACATCAGCATCACCAGTCTTTTGAGATCTCTGCTCAATGTCCTTGATGGCATGTCCAGTTGGTCTGTTGATGATAAGCTCAGCAATGCTATGGTTGGATGGTTGATGTTAGTAATGAGAGTGATTGGGTGTGACATGAACACACATACTAAATGAGGAATAGACAGAGCACTCCAGAGATACACTGCATCATGATTGTGAGGCCAACGTTTCCTTGGTGTCTAACAATCTGTGAGAGTCCATTGTAAAGTGAATATGATGGCAAGAGTGAGAGAGCCAGTTGAACACCAGATGGTGCTTGTCCACCTGGTGCAGCGAATGTAATGATCACTGATGGAATCAATGAGAACAATGATGTCAATGGGTATAGCCATTCTTTGTTTGATTGATTGAGTATAAGTGTTGGGATTGTTCCAGTGTTAGTCAATCAATCAATCAACAAAAGAGTGAATGAATAAGAGATAATACATACTGTTGGCAGTCTCCTCTTTGTCGAAAGCAAACTGGAGAAGGTATCCAAATGGGATGGCTGAGAAACCAAAGCAAACAAAGAGGAAGAATGATCCTGCATTGTTATAGAAACCATCGATTCTTGCAATGGCCAATGCCATCCAACCGAGGATAGCGGGGATGAGGAAACAAAGAAGATCGGCCAAAAGGTAGCCAGACCAATATACCTTGCGTTGCAGTGAGTTTAGGAACAGATGATTCTTGATACCCTTCTCGCGATCAATCACGACCAAAATGGCAAAGTAAGGCACGAGGAACACGTATCCATACTGAATGAGGATTGGACCAATGTACTCAAACAACTTGAAAGTGACGCCAGAGTCTAATGTGCTTTGTCTCTCCTCAATGAACAAGTCGTGGCCAGTGAGATACTTGTCTGTTTTGTGGTGTACATGGTTAGTCACGTGACCAGCCGGTGGCAGGATGGCAAGAGTAGAGCACTACTTACACAAACTAATGTAGTAGGACTGAGTAAGTGATGGGATTGTGGAGGAATAGTTGAAATAGATGTTGGTGAACAATGATTGATTGTTGAAGTTGGCAAAGTCATAGCCACCAAGTTGATACATGAGTGAGTCGTTGAGAATGGCAGCATTCATATCAGAGATATTTGGAAACATCTCATATTGGAACTCCAAAGTTGATTGCATTACATTGAGCAATGGTGTCTCTGTTCCATTCACACTTGGATTGATTGTCAATGGCATCTTGGCGAATGGTACAACCATATTATCAGACAATGAAGGATTGATATTGATCAAGAAATTGAATATCAATGCCAAGAATATTGTAACAGCCTATAATTGAGTGATTGATTGAGTGAGAGAATGAGTATGATTGATTGAGTGATCACGATGGTTGATGTGTATACATACCGGGAACATGAATCCCATGACGATGAACTTAACATCCCTACTCTAATAAGAGTCGGTAACAAAGGCGGGTTAGTTAGATGATCATGTAGACCATTCACAATCATTCAATCAATCAATCAATAATATGACTTACAGATTGCAAGAACTTTAACCATAGCACAGCGGTGAATTGTGTTAACGGGTTGATTTGTCCCGCACCTTTTAATGCCATTTTATTAAAATATTAATAATAAATGTAATAATATAAGAGTTATATATAACTATGTACAAATAAGAAGTGATCTTTGTGAATGTCTTGTTAACATGCGATTTGAATCCTATTTGTGGACTCTGAACCCCACTTTCGCCTACCCCCACAATCGAAAGAGTGATATTTTCGTGTGAAAGCACCTAAACAGAACATTGTTTGTGCCAGAGATTCGTTGGGTCTGGTGAGTGAGTGGGAATGTGTGTGTGTGTGTGAATGAGCCTGGTTTTGATCACTTGGTATCCCGGGACTCAGGATTGAATGAGTGATCAGTAACTTTCAGACAGAGTGACCAGTCTAAATGATGTTGAAAAAACACTTTAGACACACTGGTTACATGATTAGAGTTATTAGAGTGAGCCTTTTGGTCGCTTTGGATGATGAGATTGAGTGAGTACTTTGGTCTGTGGTCAATGGTCCTGGCATCAATCATATGTTTGAGTGAGTGATGATATGGTCTGAACAACTGGAACTCCGAGCGACAAGGAAACATCTATTGACCATGTCCAATCCAACCCCCCATCTATTAATGTACATCTCTTCGCTTGTTCCTTGGATTGCAAGCGAAGTGTGATTGAGTGTGGGATGACTCTGGACCAGAGATCAGTCGGACAATTGGTTGAGTGATTGAGTGATTGATTGATTGAATGCATGCTGGAGCTGGATGGAACATGATTGATATATATTCTATGTTGTTGTTATAAAGGGCTTCTTTTGAGGGGTGAGGCGACTGTGGCGTTTATTTCTTTTGTTGCTTGTTTCTGGGCGGAGTCAGTGGTCTGCTGCTGCTGTCAGCAATACTCTTCTTCTTATCGGCTGGTTTCAATATCTGGAAGGAGCACATCAACGTCTCGTCGACTCCCATCATCGCACCGGCGTTATCAAACTCTCCAAAGTAGTTTGGTGCTGAAAATAAAGTTACAAGTTGTCGTTTCGCAAAGAACTCATAGCCATCCTCCACGACCTATTGATAGAGATAGAGAGTTAGATTGATTGATTGATTGAGTGATTGAACCAACTTCCTCGATACATACTTGATGAGCTCTACATATTAGATCTAGGTCATGCTTCTTTAAAAATGATTCTACAACGTCTGGACCGAATATATATGATACTCCACGGTCATTGTCCTCCCAACCTTGGATGGACTTCTCGGGGTCGGCCCAGAGGAGGTCGCAGAGCAGTCCGTTGTCGGGCACGACGGTGGGACGCTGGATGCGACGGATCTGGTCCATGGACTTGAGGTCGGGCGACAGACCACCGTGCATGCAGAGGATCTTCTCGTCGATGATGGCGGCCACCGGCAGACAGTTGAAGCAGTCGGTGAAGGCCTTCCAGAGCTTGGTGTTGTAGCGACGCTTGCACTCGTCGTAGAAGCCGTAGATGCGGTTGATCGAGGCGCACTCGTGGTTGCCACGCAGGATGAAGAAGTTCTCGGGGTACTTGATCTTGTAGGCCAGCAGCAGACAGATGGTCTCCAGCGACTGCTTGCCACGGTCGACATAATCGCCCAGGAACAGGTAGTTGGACTGGGGTGGCAGGCCACCGTATTCAAACAGACGCAGCAGGTCGTAGTACTGTCCGTGGATGTCGCCACAGATCTTGATGGGTGCCTCTAGCTCCAGCAAGATTGGCTGGTTGTTGAATATCTCTGTCGCCTGCACTGTCAGATACCTGATCTCCTCCTCACGCAGATCCACTAGCTTGCCAGGCTTTGAAGTTCTAGGCTCCAATAGTCTCTCTATTATAGAATCCAAGTCAATCTCCATTTCTGTGTGTATATATATATATTTATGTGTATGTGTTGTTGTTGTGTATGATTGATATAACTATCTATCTATCTATCTCAATCACTATATCTATCTGTTTGATGATCTTTCTTGAATGAATGAACTGATCTGTTTTGTTAGCAACTTGATTGATTGATTTAACTACTGCCGACGACTATGACTACAACTACAACTACAACTTCAAGACTACTTGTACAACATATAATAAATAAAACAAAGAGAGATAGACTAACTAAAGGTGGTGATCACAACTCTAAGTTGAAGGTGACAGTCACAGACAACATTGTTGTTGGAGTGACTGTGATCACTCACAATCAATCAATCAATCATTAAATTGATTACAACTGCTGATGTTGTACATACAACAACAACTCCTCGCGTGATGTCAACAACACTCACACACTCACTCACATGAGTTGAGTTGAGTTGAGGTGAAGTGTGCGACACACAAACACACAAATAAAGTTATCTCTCTCTCTCTCACTCCAAGTATAAATAGACACAGGGTAGAGACATGCCGACCTAACTAAACATCACTGATGTCTTGAATAGAGAGGTACTTTGTTTGTTTCATCAATCATGATTGTTATCGAGGTGAGTGATTGTGTGTGAGTGTAGTTGACATAAAGAAGATGTGATTGATCTGATCAGATGCTATTGATTGATGTAAGACAATCCACTAATGAAGATCTTAGATATCTGTTGTTGTTGTTGTTGTTGTGTGTTTGTTCGTTCCTGATGCTGTGTGTCGCAATAAACTACATGTCATGTATCAAACATGTGATTGATATAAAGAAAGAAGAAGAATTGTGATAGTTTACCTATTATGATGTTGTTGATGAAGATAATGATTATGTCTCGTAAATAATATATATATTATAGAGTTATTTATATTCTACAGATACACACACTAAACAAACAAACAAATAATAATATTATTTTTATAATTATAACAATAACCGTCCTATCTTTGAGTGACGCGTTGGCAAAGAACCTGCTGTTTGAGAATTGTTCATGGGGGGAAGAGAGATGGAGAAAAAAGAGGGGTTTGGTGATTAATGAAAAAATTAAAAATGGAGGGAAAAGTTGATTGATTTGAGGGCCTTAACGTCTCTAACCAACCGTTGGACCTGCCTGGTGATGGGCTGGTCCAAGGTCCACATTCATCCATTGTTTGTTGTTGATGTAATAATAAAAGGGTTGTAGCTTTGCACAGTTTATTTTGGATATGGATGGGGTATGAATGCTTCATTCAGGATTATCGAATGGACGCCTGTCTGGTGAAGTAATGCGTAAAAGTCGTGTGATGGAGGATGATTGATTGATTGAATGATTGAATGAATGAATGATTGAACTTAATCCAGTCCGAATGGATTGTTGCCTCCGCCAAGTCCTCCCAGACCAAGTTTGCTCAGATCGCCCATTCCTTTCATGTTCTTGACAGAGTTGAGCATGTTTTGCAGACCGCCCATACCCATCTGCTTCATCATCTGAGGTGGAACCATTCCCGCCAGCTGTTGCATGTTCTGTTGCATGTTGCGCTGGTTTGGCATGCCACCATTCGACGCCATCTTCATCATGTTCTTCATTCCTGCATTCTTAAACATCTTCTCAAACACCTTCTTCTGCTCCACCAGCTCGGCCACCTCGCGTGGATGTCTTCCCGAGCCTCTGGCAATTCTTAATATTCTAGTTGGTGTCATTGGATGCTTTCCATCCAGTTCTGGATTGAAGTGAAGTGGAGTGATTGAGTGAGTGGCTGACCTGATTGAATGAATATGATTGGTTGAATGACTTACCTCCATCAGTCATACTGTCCAATATATTAATAAATGCCTTAAACTTCATGTTTCCATCATTGCCTTGTAGCATTGGCATGTTGTTCATTCCAGGGAACATCTGTACGACTGAGTATCAAGTGGACTTGGTAAGTACATTGAAGGTGGGACAATGAATGAATGAAGGTGGACAACGAACATACATTTGTCAAGTGGACCAAGGTTCATAATCTGTTGGAACTGTTGTCTCATGTTTCTAAAGGTGAAGTTACCGGCGGCGATCTCCTCGAATGCTTTGGTATCCTTTGGTACAACATCGGCAATCAAATTCATGACACCAGTCATATCACCCATGCCCAACAGCTTGCTGACGAACGACTGAGCATTGAATAGATCCAAGTCTGGAATATGCTCACCTGTACCAATGAATATAATTGGACTCTTTGTAGCTGCCACGCTGTTTGATTGATTGATCGATGATTGAATGAGTGAGTTAACATGATTGATTGATAGAATGATCGATGTCAACATACGCAGAGATAGCACCACCACCCTTTGAATGACCATCCATCTTGGTGATGATGACTGAACCGACTTTTACAGAGTTCTTGAAGGCTGTGGCTTGGTCGGAAGCAGCTTGACCAATGGAACTGTCCATGACAAAGACTACGTTGTCGGGCTTGACGACGGTCTCGATCTCCTTCATCTCCTTGAAGAGCTCCTCCTCCTGCTTGTGACGACCGGACGTATCGACGATGATGATCTCGGCGCCCTCCTTTCTGAAGATGTCCACACCCTTCTTGGCGACGGCGACGGGGTCGCGCTCCGTGTCACTACCATAGAAGGGGATCTTGGCTTTGGTGGCATTGTGTCGCAGCTGATCGAACGCACCAGCACGGAATGTATCGGCACAGACCATCGCAGTATTATATCCATTTCTCTTGTAGTAATGTGCCAACTTTGTCACTGAAGTTGTTTTACCTGCTCCCTGCAAACCTACAAACATAATAACGTTTGCCTTACCTCTTGTAGGCTTCCAAGGTGCAACGCCTGGATCCAACAACTTGATCAACTCGTCAAATACAACCTATCATTCGTCATCATAAAGTATGTAAGTAGGATGTCCTCATTCAATCAATCATTCAATCAATTGATTGATCATACCTTCTTGATGATTCTTCTCTTGTTTAGACCTGCAGCCATTGAATCCAACTTGATCTGATCTTTGATACTCTTTCTCATTTGGATGACCAACTTCATGTTGACATCTGAACGAATGAGAGCATTTCCAATATCCTTCAACAATAGATCAATAGTCTCATCATTGATGATTGTGGCATTGCTCATATTGGACAATGCCGAGCTAATTTGATTACCCAACTCTGCTAATACCATCTTGTTCTTTCTCTTCTACTACAACTAATAATAATAACTAATACTAATATAAAGATATTGATTGAATGAGATGAATGAATGAATGAAAGTGAGAGATTATCTCAAGTTCAAAAAGAAGAAATTGGGAGTTGGTGGTGAGCGACAGTGTGTGGGATGAGGTGTTCACTAATTGACTTCTCGTGGGAAAGTCAAACAATGTTCAAAATTCACTCACTCTTATTATCTTATTATTATCTCATTTGAATGAATGAATGAATGAATAGTGTATATGTTTACTTCCTTTGAATGATATCAAACTCCATTTCTATAACATCACTGATACCTGCTCTAACCTTTTGACCAGCCTTGAGAGGTCCAACACCAGCTGGTGTACCTGTAAGTATAACATCACCTTCCTCCAATGTCATCACCTGGCTCACAAATTGGATCAACTCGGGAATACTATATTATAGTGTACATGATGTTAGTTCAATCAATCATGTCTGTCAACAACAATAACAACAACAACACTTACCCAAAGATCATCTTGGAGGTAAAGTCCTTTTGTTTGATTGCACCATCGACTGAGAGCCAGAGTTCGATGTTGCCTGGGTTGGCGATCTTGTCTTTGGGGATGAAGTCAGAGATGGGACAGAAGGTATCAAAGCCTTTGGCAATGGTCCAGCATTGTTGCTTCTCTTTGGCCTTGGATTGGAGGTCGCGGGCAGTGAGGTCCAGTGCCAGGGTGTAGCCACCGACGTGATCCATTGCGTTGGCGCTGGTGATGTCTCTGCCTCGCTTGCCAATCACCACTCCCAATTCGACCTCGTGATGAACGTCGTTTGTCTGACGAGGAATCTCGATTGGACTGCCCTGACGCACATAACTAGACATTGGCTTCAAGAAGAAGAATGGCTCGGTTGGTACCTCATTTCCCAACTCCTTTGCATGTGCCACATAGTTTCTTGCCACTGCCACTATCTTTGATCCCTTTTCCCAGAACCTTATCATGTTTGACATCTTATCTATCTATTATTATGTATTTGTGTAAGTTGGGAGTTGAGAGTGATTGATTGACACGATTCAAGTTCAAAAAGTTGATGGAATGAGTAAATTGCAAAAATATCTATTTTGTTAAGTTTTAGAAAAGTAGAGTCACCAGGGCACACAGAAGGGCCACCAACATCATGGATGGAGTGATCTTGAATGATGAGCTGAGTCCAGTGGTGGACGAAAGAGTTGTTGTTGTGGTAGTGCTCGATGGAGTAGTTGTGGAAGTTGTGGTCGAGGGAGAAGTAGTAGTAGCAGTAGTTGATGTTGTGGTTGTTGTGGTCGTAGTTCCACTTGGTGATGTTGTTGTTGTGGTGGTGCTCGATGGAGTAGTTGTACTAGTGGAGGTTGTAGTTGTAGTACCAGGATTGGTAGTAGTGGTCGATGTGGTACCATCGGTTGTGGTGGATATGGTTCCAGATGTTGTGGAGGTAGTGGAGGTAGTTCCATCGGTTGTCGATGTAGTTCCATCTGTTGTTGTCGATGTAGTTCCAGATGTAGTTGGGGTAGATGTAGTGGAGGTAGTTCCATCAGTTGTTGTGGATGTAGTAGTAGTAGTTCCATCGGTGGTGGGGGTGGAGGATGTAGTGGAAGTAGTTCCATCGGTTGTGGTGGACGTAGTGGAAGTTGTTCCATCTGTTGTTGTGGTGGTGGAGGCAGGGGAAGTAGTGGAGGTAGTTCCATCGGTTGTTGTAGAGGTGGTGGAGGCAGTGGAGGTAGTTCCATCTGTTGTTGTGGAGGTGGTGGAGGTAGTGGAAGTAGTTCCAGCGGTTGTGGTGGAGGTAGTGGTAGTTGGGTTGCAGTTGGGATTGATGATGATGGATGGTCTCTGGTATGCAACAAACACTGGATCAAAGACTAGAGTATTGGTGAATGATGGTGCGACAATTGCATAACGAGTGACTGTGGTTCCATCAATGGTTGGAAGTGTTGTGTCTTGGACAACTTGGATCTGGAACAATCGGGTATCGATGTATGCACGATCAGAGATGTGAACCAACATGAATCCAACTGGCGAGTCCAATGTGAATGACACTGGCATGTTGACATTGTCAAATGGTACCAGTGATGTTGAGGCAGTGGAGCAGTTGTAGTTGAATGTTGATGGTGTCTGAGACTCATAGATCACTCTCAACACATTTGCTTGGGAAGTGAACTCCCAACCAGAGATGGCAACAGTGTGCTTGACTCCACCAGCGGGCACTGGGATGGTCTCGCCGGCGTACTCAACATCAGAGGCTGAGTTGAAGAAGTCCGTCTTGACCTGGATTGACACGCCTTGGACTGTGGCGTTATAGGTCGATGGAGCAGACTCAGACCATGAGGCACCAATGATGGTGATGATCGACACCACTTGGTTGGCATTGTTGTCATACTCTTGAATGTAGGCGATCTGGGAGGTGAAGCTGACGAGCGAGGCAACTTGGAATGTGACCTTTGATGGGTCGAGAGATGGCTGTACAATGCTGTCAACAGCCTCGGCACAAGTTGGGCCGGAGAATCCAGTTGGACACACACAGTATCCATCTTGGCAGGTGGCACCGTTGACGCACTGGGAGTCACAGTTGTAACGGCTGTAGAGGAAGACTTTGGCAGTGGCTGAGATCTGGTCGTTGGAGACGACAACTGGAAGAGCCTCAGTGATCATTTGAGCAGAGACAACACCAGATGAGAGTGAACAGACGATGGTTGTGGTTCCGGTGAGCACACCATTGGCACATGGGAGACCGGCGACGGTGACTGTGAATGGAGAAACAATGTGTGTTCCTTGGATGGTGACCTGGCCACCGGTGGGTGGGACTGAGGATGCGTAGCTCACGGTTGGTGGGAGTGAGGAGTAGGTGGACACGGTTGAGGCAACCTTGTTATCAATGGAAACGGAGATGGCACCCTCAAAGATCGACCTGGAGCCAAGTGTGCATGTGAGTGATGATCCATCTTGGGCGGCATACTTGAGTGCACAGTTCATTGGACCGAGGGTGATGGCCATTGTTGTGGCGGTACCGTTGGCCATTTGAGAGTTGAGGTATGATCCACTGATCACGACATCACCTCCATCTGCGTGGATGGCGGCAACATCATTGACGATTGGAGTGACGACAAAGATACCTGAAACTGATTGACCTCCAACTGTGATGCTGATGGACTGGGATTGGTAGACGGCTGGGATCGAGAACACAACGGACGTGTGGGTGGCAGAGGTACATGTCATTCCAGTTGGGGCGGTAACATCATCAGTGGATGCACCAAAGTTATCACCATTCACAGTGATTGTCTGACCATTCTGCTCGATCAATCCACTCATTGAAGGTGGGAGGTAACTGAATGTGTTGATGGTTGATGAATATGCGCCAATCTTGATCGTGACCTCAAAGTTGGTGCCAACACCTGGTGGTGCCTGGACATACTTGGTGGTGGTCAAGGTATCAGCGGTGATAGCGCATGACACTCCATTGATGGTGACGGTCATCGTGGTCTGGGTTGAGTCGGCATTGAATGAGTTCAAGTATGTTCCTGTCAAGGTTACCTGGGAACCAATGGTTTGCGAGGGTGTGACAGAGTCGAGGATTGGGTACAAGGGTGTGAGGTACTTCAATGTGGTGGAGCCAATTGTTATGTACACAAAGTCGGCCAGGGCATGGGCAGGTGCTTGGAATGAGATTGTGGTACTGTCCGAGGAGACTGAGTATGACATGATTTTGGTTGCTCCGTACTTGATGGATGTGGTGACTCCTGCGGCTATCAAGTTGGTGCCAGTGACTGTGATCAAGTTGGTGGCATCAACCACGACAGAGTCGATTGTGGGCTGGCCATAGGCAAACACGGTGGTGTCGGTGGACTTGCTGTCGATGGTCACTCTGAGTGTGGGGGCGCCCGTACCGGATGGGAGGGTACATGTAAAGCGAGCCTGGTTGTTGTCATCAACAATCTTGTTCACATTGGTGCATGGAGTGCTTGGCAACAAGGTCACCGACTTGGTGGTTGGGTCTGTGTTCTGGCGGGCAGTGGTGAGGAAGTATCCGGTGATGGTGATCTCGCCTCCAGTGATTGGTACTGAGCTGACAGTGTTGATGATTGGTGTCAAGTCGAATGGGATGGTGGTGGCTGAGGGCTGGGTGTCGACGACAACGTTGACACCACCATTGAGAGCGTCCTTGGGAATATTGACAACGATTTGGTTGTCGGTGATTGATGTTGGGAAGTTCGAGCCCGAGGTTCCAAAGACCACAGAGACCTTGCTGGCATCAGTTCCAAAGTTGACACCAGTGACGGTGATAGCCTTCAGATTCTGGTTGACAGAAATGATTGATGGTGCTTGGTAGGCAAAGGTAGCTGGGTTGGAGGCCTTTGAGTTGATTGAGACGACGGCAGTATGGCCAACACCAGTGCCAGCAGGTGCCAGACAAGTGACGATGGTGCCAGATGAGCCGGTGAAAGCTGCGCTGGTGCATGCGATGTTGGTGTCGATGGTGACTGATGGCACAAAGGTATTCTTGAAGAAGTCAGTCGATTGCATGAAGATGCCAACGATGGAGATCATGCCTCCAATGGCGGGTGGCTGGCCAACGGTCGACAAGATTGGTGTGAGACCAAGGAACTGCGTGTTGGACGACTGACCACCAACAATGACGTATACATCATCACTCTTGGATGACGTTGGGATTGTGGCAACGATCTGGGTGTATGTGACGGTGAAGGCTGATGCCTGGACGGTCGCTCCATTGATGAAGACACCAATGGAGGTGGCCTGTTGACCAAAGTTGGTTCCAGTCACAGTGATCTGAGCGGTAGTTGTGCTTTGGACAACGTTTGTAATGGATGGTGCGAGGTAGTTGAATGTGCCTGTCGTGGACTTGGGGCCAATTGTGATGGTGATGGCAGTGTTCATTCCAACGCCAGCGGGTGCGGTACAGGTCAGTTGGGTGTTGCCTTGAGTGATGGCTGCACCGGTACATGGCGTGTTGCTGGCACCGACGGTGACGGTTTGCGTGAGTGGGTTGTTGGCCGAGTCGACACTGTTCAAGAACTTTCCGGTGATCACGAGGGCACCTCCGTCCGTGGGGACGGCGTTGGCCGAGACAAAGATTGGTGTAATGGACATAGTAATCGAATTTGATGGGGTACCAGAGACGGTGACCTTCAATGGGCCGTTGGTGGCGGTGGCTGGGAGTGTGGCCGTGATTTTGGTGTCGGTGACAGAGGATGGCGTGATAGTCATTGAGCCGAGTGTGATGACTACGTTGCCTGCGACGGTACCATAGTTTGTTCCTGAGATTGAAATTGTATCGACAGTCTGTCCAACACTGACAACTGTTGGTGTTGGGGCAGCAAAGGTGAAGGCATCAGAGGCCTTTCCATCGATTGTCACAACCAGAGAGTGTGAGCCGGTGAGGGCAGGGGCGGTACATCTGAGCGAGAGGGCGTCAGGGTTGGATGGGCTGGTGCATGGTGTCGAGTCGATCATGATCGAGACAACACAACTTGATGAGTTGGATCTGATGATCGAGAGATAGCTGCCCGAGATCAAAATGCTTGAGGAAGCGCCAGTTGAGACGCCAGACACACCAAGGACGATGGGCTTGATGGTCACGAACACAGAGTTACTAACTTGGGCAGCGACTGTGACGGACAATGGGCCATTGGTGGAGGCGGCAGGGAGAGTTGCTGTGATCTTGGTATCAGTTACAGATGATGGTATGATCGTCAATGTGCCGAAAGAGATGGACGCATAGGCTGAAGCAGTACCATAGTTTGTGCCTGTTATGACGATGGTAGCTCCAGTCTGTTGGACACTGGCAACTGTGGGCAGAGGGGCGCCAAAGGTGAAGCCATCTGAGGCCTTGCCATCGATGGTCACAACGAGTGAGTGTGCGCCGATGAGAGCAGGGGCAGTACACTGGAGCGAGGTGGCATCGGGGTTCGATGGGTTGGTGCATGGTGTCGAGTCGATCATGATCGAGACAACACAGTTGGATGAGTTGGATCTGATGATCGAGAGGAAGCTGCCCGAGATGATAATGTTTGAGGGGGCACCAGTTGCGACACCAGACAGACCATTCACGATTGGCTTGATGGTCATGAACAATACGTTGCTGACTTGGCCACCGACTGTGACTGTCAAAGCGCCGTTGGTGGCAGTGGCTGGGAGTGTGGCTGTGATCTTGAGGTCGGAAACTATAGTTGGAATGATGGTCAATGTGCCGAGTGTGATCACCACGTTGGCGGCAACGGTACCAAAGTTTGTTCCAGTGATGACCATCGTTGGACTGGTCTGCTGGATACTGGCAATAGTTGGCAATGGGGCGGCAATGGTGAATGGATCAGATGCCTTTCCATCGATGGTCAAGACGAGTGTGTGCGATCCGGTGAGGGCTGGGGCGGTACATTTGATCGAGGAGGCGTCTGGGTTTGATGGGCTGGTGCATGGAATCGTGTCGATCAAGATGGACACAACACAGTTTGTTGTGTTTGAGCGGGTGAGCGAGAGGAAGCTTCCAGAGATCACAATGCTCGAGGGGGCACCGGTGGAGACACCAGAGACGCCAGTGACTGCGGGCTTGTATGTCATGTACATAGTGTTACTGGTTTGGCCACCGACTGTGACGGAGATTGGACCGTTCTTGGTTGTGGTCACGATCTTGGCGGTGTAGGTCTGTGGGTCGGACACGGTGGTGAGCGTGGCAGTGCCAGAGACGGTTGGGATGGAAACGATCGTGTCGGTGGGGAGCACTCCAAGGCCTGTTCCTGTGATAACCAAGATGTCTGCGTTGTTGGTTGGTTGAGTGATCACTGGTGCTAGGTAGGTGTAGGAGTACGTGGCAGACTGGCCACCGACAGTCAAAGTGAAGGTCTGAGTGCCGAAACCACCTGGTAAGTCACACTCGAGGGTATAGTGTGCTGTGACAATACGGCAGGTGACAGTGTTGGTAGTGCTGGCGCCGAGAGTGATCTTGGCGGTGATGCTACCAGCCGAAGAACCATAGTTGGTGCCAGTGAGGGTGACCTTACCTGGGATTGAGGTGAGGGCCGGCAAGATCTTGGTGATCGTTGGTGGGTTGTAGGATATCTTGAGATTGGTGAGTGAGTAGGACTCAATGTTGACGGTAACGAGGTTGTTGGTGCCAGTGCCCTCGGGGATCAGGAGGGAGAGTCCGGTCATGCTGGTCTGGTACACGTTGGGGTAGGTGTAGGTCACGCTGTTGAACACGAACGAACGTTGGGTGAACTTGAAACCAACCGATCCTCCTGCGGTAAAGGCGACGGTTCCTCCCACTGTGTCAAGCTTGATGGTAACAGCTGCGGCTTGGGTGGGTTTGAAGCCTCCGAAATAAATAAACTCTCCGAGCAATGCATTGCCGTCAGTGATTGAGTACTGTTTACCAACACCGAGCTCCTGTCCAAAGGCGACCAGGGCTGTGCTTCCGGACATCTTGTCACCGGGACAGTAGACTGCTGCAGGCAAACATGTGCTGATGGGCGAGTAGGCGACGACATCGTCATAGGGACCTCCTGTGGCGAGGTAGGTGATATCGCTAAAGCCAGATGTCAAACCCTCACATAGCTTCTTGGTGCCAATGTTGTAGTTGCTGACGATGGCATTGGACTGGGCCGAGTTGATAACGGCAGCCATGTATGCTACATTATTGTCAATTGCTGGAGATTGATCCATCCAATTATATACATCGTTGATAGTTCCCAAACAATCAACGCAAGCACGGATCACAGTCAATGTGTTGAAGTCATCTAAGAATGTGATAGGTAAGTGAGTGAGTGAGTGATTGATTGATTGATTCAGTGGACTTGCAATGATACTTACAGAAAGGGACGTTGTTGCGATAGGAAGCAACATAATTGTTGGCACCGTAACCGATGGTTATGGGGAGGAGTGAGAGTGTGGATGTTGTGGCGACGGCGAGGTTGCAAGCAACAGTGGTGTAGGACTCAACCACTGTGTATCCAGTACAGGTGGCGCCGGCAATGGTGATGGAGAGGTCAACGGGTGTAGTACCAAAGTTGCCTCCTGTGAGTGTCACAGCTGAGCCAACAGTGTAGCCACGGGCGTACAAGGTGCTGACGTATGGCACTGAGTGTGTTTGAATATGATTAGTATGACATTATATTTGATTGAATGAACGAATGATCGTTAATCAACTTTTTTAACTTTGATGATATTGATCGTAAACATACATTGGTAGTGGACGTATTGCGAATACTTCTTTCCTTTGGTATCATCGAGGGCCATCGTGAATCTCTTGTAACCGGGTGGGACGGTTACCTTGATCGAGGTGGTGCCACGGTTGGTGATGGTGGCAGGCGTCGAGGTTCCTGTGGAGTCGATGATGGTTGCTGTGAGAGTAGCAATATTCCAATTGACACTGGTCACCTCGTCACCCCTGAGATTAGTGATGTCAATGTCAGCTCCATTAGTGGGTGGTGAAGACATTTGAGGATCAGTCGAGCCACTCCACTCAATCAAATAGTATTGACCTGAGGCATAAGGTTTAGTTTGGTAAACTAACTGTCCTCCGACATAGGTCATTGTTAAGTAGAGTCCTGCGGGGGAGGCTGAGATGTCTGGATAATTGGCTGCCCAAGGACAGACGGTATAGCATCGGGGTGTTGGACGGTAGGCAAAGATCTTTCCATTGTTTGATGGACCACTGTTGTATTGGAACCATTGATTTCCCACACTATTAATTCCATTCACAAAGAATGAAAACGACGAGGTGATGGCACCTGTGATGGCTGTCTGGGATGTTAGGAAAGCAAGTTCCTCTGGGGAGTCAATAGAGGCCAAGTATCTTTATGAAGTCGAGAGGGTTGGTCTAGGGTTAGGACGTTGGCCATGAAATTAAGAATATAACTTAGTCTATACATACGGTCGCTTTTTATCAGTTGAGTTACCAATTGAATTGGCAATATAAGTGATAGTAGTATCATAGGTTGTTGGTCCGGTAATTTTTCGCCATTGGTACCAGTGACCTGTGGCAGGGTCTTGGACTTGAGCTTGACCATATGTGCTGACAACACATAAGGTTATTATTATTGCAATAATTTTATAAAAAATCATCTTCTTTAAATAATATTATTACAACAATTAAGAAATAATATGAGAATGATATTGATGTATCAAATTATTATTAGTATTAAAGAAGCTGAATAAGAATTATTATGATATACTTTCGACAATGGGGAGAGTCAGGAGTTGTCCCCTCTTCGGGTACCCTTTGGATGTGGCGATTGGAGGTCCTAAAGGTTATAAAAATGGACGCGATGCTACGAATTGTCAAGACGTGGATTGACTTGTCAATGTGAGATCTGATGGTTTGGGTTGGTAGTACACTTGGTCACGGTCACGGTTGTGGGGACCGTTCTACGATCCAAGTCCGTATGCAACGATTGATTGTTGGCACATCGGCAAACATCAGAACTCAGGTCTGAAATCCTAAAGAATTGTGTTTCGTCTTCAACGTGCAGTTTGGGTCTCAAAAATCTGATTCTTCGTTGTTTTTGGAACCGATCGCGAGATACTCGATCGGAGGAAGAATCCCAAATTACGCGCCTCCGATACCCCGATTGGATTTTAATTAATTGGTGTAGACCAGTCAATGAAATCGATCGAGTCTATTAACTATTATAATTTTTTTGTGGATTGAATTAATTTTAATGATTATTATTATAGGCTTGAGCGAGTGGGTTTAGAAAAGAAGAGCAACGAAGCCCAAGAGGACTACCAACATCATGGATGGAGTGATCTTGATGCATTGAGTCCAGTGGTGGTGGACAGAGTTGTTGTTGATGATGATGATGATGTGGTCGTAGTGCCGCTTTGTGTGGTGCTGGTGGTAGAAGGAGCAGCTGTTGTTGTGGTGCCTGGGGTGGTAGTAGTACCAGACTCGGTGGTAGTGGATGTGGTGGAGGCAGGGGAAGTAGTGGAAGTAGTTCCATCGGTTGTAGAGATAGTGCCAGTGGTAGTGGCTAAGTTGGTGGTGGTCGTGGATGTAGTTCCAGTGGTGCCTGGGGTGGTAGTAGTGCCGGCCTGGGTGGTAGTGGATGTGGTGGAAGCAGGGGAAGTAGTGGAGGTAGTGGAGGTAGTTCCATCAGTTGTAGAGATAGTGCCAGTGGTAGTGGCACCATCGGTGGTGGTGGTAGTACTACCAGACTCGGTGGTAATTGCTGAAGTTGTAGTCGAGGTAGTTCCATCGGCTGTTGTAGTGGATGTTGAAGTAGGTGTTCCAGTGGAGGTTGAGGTAGTTGGGTTGCAGTTGGGATTGATGATGATGGATGGTCTCTGGTATGCAACAAACACTGGATCAAACATAAGAGTATTGGTGAATGATGGTGTGACAACTGCATAACGAGTGACGGTGGTTCCATCGATGGCTGGAAGTGTGGTGTCTTGGACAACCTGGATCTGGTACAATTGGGAATCAACGTATGCACGATCAGAGAAGTGAACCAACATGAATCCAACTGGTGAGTCCAATGTGAATGACGCTGGCATGTTGACATTGTCAAATGGTACCACTGATGTTGAGGCAGTGGAGCAGTTGTAGTTGAATGTTGATGGTGTCTGAGACTCATAGATCACTCTCAATACATTTGCTTGGGAAGTGAACTCCCAACCAGAGATGGCAACAGTGTGCTTGACTCCACCAGCGGGCACTGGGATGGTCTCACCAGCGTACTCAACTTCAGAGGCCGAGTTGAAGAAGTCTGTCTTGACCTGGACTGACACGCCCTGGACTGTGGCGTTATAGGTCGATGGAGCAGACTCAGACCATGAGGCACCAATGATGGTGATGATTGACACCACTTGGTTGGCATTGTTGTCATACTCTTGGATGTAGGCGATCTGGGAGGTGAAGCTGACGAGCGAGGCCACTGGGAATGTGACCTTGGATGGGTCGAGCGATGGCTGTACAATGCTGTCAACAGCCTCGGCACAAGTTGGGCCGGAGAATCCAGTTGGACACACACAATATCCTTCTTGGCAGGTGCCACTATTCACACATTGAGAGTCACAGTTGTAGCGGCTGTAGAGGAATACGTTGGCCGTGGCTGAGATCTGGTCGTTGGAGACGACAACTGGAAGAGCCTCAGTTATCACTTGGGCAGCTGCTCCACCAGATGGGAGCGAACAGACAATGGTTGTGGTTCCGGTAAGCACACCATTGGTACATGCCAGGCCGGCTACGGTGACTGAGTATGGACTAACAATGTGGGTACCCTGGATGGTGACCTGGCCACCGGTGGGTGGGACTGAGGAAGCATATGTGACGGTTGGTGGGAGTGATGTGTAGGTGGACACGGTTGAGGCAACCTTGTTATCAATCGACACTGAGATGGCTCCTTCAAAGATCGACTTGGCACCGAGTGTACATGTGAGTGATGATCCATCTTGGGAAGCATACTTGAGCGCACAGTTCATTGGACCAAAGGTGATGGCCATAGTGGTGGCGGTACCGTTGGCAGATTGAGAGTTGAGGTATGATCCACTGATCACGACATCACCTCCATCTGCGTGGATGGCGGCAACATCATTGACGATTGGAGTGACGACAAAGATGCCAGACACTGATTGACCTCCAACACTGATGCTGATGGGTTGGGATTGGTAGACGGCTGGGATCAAGAACACAACCGATGTGTGGGCGGCAGAGATACAGGTCATTCCAGTTGGGGCAGTAACATCATGAGTGGATGCGCCAAAGTTGTCACCATTCACAGTGATTGTCTGACCATTCTGCTCGATCACTCCACTCATTTATGGTGGGAGGTAGTTGAATGTGTTGATGGTTGATGAATATGCGCCAATCTTGATSGTGACCTCAAAGTTGGTGCCAACACCTGGTGGTGCYTGGACRTACTTGGTGGTGGTCAAAGTATCAGCCGTTACAGCACATGAAACTCCATTGATGGTGACGGTCATCGTGGTCTGGGTCGAGTCGGCATTGAATGAGTTCAAGTATGTTCCTGTCAACGTGACCTGTGAGCCGATTGTTCGCGAGGCAGTGACCGAGTTGAGGATTGGGTACAATGGCGTGAAGTACCTCAAAGTGGAGGCACCCACGGTTATGTAGATAAAGTCGGCCAGGGCATTGGCAGGTGCATGGAATGAGATCGTGGTGCTGTCCGAGGAGACTGAGAATGATGTGATATTGACAGTACCATATTTGACATATGTGTTGACTCCCACGGCAATCAGGTTGGTGCCAGTGACTGAGATCAAGTTGGTGGCATCAACCACGACTGAGTTGATTGATGGCCTGCCATAGGCAAACTCATGAGAGACTGATGACTTGCTGTCAATGGTCACATTGAGTGTTGGGGAGCCAGTACCTGATGGGAGGGTACATGTGAAGCGTGCTTGATTGTTGGCATCGGCAATCTTGTTGACATTGGTGCATGGAGCGCTTGGCAACAATGTCACTGACTTGGTGGTTGGGTCGTTGTTCTGGCGAACCGAGTTGAGGAAGTATCCGGTGATTGTGATCTCGCCTCCAGTGATTGGTACTGAGCTGACTGTGTTGATCATGGATGTCAAGTCGAATGGAATGGTGGCTGAGGGCTGAGTATCGACCATCACGTGGACGCCACCATTGAGCGCGTCCTTTGGAATGATGGCAACGATTTGGTTGTCAGTGATCGACGTTGGGAAGTTCGAGACAGCGGCTCCAAAGACTACGGTGACCTTGCTGGCATCAGTTCCAAAGTTGACACCAGTGACGGTGATGGCCTTCAGATTCTGGTTGGCAGAGATGATTGATGGTGCTTGGTAGGCGAATGTCACTGGGTTGGAGGCCTTCGAGTTGATCGAGACGACGGCAGTGTGGCCAACACCAGTGCCAGCGGGTGCCAGACAGGTTACAATGGTGCCAGATGAGCCTGTGAAGGCCGGGTTGGTGCATGCGATGTTGGTGTCGATGGTGACTGTTGGAACCAAGGTATTTCCAAAGTAGTCTGTCGATTGCATGAAGATACCAACGATGGAGATCATGCCTCCGATGGCGGGTGGTTGTCCAACGGTCGACAAGATTGGGATGAGGTTGAGGAACTGCGTGTTGGACGACTGTCCACCAACAATGACGTAGACATCATCACTCTTGGATGACGTTGGGATTGTGGCAACGATCTGGGTGTATGTGACGGTGAAGGCGATGCCTGGACGGTGGCACCATTGATGAAGACACCAATGGCGGTGGCCTGTTGACCAAAGTTGGTTCCAGTCACAGTGATCTGAGCGACGGTTGGGCTCTGGATAACGCTTGTAATGGATGGTGCGAGGTAGTTGAATGCGCCTGTCGTGGACTTGGGGCCAATGGTGATGGTGATGGCAATGTTCATGCCAACGCCAGCGGGTGCGGTACAGGTCAGCTGGGTATTGCCTTGAGTGATGGCTGCACCGGTGCATGGTGTGTTGCTGGCACCGACAGTGACGGTTTGCGTGAGTGGGTTGTTAGCCGAGTCCACACTGTTCAAGAACTTTCCAGTGATCACGAGGGCACCTCCGTTGGTTGGGATGGCATTGGCCGAGACAAAGATTGGTGTAATGGCGAAGGACACTATGTTGGATGGGAGACCAGATACGGTGACCTTCACTGGGCCGTTGGTAGCGGTAGCTGGGAGTGTGGCAGTGATCTTGGTGTCGGTGACTGATGATGGTGTGATAGTCATCGAACCGAGGGTGATTGCTAGATTGGCAGCAACTGTACCATAGTTTGTTCCGGTGATGACGATGGTATCGGCAGTCTGTTGGACAGTGGCAACTGTTGGAGATGGGGCAGCAAAGGTGAATGCATCAGATGACTTGCCATCGATGGTCACAACGAGTGAGTGTGAGCCGGTGAGTGCTGGGGCGGTACACTTGAGCGAGGTGGCATCTGGGTTGGATGGGCTGGTGCATGGTGTCGAGTCAATCATGATGGACACGACACAGTTTGATGAGTTGGATCTGATGATCGAGAGGAAGCTACCAGAGATGATAATGCTCGAAGTTGAGGAAGTTGAGACACCGGACACACCAGTGACGATTGGCTTGAGTGTCACAAACACCGCGTTACTGCCTTGGCCACCGACCGTGATTGACAAAGGGCCGTTTGTTGAGGCGGCTGGGAGTGTGGCCGTGATCTTGGTGTCGGTGAACGAAGTAGGTGTGATCGACAATGTTCCAAAAGCGATGGGTGCATAAGCTGACACAGTACCATAGTTTGTGCCTGTGATGACGATGGTCTGGCCAGTCTGTTGGACACTGGCAATCGTTGGCAGAGGTGCGGTAAAGGTGAAGCCACTAGAGGACTTGCCATCGATGGTGACAACGAGTAAGTGTGCGCCGATAAGGGCTGGGGCGGTACACTGGAGCGATGTGGCATCTGGGTTCGTTGGATTGGTGCAAGGTGTCGAGTCAATCATGATGGACACGACACAGCTGGATGAGTTGGATCTGATGATCGAGAGGAAGTTGCCAGTGATGATAATGTTTGAGGGGGCACCAGTTGCGACGCCAGACACGCCATTAACAATGGGTTTGAGTGTCATGAACACTACGTTGCTGACTTGGCCACTGACAGTGACTGTCAATGGGCCGTTGGTGGCAGAGGATGGGAGTGTGGCAGTGACCTTGAGGTTGGATACTGAGGATGGTGTGATGGTCAATGTGCCGAGTGTGATCACCACGTTGGCGGCGACGGTACCAAAGTTTGTTCCAGTGATGACCATCGTTGGACTAAGCTGCTGGATACTGGCAATGGTTGGTAATGGGGCGGCAATGGTGAATGGATCAGAGGCCTTGCCATCGATTGTTACGACAAGTGAGTGCGATCCGGTGATGGCTGGGGCGGTACACATGATTGAAGAGGCGTCAGGGTTTGATGGGATGGTGCATGGAATCGAGTCAATCATAATGGACACGACACAGTTTGATGAGTTGGAACGGGTGAGCGAGAGGAAGCTGCCTGAGATTGTAAGGGTCGATGAGGCAGAAGTGGAGAGACTAGTCACTCCAGTGATGGTGGGCTTGTATGTCATGTAAACAGTGTTACTGGTTTGGCCTCCGACTGTCGTGAAGATTGGACCGTTCTTGGAGGTGGTGGCGACCTTGACGGTGTATGTCTGTGGGTCGGACACGGTGGTGAGCGTGGCAGTGCCAGAGACGGTTGGGATGGACAATGCCATGTTGGTGAGCGCGGTACCAAAGCTAGTTCCGGTGAGAACCAAGACATCTCCGTTGTTGGTTGGTTGGGCGGTGATCACTGGTGGTTGATATGTGTAGGTGAAGGTGGTGGTCTGGCCGCCGACGATCAATGTGAAGGTCTGAGTGCCATAGCCACCTGGGAAGTCACACTCGAGGGCAGTGTGCGCTGTGGCAATACGGCAGGTGACCGTGTTGGTGTTGGCGCCGAGTGTGAGCTTGGCGGTGATGCTGCTGGCTGATGGACCAAAGTTGGTGCCGCTGACGGTGACTTTGCCTGGTATGGAGGTGATGGCTGGCGAGATCTTGGTGATCGTTGGTGGGTTGTAGGAGACCTTGACGTTGGTGAACGAGTAGGACTCAATGTTGACGGTGACGGGGATGTCGACACCAGTGCCTGCGGGGATCACAAGGGTGAGTCCGTTCAAACTGGTCTGGTACACGTTGGGGAAGGTGTAGGTCACGCCGCTCATCACAAATGATCGTTTGGTGAACTTGAAACCAACTGATCCTGTTACAGTATAGGCGACCTGGCCTCCAGCTGTATCGAACTTGAGGACAAGGTCTGTTCCTTTGGTTGGACGGTAGCCTCCATAATAAACAAACTCTCCAAGCAATGCATCCACGTCAAAGATTGGATACTGCTTACCCACACCACTCTCCTGTCCGTAGGCGATCAGCTTGGTGCTTCCAACTATCGGGTCACCGGGACAGTAGATAGCGGTGGGCACACAGGTTCCGCCGAGTGTCGTGTTGAAAGGCGTGTAGGCGACGACACTCTCGTAGGGACCTCCTCCTGATGCATAGACGATAGTGTTGGGTGGGCCGGTGACACTCAAACCCTCCCATAGCTTCCTGGTGCCAGGGTTGTAGTTGCTGACGATGGCATTGGACTGGGCCGAGTTGATCACCACTCCAAAGTAGGGCGTATTGTAGTCAATTTCTGGCGAATAAACCATCCAATGGGCAAAATCGTTGGGGATTCCCATACAGTCAGCGCAAGCACGGATCACAGTCATCGTGTTGAAGTCATCTAAAGATGAGAGATGAGTAAGAAATGAGTTTGAGTGAGTGACTATCACTCACTGTGATTACCGATGATACATACAGAAAGGGATGTTGTTGCGATAGGAGGCAACATAGTTGTTGGGACCGTAACCGATGGTTATGGGGAGAAGTGCGAGTGAGGATGTTGTGGCAGCGGCGAGGTTGCAAGCAACAGTGGTGTAGGACTCGACCACATTATATCCAGTACAGGCTGCACCGGCAATGGTGATGGAGAGATCAACGGGTGTTGTACCAAAGTTGCCTCCGGTGATGGTCACCGATGAGCCAACAGTGTAGCCACGGGCGTACAACGTGCTGATGTATGGCACTGAGTGTGCGAAAGAATGTATTAGTACATGTATGACTTTGTTGAGATTGATTGACTGATTGAACGAATGATCAATGATCAAACATTGATCAACTTTTTTGAAAGTAGGTGATGATCAGAAAACATACATTGGTAGTGAACGTATTGCGAGTACTTCCTTCCTTTGGTATCATCGAGGGACAAGGTGAATCTCTTGTAACCTGGTGGGATGGTCACCTTGATTGAGGTGGGGCCACGGCTGGTGATGGTGGCAGGCGTCGAAGTTCCTGTCGAGTCAATGATGGTGGCGGTGAGGGTTGCAATGTTCCAATTGATTTTGGTCACCTCGTCAGCCTTGAGATTGGTGATGTCGATGGAACCACCGGTGGTGGGTGGCGATGCGATCTGAGGGTCAGTGTATCCATTCCATTCAATTAAATAGAATTGATTTGCAACAAATGGTTTGTTTTGTAACATTAACTGGCCATTGACATTGACCATTGACAGGTATAGGCCAGTAGACGAGAGGTCAGGATAGTTGGGCGCCCAAGGACAGACGGTGAAACATCGGGCAACAGTACGATAGGTATAAATATTTAGATCCTTTGAGGGACCACTATTATACTGGAACGAATTATTACCAACACTATTCATTCCATTAACAAAGAATGTAAACGAAGAGTTGATGGCACCTGCGATTGCTGGCTGCGAAGTTAAGAAAGCAAGTTCCTCTGGAGAGTCAATTGATGCCAAGTATCTTTGGAAATGGAGAGGGAAGGGACAATAAATAATAATTATGAGAGTAAGTAATGAGTTAGATATTGATAGATATATTTATTATTATTAATAATACATACGGTTCATTCTTGTCTGGAGAGTTAGTAATTGAGTTTGCAATCCAGTTCAAGGTGGTACTGTAGGAAGTGGTAGTGATGATTTTACGCCATTGGTACCAGTGACCCGAAACTGGGTCCTGGACCATTGATTGACCATATACGCTAACAACGCATATTGCCAACAATAATGTAATAACCTTATTATTAATAATCATTATTATAAAAATAAATCAGTTAATAAAGTAATCGCTAGATAGATTAGTGAAGAATTATAATTAATGAAGGTTAATGAAGAGCATCACTTATTACTGCCATTGGTTGCTGTCCATCACTGGTATTTTTGGTGATCTGTGGCAGATATTGTTCTTTATCCTAAACCCTACCCTTTCCCTATTGCTGGAACCCATCGTGTGTATAATGTAGAAGCATGCCATCGATTTGAAGACTAGTCTAGAGTAGTGTAGATTGGAAAAGAAGGTCAGGGCCTGCTTCTTTGCGCATCTCCGGGCCTTAACTTGTCAAATTGAGATTTGATGGTTTGGGGTCACTTGGTTGCGGTCATGGTTGTGGTGCTGGTCGTGGAGTCTAGGTGGCCTTGTAATCCCAAATTATTTTGATGATAGGCAACCACTGGTGCGGTGACTCTCCAAAAGATCATGATGAAATTAAAATCTGGTCCGTCGTTACGGAGTGTGTAGACTGGTACCGTTAGAGATCTAGATACACCTGTGGGCCTAAAGGACAGGATAGGCCCTCACTTTATCCAACGTCCTGCTAGGATTCGCGGTATCCTAAAAGTGGATTACGGATACTGTTACCCAGGTTCAACCAGACTCTGCCTAACCATTGATTATGTGGGTCAACCGATTAGATCTTAATTAATCAATTTGTGTAGACCAGTCAAGCCAGACGGTCAAACCGTATTAGTTGTTAGATATTATAAAGACAGATCGAGAGTGTGTCACCGTTCGTGATACCATCATTGAGGTCGGACATTATCAATCAATGAATTATTATTATTTGATAAATATAAATATAATAATTTATTTGATTGAATGATGGAGGAATTAGACCGCGCGAGTTTAGAAAAGGAATGACATGATGCAGAGGAGTGCAACCAACATCATTGATGGAGTGACCTTGAATGATGCACTGAGTCCAGTAGTGGAGGACAGAGTTGTTGTGGTTGTCGAGTCACTTGGTGATGTGGTCGAGGGTGAAGTAGTTGTTGTTGTGGTAGATGTGGCAGACTCGGTGGTAGTGGAGGTGGTAGTAGTAGTAGTAGTAGTAGTAGTACCAGTGGTAGAGGTAGTGGAAGAAGATGTTCCAGTGGTAGAGGTAGAGGTAGTTGGATTGCAGTTGGGGTTGATGATGATGGATGGTCTCTGGTATGCAACAAACACTGGATCAAAGACAAGTGTCTTGGAGAATGATGGTGCTACGACTGCATAACGAGTGACGGTGTTTCCATCGATGGCTGGAAGTGTGGTGTCTTGGACAACTTGAATCTGGTACAATTGGGTGTCGACGTATGCGCGATCAGAGATGTGAACCAACATGAATCCAGCGGGTGAGTCCAATGTGAATGACACGGGCATGTTGGAGTTATCAAAGTGTGACACTGATGTTGAGGCAGTGGAGCAGTTGTAGTTGAATGTTGATGGTGTCTGAGACTCATAGATCACTCTCAAGACGTTGTCTTGGTAAGTGAACTCCCATCCAGAGATGGCAACAGTGTGCTTGACTCCACCTGCTGGCACTGGGATGGTCTCACCCGCGTACTCAACATCAGAGGCTGAGTTGAAGAAGTCCGTCTTGACCTGGACTGACACACCTTGGACTGTGGCGTCGAAGGTCGATTGTGCAGACTCGGCCCATGTGGCGCCGATGATGGTGACAGTGGACACCACTTGGTTGGCATTGTTGTCATACTCTTGAATGTAGGCGATCTGGGAGGTAAAGCTGACGAGCGAGGCCACTGGGAATGTGACCTTGGATGGGTCGAGTGTTGGTTGGACAACAGCGCCGACTGGGACAGCACAGGTTGGGCCAGAGAATCCAGTTGGACACACACAGTAACCCTCCTGGCAGGTACCACCATTGAGGCATTGGGAGTCACAGTCGTAGCGGCTGTAGAGGAAGACGTTGGCAGTGGCCGAGATCTGGTCGTTAGAGACGACGACTGGCAGAGCCACGGAGATCATTTGGGCTGCAGCACCTCCAGATCCGAGGTAACAGACGATTGTGGTGGTTCCGGTAAGCACACCATTGGCACATGGGAGACCGGCGACGGTGACTGTGAATGGCTCAACGATGTGGGAACCCTGGATGGTGACCTGGCCACCAGCGGGTTTGACGGAGGATGCATAGCTSACGGTTGGTGGGAGTGAGGWGTAGGTGGACACGGTTGAGGCAACCTTGTTATCAATGGACACGGAGATGGCACCTTCAAAGATCGACTTGGCACCGAGTGTACATGTGAGTGATGATCCATCTTGGGCAGCAGACTTGAACGCACAGCTCATTGGACCGAATGTGATGGCCACAGTCGTAGCGGTACCATTGGCAGATTGAGAGTTGAGGTATGATCCACTGATCACGACATCACCTCCATCAGCGTAGATGGCGGCAACATCATTAACAATTGGGGTGATGACAAAGATGCCAGACACTGATTGACCTCCAACTGTGATGCTGATGGACTGGGATTGGTAGACGGTTGGGATCGAGAAGACGACTGTTGTGTGGGCGGCAGAGACGCAGGTCATTCCAGTTGGGGCAGTGACGGCGTCCTTAGATGCGCCAAAGTTGTCACCATTTACAGTGATTGTCTGACCATTCTGCTCGATCACTCCACTCATTGATGGTGGGAGGTAGTTGAATGTGTTGATGGTTGATGAATATGCGCCAATCTTGATGGTTACCTCAAAGTTGGTGCCAACACCTGGTGGTGCCTGGACGTATTTAGTTGAGGTCAGGGCATCAGGGGTAACAGCGCATGACACTCCATTGATGGTGACGGTCATCGTGGTCTGGGTCGAGTCGGCATTGAATGAGTTCAAGTATGTTCCTGTCAACGTGACCTCTGAGCCAATGGTTCGGGAGGGAGTGACCGAGCTGAGGATTGGGTACAATGGTGTGAGGTACTTCACGTCAGTGCCACCCACGTTGATGTGGACATAGTCGGCCAAGGCACCGGCTGGTGCACTGAAGGTGATCGTGGTATTGTCGGTGGAGACGGTATAGGTCGTGATGGGGTATACTCCGTAATTGATATTGGTGGTGACACCATCTGCAATCAAGTTGGTACCAATGACTGTGATAGTGTTGGTAGTATCAACGTTGACAGAGTCAATGGTGGGCAGGCCATAAGCAAACTCGGTGGTGTCGGTTGACTTGCTGTCGATGGTCACTCTGAGAGTGGGGGCACCGGTGCCAGATGGGACGGTACAGGTGAAGCGAGCCTGGTTGTTGTCATCAGCAATCTTGTTGACATTGTTGCACGGTGTGCTTGGCAACAGGGTCACTGACTTGGTGGTTGGGTCGGAGTTCTGGCGGACAGAATTGAGGAAGTATCCGGTGATGGTAATCTCGCCTCCAGCGATTGGTGCAGACTTGACAGTGTTGATGATTGGTGTCAAGTCGAATGGGAGGGTTACGGCTGCGGACTGGGTGTCGACGACAACGTTGACACCACCATTGAGCGCGTCCTTAGGGATGTTGGCAACGATTTGGGTGTCGGTGATCGATGTTGGGAAGTTAGAGACGGCGGTGCCAAAGACCACGGTGACCTTGCTGGCATCAGTTCCAAAGTTGACACCAGTGACGGTGATGGCCTTGTCATCCTGAGTGGCAGAGATGATTGATGGTGCTTGGTATTCAAATGGCGATGGGTTGGAGGCCTGCGAGTTGATCGAGACGACAGCCATGTGGCCAACACCAGTGCCGGCTGGTGCCAGACATGTGACGACTAAGCCAGATGAGCCTGTGAAGGCTGCACCGGTGCATGCGATGTTGGTGTCAATGGTGACTGTTGGAACCAAGGTGTTTCCAAAGTAGTCGGTCGATTGCATGAAGGTACCAATGATGGAGATCGATCCTCCGGCGGCGGGTGGCTGGCCGATGGTCGCCAAGATTGGGATGGTACTGAGGAACTCAGAGTTGGATGACTGGCCGCCAACAATGACGTAGACATCATCACTCTTGGTTGAGGTTGGGATCGTGGCAACGATCTGGGTGTAACCTGAAGAGAAGGAGGTAGCCTGGATGGTCGCACCATTGATAAAGACTCCAATGGCGGTGGCTTGTTGACCAAAGTTTGCTCCAGTCACAGTGATCTGAGGGTCAGTTGGGCTCTGGACTACACTGGTAACGGATGGTGCGAGGTAGTTGAATGTGCCTGCGGTGGACTTTGAACCGATGGCGATGGTGATAGCATTGTTCTTTCCAACACCAGCGGGTGCGGTACAGGTCAGCTGGGTGTTGCCTTGAGTGACAGCAGCGTCCTTGCATTGGGTGCTAGCGCCGATGGTAACTGTTGGAGTTAGTGGGCTGTTGGCCGAGTCCACACTGTTTAAGAACTTTCCGGTGATCACGAGGGCACCTCCGTCAGTGGGGATGGCGTTGGCCGAGACAAAGATTGGTGTGATCTCGAAGTTCTGTACGTTGGATGGAATGCTTGAAACGGTGACCAAGAGTGGTCCGTTGGTAGCGGTGGCTGGGAGTGTGGCAGTGATCGAGCCGTCTGTGACAGAGGTTGTGGAGATGGTCTGGCCTCCGAGAGTAACTACAACGTTGGCGGCATTGTTACCAAAGTTGGCACCAGTGATAATGATGGTCTCGCCATTCTGTTGGATGTTTCCGGCCACGGTTGGAGATGGGGCAGCAAAGGTGAACGAATCAGATGACTTGCCATCAATGGTGACAACGATTGAGTGCGAGCCGGTGAGGGCTGAAGCGGTACACTTGATCGAGGTGGCATCTGGGTTGGATGGGATAGTGCATGGTGTCGAGTCGATCAAGATCGATACATCACAACTGGATGAGTTGGATCTGGTGAGCGAGAGGAAGCTTCCAGCGATCACAATGCTCGAGGCGGTACTGGTAGAGACACCAGAGACGCCAGTGACTGCGGGCTTGTATGTCATGTACATGGTGTTACTGACTTGGCCACCGACAGTGGTGAAGATTGGACCGTTCTTGGTTGTGGTCACGACCTTGACAGTGTAAGTCTGTGGGTCGGACACGGTGGTGAGCGTGGCAGTGCCAGCGACAGTTGGGATGGACAAGGCCATGTTGGTGAGCACGGTACCAAAACCAGTTCCGGTGAGAACCAAGACATCTCCGTTGTTGATGGGCTGGACGGTGATCACTGGTGGTTGGTACGTGTAGGAGGAGGTAACGACCTGGCCGCCGACGGTCAAAGTGAAGGTCTGGGTGCCAAAGCCACCTGGGAAGTCACACTCGAGGGACACGTGAGCAGTGAGGACTCGGCAGGTGACGGGGATGGTAAGCGCTCCGAGGGTGATCTTGGCGGTAATGCTACCGGCTGAGGAACCAAAGTTGGTGCCGCTGACGATGACCTTGCCTGGGATAGAGGTGATCGATGGCGAGATCTTAGTGATGGTTGGTGGGTTGTAGGTGATAAAGAGGTTGGTGAGTGCTGGGTAGGACTCAATGTAGATGGTGACAGGAACGTTGACGCCAGTGCCAGCGGGGATCACGAGGTTGACGGCAAAAAGATCGGTCTGGTACACGTTGGGGAAGGTGTAGTTAACGCCAAACATTGTGAACGAACGTTGAGTGAACTTGAAACCAACGGATCCACTTCCGACACTGTAGGAGACGGTTCCTCCAGCAGTGTCCACCTTGAGATTGATATTTGAAGCGCTCTGGGTTGGCTTGAAGCCTCCGTAGTACACTAGCTCACCGGCCACTGTATTGTCACCATTGGAGTATTGCTTGCCAATACCATTCTCCTGTCCAAAGGTAACATAGTAGGTGGAGTATGGCATCGCATCACCGTTACAATAGACTGCTGTTGGTACACAGACTCCAGGGGTACCGGCGCTGAATGGTGTGTAGGCGGCCACTTTAAAGAAAGGACTATACTGATCTTTGTAGGAGATGGAGTTGGCAGTGTAGGTGTCCAAAGCCTCCATGAGTCTATTGCTGCCCAAACTGTAGGAGTTGACGATTGTTGCTGACTGTGCTGCGTTGTAGACAACGCCCACATATGGTCTGTTGCCATCAATAATTCCGTTAGTAGCGGAAGCGAGAGTCCACGTGTTAATGTTAGCCAATGATGCGACACAATTGGCACAGACACGGATCGTAGTCATAGAGTTAGGGTCATCTGTGTGTGGGCGATGGAATGGTTCCAAGAGTGAGTTAATTTGATTGAGTGAGTGATGACATTGTTACTTACAGAATGGGAGATTGTTGCGATAAGTGGCAGCATAGTTATTGACACCATAGCCGACGGTAATTGGGAGAAGCGAGAGGGTAGAGGTAGTGGAAGCGGCGAGGTTGCAAGCAACAGAGGTGTAGGCCTCGACCACTGAATAGCCAGTACAGGCAGCACCAGCCATGGTGATAGACAACTCATTGGCGGTGGTACCAAAGTTGCCTCCAGTAATGGTCACAAGTGAGCCGACGGTGAATCCACGGGCATATACGGTATTGATGTATGGTACTGAGAAGTAGAGTGAGTGTCAGTATGATCAATGATACAATCAATTAATCAAACCATGAACATACATTGGTAGTGAACGACTTGGGAGAATGTTCTTCCTTTGGTATCATCAATGGACAGGTTGAATCTCTTGAATCCTGGTGGGACGTTGATTTTGATGGAAGTAGGAAGCTTTTGGGTGATGGACACAGGAGTCGACACTCCGGAGACGAGGTCGATGATGTTGACGAGGAGAGTGGGCATGTTCCACAAGGCCTTTGTGACCTCCTCAGTGATGAAGTTGGTGATCTGGATTGATCCACCGGTGGTGGGCGGCATTGGGATGAGTGGGTCCGAGTAACCGTTCCACTCGATCAAGAAGATCTGATTGGTCGTGTAGGGCTTATGTTGGAAAGCCACCTGACCATTCTCTTTGACCAACGTCAGGTATTGCGGGACGGTTGCGATTTGGAGGGTGTAATCGGGGTAGTTGGCAGCCCATGGACAGACGGTGTAGCAGCGTGCGAATGGACGGTAGGTGAAGATGTTGCCATCCTTTAATGGACCACTGTTGTACTGGAACGAATTGCTACCAGCATTGTTGGCTCCATTGATATAGAATGTGTACGACGAGTTAATCACACCACCCAGCGCTGGATGGGAGTTAATGAAGGCAAGCTCCTCTGGCGAGTCAATTGAGGCCAAGTATCTTTTGGGTTGGGGCAAGAGTTAGGGTTAGGGCAAGGGTTAGGGTTAGGGCAAGGGTTAGGGTTAGGGCAAGGGTACTTACGGCTCATATTTATCTGGAGAGTTGGCGATTGAGTTGGCGATCCAGTTCATAGTTGCGTCATAGGAGGCGGGTTGGGAGAGTTTACGCCATTGGTACCAATGCCCTGTGACAGGGTTCTGGACTTGATCTTGACCAAATGTGCCAACAACACACAAGGCAAGCAACAATGAAATAACCTTATAACTCATCATCATTTTGATGTTGAATGTTATAATTTTATTGATAAAATAGAGATAAATATCTTTATGTGTAATAACAACAGATAGGTAGTTGAAACAACACTGTTGAATGAATAATGTTGTGAAGTGTCAGCTGACTGGACAATAGACGACCTGTCGTTTGAGAGGGCTGATGAGTGTCACAGGTTGGCACGCATCACACAAGATCGAATCAAGGAGAAGGGGAAGATGAGTCTTTCTCCACATATGACAAGCTGGGGCCACCATCCTTTATGAAGGGGTGTCCATATAATGGAGACGGAGATTGGCCAGATCCTTGTTTGACGATCGGGCTTCAGTTCCAAAAGATCAGTTTTTCAGTTTAAAAAAAAAACGAATGATGACAAAAAAATCTTATCGGGGCATTTTATAGATGTTGACTAGTAACATTAATGGCACCAAATCAGTTTTAGGGCCTCCAAAGGTAACAAAAAAGATAATTTGGATCGGAGGTCTTTGCTTACCCATCACCACAAGTCCAAACAAGGATGACGAAGGACTGGTTCAAGGTTTGATCAACCCTGCCAAGGTTACAAACTAATGTCAACTAGATTCGAGCGAATCATAATTCAATCAAATTCACACTCCCGTCAATCTATCAATCAAACATTTTGAGTGGTAGTTTCACAAAGATATTGTTTGAATAAATTAAAGATTTAATAGTGAGTATTGGAGGACAGAAGGGTTCCATTGTTTTAATGGCGAGTAGGCATATGCCTTGTCCGATGGGATATTCAACTGAACGTTGATCAGTTGGCAATGGTCCACACTTCTCAGAGTGGTGTAGTAGTACACACCACCTTCAAATGTTGCAATCACATATCATTGGTCTACACTTGACATCACAATAGGCGACTACAAAGATGAGACTGAATACTTTAATCAGAGTGTCGGTATACTACCCGAGAAGAGACTGTCCAGCCTCAAATCAATCATTGTGCGAATGACAACAACATAATAGAGAGCACATTTGAATTGATGTGATCGGTGGTGAGCTTGACAACCTAACTGAGCTTGAGTTGAGTATCAAAGAAGTATATTCATGAATGAGAAGAGAGTAATGTTATTCATCATGGTCAACAAGATATTCCAAATGGAGGGGTGCACTATTCCAGAATTCTATCAGAAATAGATGTAATTTGTAATTGATCAATCAATTATGTTGGCCCTATGGAGTAGTACAGGTTGGTAATAATATGTTCATTGGTCATGCCTTCACTCACTGATTTTAATAAATTATAATAGCCAACAACAAAGAGACAAATGTGATCGCCAGAGATGGCATCATGATTGCACCAGTGTTTGGCTTTGGTTGGGGTGGGTCGACATAGAGGTATGGCACGAGACCTGGGAGTGGCTGCTCAATGATCTTCTTTCCAGGATCCATGAAGAGAATGCGTGGCAATTTACCAGTTAGGCCATTCATCGATTCGAATGAGTATGTCTCCACGCCATCCGATGATCTGAGACAGAAGTACAACTCCTTGACGCCATTGACGGTGGCATTGCGTACGATATCGGTGATGTCAATGCCACGGTAGTCAAGTTCTCCATCCAAGTAGATGCCACTGACTCTGTTCTTGTTTGGGCACACTGGTGATGAGCTGGCAAAGGACTCGGCAGTCACCTGGTAGACATTGATAAAGTCGGGCAAGGCAGTGAGGTTGTTGTTTTGGCAATTGATCTCGATTCTGCCAGAGGCCCAGCTGAGACCCTTGAGGCGATCGGGTATCGTGATCTTGATGAATGGGATGCTGTCATTGTTGATCTGGAGCACGGGAGTGTTGACCTTCTTGTTGTTCACCATGGCAAATGTGGCGTCGGCGGGACCGTACACGCGTGGCACCCTGTTCTCACAGCTGCGGTTCTTGTTTAGACACTCCTCCACCATGTACTTCATCGACTCCTCGTCCCAAGCATTGAAGAAGTCGGCGTGGGCCGAGTACAGGCTGGCCCATGGGTAGGTCCATGTACCATTGACAACCACAGGATTGAGGGACAGTTGTGCGTCGGACAGATCAGTCTCGTTGAGGTAGTAGGCGATCTGCATGTTGAGCGTGGGAATGCGCACGGGGTAGTCGGGTGGACACTTGCCCTCGATGTTTTTGTCGTCAAACACTGCGTTCCTGTAGGTGAAGTTGGGGCGGATGTTGACTCCGTCCCAGCAGTTGGGGAAGATCAGGTTGAAGTTGTACTGGGTGACGTTGTAGGTGTCGGGACTGGCCGGGCAGTACTTCACAGGGTCGCGGTTATAGCCATTGCACAAGAACCATACGCCGCGAGCACGTCCAGTATTCTTTGGATTGCCGGCGATGATCTGCAGACCTCTGGGCATGACAGACACGGGGTAGAAGGAGCTGTTGCCACCTTGGTAGTAGATCTTGGTGTAGCTTGGACGAATGATCATGCCCTTGACCTTGAGTGCGGGTATCCAATATGAGCTGGCGTCGGGCAGCACGTCACATGTGGTGTTGGGCTTGGCGTACATTGAATCGATCGTCGAGAATCCATTCGACTCTGTGTTGCCAAAAAAGTCGTGGAACATCGATCGTCCAGTGGAGTCTGGCAACAGGATCGAGTCGTCGGGCAATGAATGTGAGTATAAACATTCAGCATGTGCTTGTTGAGCATTGACCACTACACCATTGTTGTTGTTGGAGAAGCAAACAACAATGAGTGTGATTAATAATATATAATATGAATACATTGATTGATGATACAGATAATAGTAATATATGAATATAATAAGGACCGGTCTATGATTGATTGATTGATAATGGGTGCAAAGACAAGCCCCTGGATCGCACTCCTGACTTGTTCTTGACTTGAATTGGTCTTCAAGTTGGCACTCGGACTCACCCAGTTGACCTCCAGTAAGTTGACGACATCGATGTAGTGGGTCAACTGACCATTTGTGTACATGGCATCGAGGCGTTGGTAGTCTAGGCCCAACAAGGTACTCAATGGGGTGAGATCTTCGAAACCCGCGCATTATTGTCAAATATCTTCAACTTTTTTGTTTGTGATTAATCAAAACATTGATAAACGACCGTCTAAACATGTGTCATTAGATGGTCAACCTTCAATCGACTGAATGGGAGTTAGTGTTGATCATTCGTACCCTCACCATTACATATTTAACTTACCAATTGTGATCACTGGTAAACAAGGGTAGATCAACAAGCATACCGCTTTAAAGTTGTTTTGGACATGAATGAATGAATGAAGGATTGAACGAATGAGAAGGTAATACCAAATATGTTGTCACTATTTATTAACACCATTATCATGCATGCGTTTGGCGATGTATGTATGTATGATTATCTGTAGGCTGAGTTGAGTTGAGTAGGAGGGTTAGCAAACTTTGAACGAGATATGTTGTTGTTGGTGAATATGAATAAGAATTGAAATGTAATGCATTCAGGTCAGTTGTCATAATGGATATGACGTATTAATCATCAGTACTAAGAGTAGCAAATATAACATTCATCATGTTGAAAGCATTCATTCATTCATTCATCTGTGTGTTTATGTGTGTACTTACTTGTATGTGATGATGGTCAATGAATCAAAACAACAACCACAACAACCTTTTGACTCTGTAGCAAAAGACGAATGAAAAAAAAAAGTCAGATAAATTGATGAAGTTCGGTTATTAGTAGTTGGATGTTTGGATAGTCAAACTCCAGGCTTCATCTAACTAGTTGTTATCAATTGACTAGTTCTGGTTAAACAGGAATCATGTTGTATCCGTCCAACTATTGCATAGATGGATGGATGAATGAATGAATGACTCAGCAAAGTTTGGAAATTGAACCATTGTTTGATGACTCATAGGTCTAGAGATACTTAGTGTGTGTTTGTTTGTTTGATTGAATGAATGTGTGTGCGATGTGGCGGGCAAGTCCAGATCTGAACTCAGTTCTTAGACCAACATCACTAACAAGTGTACATTACTATTTATTATTATAAACTTGAAGTTAGTCAAGTCATTAGTTGACAACTACCAATACTTGGAGGAATCAGATTGAAGTTGCATTCAACTCAAGGATAGAAGACAAGAACTGATCACTAGCGATCACTCAAGATATGTTTCTACAACTACATCCAATCATATCGATACTATCATACATAACAATAGGATGGTTGATATTCTTTACATTCTTGAAGATATTACAAGTGAGTTTGAATGGAATATGGACATTGATTGATTGATTGATTGATTGATTGATTGAATGAGTTACACTAACACAATCTTTGAATGGTGTAGATAACATATGGCCAGGTACTCCTGGACTTCCTCAACTCGATATCAGTACATATACAGTTGTTCTCATTGAATTGGTCAACTACACAATTGAATGCACCACTTAAACGACTATCTACAAGATTCGATCGATTCTGGCATCATTGGTATCGTGTGGGCAATACCATCGTCATACTCTTGGTACCTCTGGCACTACTATCACTCATATACAATCTATTCATTCTACTATCACAACGATCTACAAACAATGCCATCATCACTCCAATCGTATGTTGTCATATCTCATTCATTCATTCGTATGATCACTTACTCATTCAATCAATCCAATCACTCTTGATCGATCGATAGGTACCTGGCGTCAACTTCCCGACATCACACTTGGCCTATCTGATACTGTCCTTCATCTTTAGTGCCATCATACATGAGGCTGGACATGCGATATGTTTCCTCAAGTAGGTACCCAAACAAATCACGTGACTCATTGTCCAGCTCAACTAACCGTGCGGTATGCACACCCTTTAGCCTCAACCGAAGGATCAATGAAGTTGGCATCCACATGTTCTTCATATTCCCAAGTGCCTATGTCAACATCAATGCAGTATGTTGACGGCCTCACTCAATCACGCTCATTCAATCAATCAATCAATCAACTGACACAAACACTTCCGTCAACAACATTAACAGGAGGACCTGAAACGGATCGCACATGGAATGAAGCTGCGGGTATTCACAGCAGGTGTCTGGCACAACATTGTACTGAGTCTGGTGATATATTTGTTGATGCCACTGACACCTTATGCATTGATGCCACTCTATCACTACTCGACCAAGGAGCTCTATATTAACAACATACCAAAAGAGTCATTGTTGCATGGCTCTGTCAAGGTTGGTGACAGAGTGCTAGCAGTTGGAGACTGCACTGTAACAGATGCCAACAGTTACTTCCAATGCATCGACATCACATGGAACCAACCAAACTCATACTGTCTACCAATTGGATTCAAAGACTGTGTAGATACAACTCAGAATGTATGATGGATGGACATGTAACAGTCACAATGAATGAGTGATGCACTAACTCAATCAAATCAATCAATCAACTTGTATAGATAAGAGCATGCATTGAGCATGAACAACTGTTTCACATGAAGCCTTGTGCCAACTCATCGACATGTGGCGCAATGGATAAGAAGTGCACCAGTCTTGCACCTTCACGAATGTTTAATCTAATACTGGAAAGTCATGGAAACGATTACAAAGGCAAAGAGGAGTTGCCATTCATTGGTACAGCACAAGAATTATGGGACTCTTGTAAGTACTCAAGCCTCGATCATACATGACCCAGCACACTGACCATAGTCTCGCCATTCACAACACAGTCTCAACAAGTCACTACAGAGCAAGATGGTCATGGATACAATCAGTGGACCTTCATTATTTCTTTATGACATTGCAGAACTTTATCATTGCCGTATCATTGGGATTGGCCATGTTGAACATGTTGCCAATTGGAGGCCTGGACGGCCACTTTATTATGACATCACTCCTGCACCTGGCGGTGACACATCACTACCCGGCCATGCCCGTTGAGCGCCAGGAGGCACTACGCGACTCAATCTACTCCCACATCTCCCTAGGCTCGACCATATTGCTAGGCGTAAACCTCTTGATATCCTTTTATTTCATTATTGCAAAGTAAAGGTACATTGACTAATCAGTTCCCTCCTGTACAGTATTGGTGATGTGTGTCTGTGCGTGTCAAGCACCACTTAGTCCTCCACAGTGATGCCCTTGTATGTGTACTTAAAGTCGCTGGCACCACCGTATGAGGTCAGCAACTGCTCGGGATGAATGTACTCCAGTAACTGCTTGCTCTTGACAAAGTTAATCTTGGACACGGTGTATGGGTCCAGCCAATGCTTGATGATGCTCCAAATGCCCATGAACATCCATGGAGCATTCAATATAAAGCACTTGGACAATGACTCTGGATAATACTTCTGGAACATCTCCACCATGAACTTACACAAAGGATAGTCCTAAGGGTTGAGGGTCAAGCGTTAGGGTAAGGGTAAAGGTTGAAGGTTAGGCCAATGACCCTTGATCAATCAAACATACCATGTTCTTGGTACTAAATGATGACATATCGAATATTAGTGTACAGGTCTCGATTCCCTCGGGCAGTAGTTCTTTGCCAGTCTCCATGACGTAGACAATATATCGTTGAGCTTCATCGAGGTCACGTTGGCTGCTATCATGCTTCCTTGTGCGCACGATGCAGATGGGGCGACCCTCCTTGTCACTGCCATGGAAGAAGCTCTTGCCACACTTGAGCTCGTTCTCCACCGATGACTCTGTGATAAAGTCCACACCCTTGTCTTGGAAGGAGGCACGGAATGACAGTGCCTCTTGCAACATATTATAGGAGTCCTCCAACTTCCATTTCCTTGCTCTCAAGAATCTCAGTATCATCGAGTCGTCCAACTTTTCAATCTCCAATTTGAGTGAAGGGTCCTGGTTCTTGGCCAACCTAGCCTTTATCTCTGACAGCATATTCTCCTGAGCTGGAGATAAATCTCCTACAAATCCACTCATTATTCAATAGATGGATTATCTGTTTGATCGGGGGGGGGGGGGGGGKTCGAAAACAAGGGCAAGGGCAAGGGTTAGGAATATTTTAGGKTTGGAATATAAT